TCCACACTGAGGCTTTTCTGTTCCTGTTTTAGCACCAGGACTGCATTCCAAGTTGGTTTCTCTCAGCCCAGTTCGTTCCTGAGTCAGCAGAGCATATCTCCACCTGCTTGTGTCTCCTTACTCTGCACCCTTCCTGACTTCTGAACCAAGCCTTTCAGAGAGCCTCCGTATTATCTGTTATCTGTCCACCATGTTCTCCCGGAAGTCCTTTTCCATCAATTTTGGAAGATAGTTTTGCTGGATAGATCCATCTGAGTTGGAAATTGTTTTCTTTCAGGATTGAAACACTTCACTCCAAACTCTTCTTGACTTGATGGTTTGTGTTGAGAAGTCTGCTGTGATTCTGATGGCTTTTCCTTTATTGGTGATCTGTTTCTTTTCTTTAACAAATTGTAATATTCTGTTCTTGTGCTGAATTTCTGGGATCTTCATTATTGTATGTCTGGGTGTAGATTTATTTAAGTTATGACTACCTTCAAGTTGGGATTTACATTATTTGTCTTTTTGTGATTGACATGTTTCATTCAATATACTGCCCTCAAGACTCATCCATGTTGTAGCCTGGGTCAGAATTTCTGAAGACTGAAGACTGAACAGCATTCCATGGTGTGCACATACTACATTCTATTTCATTCATCTAGCATTGTATATTTGGGTTGTTTCCACCTTTTGGCCATTGTGAATCATGCTGCCATGAACATGGGTATGTAACCAACTCTTTAAGACCCTCATTCCCGTTCTTTTGGGTACATTCTCAAAAGGAGAATTGCTAGATCATATAAATGTTGTCATAAAATTTTTAGAGGAATTTTCACATTTTGTCATATAATTTTCCACAGCAGCAGTTTTAAATTCCCACCAGCAATGTACAAAAGTTTCAGTCTTTCCACATCCTCACCTTGTCATTTTCTGGGTCTTTTGTTCCTATTTTCCAGTTGTTGGCTGCTTTTTGGTTTTCTCATCTGCTTTTTTTTATAGTAGCCTTCTTAGTAGGCATGAGGTGGTTTCATCCTGGTTCCCGCTCCCATTTCCCTAGTGACTAATAATGTTGAGTATTTTTTCATGTGTTTATTGGTCACTTGTTGATCTTCTTTGGAAAATGTCTATTCAAGTTCTTGATCCATTTGTAAGTCAGTTTGTTTTGTTGTTGAGTTAGGTGCATATATTTTGCACTTTATCAGGTAGATATATAATTATAAATCTTTGCATCCACTCTCTGGGTTTTCTTTTCATTCCATTGATTGTGTCCTTTGATGCACAGAAGTTTTAAATTGTGACATGTGATTTATTTTTTTTCTTTGTTGTCTATAGGTATGTTATCAAACAAAGTTTTCATTACCATTTATTACTTCTAAATAGTATTTTAAGTTTCCTTTTTATTTCTCCAGTGATAATTTAGTGATTTAAAAGTATGTTTTAAAATTTCAAAGCATGTATAAACTTTGTATTTATCTCCTCACTCTAAATGTCTAACTTGACAGCCTCATATCAGAGCACACATGTGTGTGGTTCTGTGTGAAATTAACTGAGATTTATGCTAGTGACCTACTATGTTGCCGCAGTTTGTAAATATCTCACACGTGCTTGAGAACATGTGTGCTCTCCTTGTGGAATGAAAATTCTGCATATAACATTAGATCAAGCATGTTGCATTGCTTAAACTTTTCCTACCTTTGCTAAGTTTTTATTTCCATTTCCTTCACTTTTGTTAGCACTTTTCATTTCAAATCTACTTTTTCTGATTCTCATTCATGCTCTTAGCTAATATTTATCTGGTATGTTTTTTTCCATTCCTTTACCTTCAACCTTTTATGCTGTTTTGTTTTAGCCAGATCTTTTGATAAGTTTATAGCTTTAAAGTTTGTATCTTAACTTGCAGTCTTTTTCACTAGCTGCCAAATTAAACACATTTACATTTGTTCTGAATGTTGATATATTTGAATGTGCTATGATCCTATTTTAAAATATTTTACCAATTCCTATGCTTTTATGTTTGTTTTCCTCACTTTTTGCTTCTTTTAAAATTAACTTTTTGATAAATTTTCCCCCTCCTCTTTGCCATATTAGAAATCCTTCCCCCATGCTTCTATTTTTGGGGGGGATTATCCCTGAAATTTTATTACATGTATTTAACACAGAGAATGTTAAATTTAAATATCATTCTCTCTCCAAAAAAGTAATTCTCTCTCTTTAAAAAAAAAGACTTTAGAGTTTCTGTGATTCATTCTCCCCCCCATTCTGGCTTTTATTCTACTATCACCTAATAGTGCATATTTTTCATGCCCACAAATTACCTGAGATAAACGTTGCTCGTTTAAAAGCGAGGGCTTATTTGCCATTGTTTTTTCACCCTCCTGTCCTGCATCTCAGGTCATTCTTCTCCTTCTGCATTACATTCTGAAGAAATCCCTTTATGCTTGGGGTCCTGGCGGTATGTATGCTTATCTACATACTTTCTTTTTTCCTCATTCTTGAGCAATGGCTTTGTTGGTAATTAACTTTACGCTAATTATTCTTTTCTGTCAGCGTTTTAAGACTGTCAGCTGTCTTCTGGCTGCCAGCGATGTTGAGAAAATCTGCTCTTAGTCTAAGTGCTGCCCCCTTACAGGTGCTCGGTATTTCTGACTGCTTTTTTTGTTTTTGTTTTTTGCCTTTGAAGTTCCGCAGTTTCACCGCTGCGTGTTTCCATTCAGATCCAGCTTGAAACATACTGTGGCTCCTGGGCCTCAGGATCTGCTTTTCAGCAGTTCTGCAATAGTTCTAGAACCAGCATCGTCTCTGTAATCATTGTCTACCTCAACATGCTCCCTTTTCTCTTTCTATGTCAGGTGCATGTTAGAACTTCTCACTCCATCTCACAGGATTCTGGGAAAATCCTTCAGATACATGAATTTCCTCTTTACCTATGAATAACCCATTGCTTTTTTTTTTTTTTTTTTTTTTTTTTTTGGTGCCGGGGATTGAACTCATGACTTCGCAGGCAGGCGCTTATGCCATTGAGCTAAATCCCAGGCTAACCCATTGTTTTTCAACCAAAACATTATTTTCTTTTTTTAAAATTTATTTATCTTAAGGCTGATTATATGTTTCTAACTTTTTGGGATTTTTAAAACATACACTATTAATCTCCCTCCTGACACTATGAGAAAATATATGAGATAATCCACCTTTGAGGAGAAGAATTTCATTTCAGCTCATGGTTTCAGAGGTTTCAGTCCATGGCCACCTGGCCTTGTTGCTTTGGACCTGTGGCAGCACAATGCATTGTGGTGGGATGCATGGTGAAAGAGAACTCTATCCCAGGAAGCAAAGAGAGAAGCAAGTGGGCTGGGCTTCCAATATCCTGCCCAGGGGTGTACCCCCTATAACCTAATTCCCTCCCAAGAGGCCCTACATCCTACAGGTTCTGCTGCCTCTCAGTAGCACCATAGGCTGATGCCCAAGGACCATATTTATTGTATTCCATATTTTTTGTAAGCCCCTAGCCTGTATTTTGTATTTGGACATCCCAACATTTGTAATTCTCAGAAAGATAATTCTAATGTTTCTGGTCTGCTGTTTCTCACAAATAGGGCCTTGTTCCTTATGTATCTGATAATCTCTTACTTGTGAGGCTACACTTTGTAGTCAGCAGGAATTCTATAAGGATGACCAGAGAATCCTTGAGAAGGCTCGCTTCCATTTCTGCATGGATCTGAAGGTACTCCATCCAGAATTACCAAAGCCCTTGTCTGAGGCTTTGATGCAGAGGCAAGAACTTTGTTTCAGGGGTAATAACCTCTTCTTGTTGCTGTCCAACAAATTCTCCAGGATCAGATTCTCCATGATCATGTTGCCAAATGAATGCAGTATTAGGAAGGCCTCTTTGCTCAGGGCTGACTGCAGGCTTCGGTTAGAACCTGCTGCTCAATTTCCCACCATGCCAACCCTTCTCATGACCCTGGTCCCACCTCTGTCTTCAAGGACTTGGGTCCTGGCCCCAACCCTCACCGCTGGGAAGCTGTTTTTTGCTTGGTTTAGGACCATGTCCTGAGGCCCCTCCTATGTCTGAAAGACCAGCAGTCCCTAAGAGGATGCATCTCACCTAAAGTCCACCTGCTGTGGAACCATAACTTTTTCTCAGAGCTTCTATATATTTATGGTACAGGCCATGATAGTTTTTCCAAGCACAATACAATGCAACTCCATCTGTTATTTTAATATTACCTTTTTAAAAAATGTAAAATATCTAATTGATAAAAATTTTATACATTCAAGACATGTCATATGATGATTTGAAATATGTATGCATTAGGTAATAATTACTACAACCAAATGAAGTAACACGTCCTTTACCATCCAGGCTTTGGAACTTGTTCAGTGTTACCTTTCTGTACTGTACATGCTTGCAGCGCACAGTGATTACATTTAGCTCACTGTATGTACCACACATACTGTACCTTCGCCTTTTTACTCCCCCTCCCAGCCCTGCCCTCCACTTTTCCTCTTCCTCTCAGTCCTCTTTCCATCTCTGCAAAATCTACCTCCCTGTTAAACATTATCTTGACTCCATTATCCCCAGTCATTAGTCTTTGCAGCAGAAGTGCTACTGTGGTGCATGTTAGTGTTTTCTGTGCTTTGTGTGAAATTTATCCACAAGCTTGACTAAATGAGTGGGCTGAAATCTACCCACAGCACTCTGAAAGTGGATCTCAGCAGATTTTTCACATGCATTTACTCCAGGCGTGTACCACTGTGCCCAGTTCCTTCCTCTAGTTGATGCAATGGAGTCCCATGTACCACATATAGGGGTCCTTGCTGTCTGTGGAATGATCCCCAGCTCTGAGCCAGGCATTCTGGATGGCAGTTGTCTATCCACAGAGACGTTCTCACTTCTTGCCTAAGTTCTCAGTCTGAAGCTGGTTCCACTCTGACATTCTTGGCTCTCCTGGGAGCCAGCATCCATCATGCACTCTGGGCAGCTTCTTCAGGTGAGTGAAAGAACCACCCTTTATCCCCAGGTATAAAATGGACGCCTGATGAGAACGGAGTCATTGCCTTCGACTGCCGGAACAGCGGCTGGTGAGAGTGGGCGGGGACGCCTCTGGGGCTGGTGTATACCTCACAGCTTGGGTTTTGTCTTGCTCTGCTCCACCGCCTGCTCCCTTCTCTCCCACTCCCCCAGGGTTTGGATGCATAGACCTTAATCCAACAGGAGAGTAGGAAGAGCTGCCAGCTGCAACCACCGCCCACATCTGCACTCACTCCTGGATGTATCATATTGTCTTTCTCAACCCACACCTTCATCCAAGACACTCAGCTGCCTCCACGTCAAGCCTCTCTTAGGCTCTCCTCTCCCCCGACACCCGTCCTGGCAGATCATCACACGAGCTGAGGCTGTAACGCAGCTCTCTCGTCCTTCTAGCCCTCAGGATCCCCAGTTGGTCTAAATCCAAAGAGCAAAGATTACCCTGCAGCCTGGCAAGGGCCATTAGATGGACATGTTCCTTATTATTTCCACTCCAATGGCTTCAGAAGTGCCCAGTGTTTATGGGACACAATCAAACCCAGCACAGATGAGACACTGACCTGAATTTTGGGTCTACTTGGGTCAGAATATGAGTTACTGTGCAAATAGCTGGAGGTTTGTGGCCAAGTGGTTGTTCTAGCTTTGATCTTTCCATCTTTGATCTGTCCTTTTCTTTCTGTTAAAGGTACATACAAGCTGCCACTTCTCCCAAGGACATAGTGATTCTGGTAGACGTGAGTGGGAGCATGAAGGGGCTGAGGATGGCAATTGCCAAACACACCATCACCACCATCTTGGACACGCTGGGGGAGAATGACTTCGTCAATATTATCGCGGTAGGTGCGCCTTCCTCCAGAGCAGCTCGTGCCTCCCTAGAGAACCTTCCATCTGCATCCGGATGGCCTGTTCTTAAAGCCAGTGGGTGTCTACCCCGGAGGGTGAGTCTTCCCTCTGAACCTGGAGCTCTTCACTGAGGGTCTTCAAGAGGTCTGAAATTCCAGGTAAGGGGTGCAGGTCCATTTCATCCAGGCCATCTCTTTCATCAGTCTCTCAGAGGAGTCTGGCGTCTAATACAGGGAACAACACTTGGCCTGAGTGAACCTGCCTCACCCTCCTCTGTTTGTTCCCGGCTCACACTGTCTGTCACTAAGCAACCTCTCTCGTTCCGGGGGACAAATGCCCCCTGGCCTTGCTCCAGTTCCTTTTCCCACTCCAGTTCAGACACACGGGGAGAAAGAAGGAAGAAACAAGGACACAAATTAGGAGAATGATTTTAAAAAGCAGCAAAAGGGAAGGTGGGCCAGTTCAGCTGTCCCTCAAGGGAGGGGACAGCCACCTTCAGGTATCACTGTGAAATCACCTGACCTCTGCCACATAGCTGGCATTTCCTTGTCCTTTGTGGAATCTACTTAGTTGGTAGTGGAATACCAAGATGAAATTATTTAGTTTTGCAATGATCATACTGGCATAAGAGAATGGCCTCCCCGCCCCTGAGCTGCTCCCCCGAGATCTTACCCAACCCAGACCAGCAGCTGCAACAGAACAGCCACAGAACACAAGTGCCACATTCCACAAGAAAGGGACAGGTGCTCCTCCCTTGGAGCCGTCCCAGTCCTTCTCTCCCACCTCCCAAAGGATTAGCAACAGCCACCAAGAGAAGCCTCACTGCTGACACTCTGGAGCGCTTCCATAGTCTCACCACCGTCTCACCCTCTTCTTTAAGCCAAAGGTGGACTAGGGACACCTGGAAGACTGCTTTCTAGATACAGATGGGGAAAAAGGGTGATTCAGAGAAAGGGGGAGGAATAACTCACTTCGCTCCCTATTCCCGTCCTCTGTGCAAAGCTGCACGAGCCTCCTTGTGCACGCAAGGCAAAGCGCCAGGGAGCAGTTCCTGGTCGGGCGTCGTGGTACGTGCCTGTAGTCGCAGCTACTTGGAAGGCTGAAGCAGCACGATTGCAAGTTCAAGACTTGCCAGGCAGGGAAGATGCTGTCTAAAAGAGAGAGGGCACAGTTTCTGACCCCCACACAGGCCTGCCTGAGGGACCTGTGGGTAGAAGGTTATGCAGCTCAGATGGGGGCTCCCTGCTGATCTAGGGGGGAAGGGCACAGGTTTCTCCCACAGGTTCTCTGTACACTCTAAAGGATCACTTGGGCAGCCATCTGAGGAAGGCACTGGGACCAGGGGATGAGGGGAGATTTTGAGAGCCAAGGCCCAACTGTTCTGTCTGCTCAGAAAAACTGCAAAAGGCACAGTGGACCCCAAGCTGATAATGCACAGGCACCTCAGTGCATGCTGAGAGCTGCCTGAGCCCTCAGCCAGTGGGCCCCAACTTTCCATGCTGACCTGTCTGGCCTCTCTCTCTCCTCTCTCTGAAACCACAGTACAATGACTACGTCCATTATATCGAGCCCTGTTTTAAAGGCATCCTTGTCCAGGCAGACCGAGACAACCGAGAGGTAAGTGCCTGTCTGAGGCCGGATGCCCTTGTCATGTGCAGCCTGACTCCTGGTCCTTTTTGCTATGTCCCTGGTGCTTGGAGGAGCAGAGCAAATCAGCAGTTACCCTGCAGACACTGGGGAACCAGCCTGACCAATGTGTTGCTGTTTATCTGAGCTCCGGTAAACAAAGCGACCTCACATCTGTGGGGTCTTCCCAGACTGCGGACTGGCCTTCTGCAGACCGTCCGGGGCTCAGCCTCCCACATGGCATCCCAGCTGGCCTTTCCACCATGTCAGTCTTCATGAGGAGCTTCCCTAATGGAGGGCAAATTCAAATCCCTTGACCTGAGTCTTTTTCTCTAATAAAAAACCAAAGCTAAGAAGACAGGACAACTATTTTTAAGAGAATCTCTGCGTCTGTCTGGGATCAGAGAGTTTGGGTTTAGCTTCCTCTTGAACTTCAGCCCTGGCACCTCCTGTGACATGCTCACCACTGAGTTAAGGGCTGGATGCTGAGGTCACCCCTCACCTCCATCCTGGACTGTCCTCCCTCTGGTGGGCAGCATACTTGGCACTTCCTCCAGTGGGGGACGTGGATTTGTACCAGGCCCTCCATACTCCCTCTAATTATGTTGAGAGCATCTGAGAAACACCTGCAGAGGGGTTCAGCTGCACTATGAGCGGGGGCTGTGCATTCGCATCCTCAGGCATTAGTTCCAATCAGCCTCCTCAATTGGCCAGATATGAGAGGTCTCTGATTGCTCTATCCACTGAGCCCCTTTTAATGTTTACCCTGACAGCATTTCAAACAGCTGGTGGATGAGCTGGTGGTCAAAGGCGTGGGGGTCGTGGACCAAGCCCTGAGTGAGGCCTTCGAGATCCTGAAGCAGGTACTTGTAGCTGTGAAGCCTGGAGGGCTGCAGGAGTAGGAGAAGGAGCCCAGGTGGAGGCTGGGCAGTCCTGGCCTCTCACACCCATGCCCTTCTCTGTCCCAAACAGTTCCAAGAGGCTGGACGTGGAAGTCTCTGCAACCAGGCCATCATGCTGATCACTGACGGGGCTGTGGAGGACTACGAGCCAGTTTTTGAGAAGTATAACTGGCCAGACTGCAAGGTGATGCTCTCGGTGGGGTCATGGCTGGGGAGGAGGGAGCCTCTCCCACTTCCAGAGGTAGGCTTCTCCCACTGCCATGGAAGGGCAGCCACAGGACAGCCTCAAATTCAAAGTCCTTTGCCATTAGAGCCATTCACAGATTCAGACCTGTCCTGATTGGGTGTCCCAATGCTAGGCTGGACCCTGGGCCCTGAGGACTGATACAAGGGGCTTCAAAGTGGAGGACCAGGGGATGGTTTTGAGACAGAAGAACTGACAGAATGCCTGGCCTTGAACCTGCTCTACAATCACCATGGCTCTGGGAAAGTCACCATGGCTCTGGGAAAGTTACATTGCTGCTCAGGCCCCAGGGTCTTTTCTGATTAACAAGGACACAAGCCAGGCATCATGATACAGACCTGCACTCTGGAAGGCTGAGGCAGGAGAAGCACAAGTTCAAGCCCAGCCTGGGCAACTTACCCACTTAGTGAGACCTTGTCTCGAAATAGAAAATTTAAAAATGGCTGAGACTATAGCTCAGTGCAAAGGTACTAGGTTCAATCCCTACTACTAGAAAAAGGGAGTGTATAGGAGTAGAGCTCAGTAACTGAAATTGAGCCTGACCCAGCAACCTCGCCTCACCTAAAGAGGCGCTCACCGCTGCATACGAAGTCAACCTGCATCTCGCGGCTTAGGTCCGAGTCTTCACCTACCTCATTGGGAGAGAAGTGTCTTCTGCGGACCGCCTAAAGTGGATTGCCTGCAACAACAAGGGTAAGTCCTGCAGCCCAAGCCCGCACCCCGCTGGGACAGCGCCCCAGTCACCACTGGTGCTGAGCACAGGGTCCGGACCAGACCGGGGCTTTGCAGGGGAGAGAACAGCTGCCTCCGCCCTCTTTCCTGCCCGGAAAAGGTGAGACAGCAGGTAGCTTCCTTGTGGAGTCTGAGTTAGAGATCCACGACTCTTCAGGGCCTCTGAGCCCTGATGTCACTCAAAGTGGAAGTTAGAAGTCTGTCTACCTAGCGTTCGCACCAGGGACAGTTGTCTTCAAGTGCAGCCTGGTACAGGACCACAATGGAGGAGACAGGGTTCGAGGCACGGCTGGGCCCGTGTTTTCAGTTCCACCCTTTCTTCTGTTCCACTTCCGTTCCTCCTGCAGCAATCAAGTCACTGACTCTGATCAAAGGCAAAAAGCAGAGAGCCACTGTTCTCTTTGAAATAATGTTTTACATGCAAACTGCCCTCCTCTAGTTCTGACCAATGTTCAAGACCTGGACTTTGCAGTGTCATTTTAGGTTCTGGTGATGCAGCAAAATGTACAGAACCTCTGCTGTGTACTCGGTCCTGTTTCTAGGCACTGGGGAACTGAGAGAGGTCAGGGCGGACTCAGGGCCAGTCTTCCTCTCCATAAGCCCAGTGAGGGAGCCCTCCACTGTGATATAACTGGACTTGTGCTGAGATAGTACCAAGCATAGAGTGGACAGGATGATGCAGGAGCCAAGGAGTTTGAGGGTGACAGTGAAGGGTATTCCACACAGAGAGAGCAGCATGTTCAAAGGGCCCGAGGCAGGGGGCGTTGCTGGACATTCCTGTACTGCTTTGCTGGCATGTGGAATGAATGTTTTGTGAGAAACAATGAGGCCAGAGAGGTGAGCCTGGGCTACAGCATTCATAACCTTAGAAACCCTGTTAAATATCACTATGGGTACAGGGAAGAGACCGAAGCCCCGCCCTGCCCCGCCCCCAGCCTGAGGAAAGACAGTGGTCAGGGAAATGAGGACCTGGTCTTAGAAGAGGACAAGAACCACTGCTCTGAAGAGATCTGCCCCAAAGCAGAACTAAAACGGAGCCACCCCTCGGGGGTGTGTGGATGCCTGCTGCTCTCCCGGGCAGCCCCTGAGCTGGGAGGGTCACTGGGGGTCTCCCAGCTTGAGGCAGATGGCCTTTTGTCCCCTGGGGCTTCCAGCCACCCTGGGGATGAGATGTAACCCCAGGGAGGCAGCTTCCAGAGAGGGGTGTGAGCTGTCAGTAGCTTGCAGGGGGCAGGGCTGCCTAGGTCCCCCTGCAGCCCAGCCCTCCCATTTCCCCAGGCTACTACACACAGATCTCCACGCTGGCAGATGCCCAGGAGAACGTGATGGAATACCTGCACGTGCTCAGCCGGCCCATGGTCATCAACCATGACCACGACATCATCTGGACAGAAGCCTACATGGACAGCAAGGTGGGCCTGCGGGTGGCTCCGGACGGAGATAGCTTTCTGGGTCAGAGAAGGTGAGAGCCACGCCTCCTCAGGAAAAGCCATGGAGGGAAGACGCGTCCTCTCCTTCCCTCAGCAGCCCTCACCTACTAACAGGCCAACGTGCTGTCCCCAGGGACCCAGAGCCCTGGCTCCTACACACCCACCCACCACACGGACAGACCCCCGCTCAGATGTGCTCCTCCTCCCTCCGTCCCCTCGGCCACCTCCCTCACTACCTTGTCTTCCTCCTGCTGGGAAGAAAGCTGTCACACAATAGCTCGCCATCTTGGTGCTCCCCCATACATACACTCCGGGGTCCCCACATTTCAGGACTGAAGGAACAAAGGTCTTACACAAAGGCGCAAACAGCAAAGGTAGAAGTAGAGGTTGTGGGGAAGGGGAACCTTCCTGCCACTTCTCAAATCCCATCACTGTGGAGCACCTGCTGGTGGTGCAGCACAGACTGATTCTGAGAGAGGCTGAAAGTGCTGGTTTAAATAAGACGGACGCACAGCCCTTCTCCACACAGCAGAGGCTTAGAGGTAGGCATCCCGCAGTCCATGAGGAGCTCACCAGTCATCAGGGACCAGGCTTCTTCCACCTCCCTGGGATGCGACCCGTCCCCCTGCTCAGAGCGGCTGGTGGAATTCTAGCCAACTGAAATTCTAGCATTGGGAGGGTGGGAAGGGAGTGGGCTGGGCTCCATCCGTTACCAGAGGCTTCTCAGGAGGCTTCCTGGCCCCTGTCTCTGACCAGGACACATTCTCGGCTTGACGGCCCCCGGGGCAAGGAGCCTGGGAACTAACTCAGCTTTTCTTCTGACTTGTTCTGTATCTAAGGGTAGTGGGACTCATCTCTTAATAGTCTATATGAGCCATTTACCCAATTTGGAATTTAAAGCCACATTAATTGGTTTTAAAGAGACTGCAGCTAATAAGTCCTGCCTGGACACGTCACTGGTCTATCACCTCCTGCTGTCCCCGAGGCTGATGCTCGGAAGGGAAGAGCGTGCTTCACTGGGCAGCGATGCCTTCCTCTCAGGTCCTCGCTGTTTGGATGACCCTGTCTGTCCAACACAGAGCGGAGAGCCAGTGGGGCAGCGTCCCTTGCCCTTGTCCCCCTCACACAGTGCCTCATCTGCTCTCTTTGGTTCTTGTTCCTTCTTGGTCCTGCCTCCGTCCAGCATCGTGGCAGCTGCCAGTCTGGGGAGAGGGTCCCCCTGCACACCTAGTGCATGCGTCCCTCCTGCAGGGTGTGGAGTTGTGCTAGGGGAGCTGGCAAAGGAAGCCTTTCACAACCCTAAAGTCCAACGGAAGAACATTGTGCCCTGAAAAACAATGCAGTGCTTGGGTGAGTTCAGCAGAAGGAACAGGAAAAGGAGAATGAATATGGGTAGAGACAACACCTTGTTTTCCTGTAATACCATAAAAGTGACTTTGTACCAATTGTGGTAGTGCACATCTGTAATCTCAGCTGCATGGAAAGCTGAGGCAGGAGGATTTCCAGGTTAAAGCCAGCCTGGACCACTTAGCAAGAGCTTATCTCAGAATAAAATAGGATAGGGCTGGGGATTTAGCTCAGAGGCATAAGCACCTGCCTTGCAAGCGCGTGGTCGTGAGTTCGATCCCCAGTACTAATTAAAAAAAAAAAAAAGACAGGATAGGGATACAGCTCAGTAATACAGCACTGTCCTAGCATATGCAAGACTCCAAATTTCATCCTTAGTAACACACACACACACACACACACACACACACACACACACACACGTACACAATTTCCTGTTCTAGACAAGTTGTATTAGGTTGTCCTCATGGACGAACTTTGGGGTCTCTGCTTCCTCCAAGCACATAAATGAAGTTACAGCTTTATCTTCACTTTAAAAAATGACACCTGTCCCCTCAATTAAAATCCCCCAAGGGACTGGGGATGTAGCTCAGGGGCAGGGAATATAGCTCAGCGGCATGGCACCTGCCTGGCACGTGGGAGGTCCTCAGTTCAATTCTTGCAACCAAAAAATAAAACAAAATCCTGCTAGTCCTGTATCTCCTCTATTTCCTCCTTCCCTCTTCTCTGGGACTTTCGGGTCTCTGAGGTCAGGATCTAAACCTCTGAGCTGAGGCTGTTAGTCCATTGGATGGATAGATGTCCCCACTCCACACCAGTGCCTCACCCTAATGTAAAATGGTTCCTAAGAGGAGGAGTCTGGAGGGGGGACCTAGCAGCTGCCTGCCCACTGACACCTCCACAAACCCACAACTCAAGGAGACGTGAGCGCTTTCATGTCACCCACAGAGATGTGTCTGAGCACAGAACACAACTGGGTGTCAGTGTGTTCCACTTTCAGGAAGCCGCACTTCTCAGCTCAACACTGAAAAATCAGATGAGGTAAAGGAAGAAGACTGAAGGTCAAAATTCTTCCTTTTCCAAAAAATGTCCTGCGGACATCCATGACTCAGCAACCTCTGAACAAAGGTCAGGTTTGCACAGCTTAACTGCATAAGCACCTTCCACACTTGCTGTCTTTGTTTCAAAGCAGGGCACACAGGTGGAGCTCCTGTCCAGGCTGCTAAGGAAACTGGCACAGTGAGATGAGGTGGCTGCAGGGGAGGGAGCCATCCCTGGGGGCGGGGCATGATTCTGGCTCTGAGTTCTGAATGGAGAGAGCTGTGGGTCCTCCTGGGTGCATTAGAGGTGACCTGAGGAGAATGACAGTTGCACTACACCCTGCATCACACTGTGGCTCCTCACACAGATGCTTGTGTTGGAGAGTGGCTCTGGAGCAATGTCCTTGTTCCCCTCACCTGCCCTTGGTTATGGTTCACAGCAACCCCGGATCCATATCAGAGGTTTGCGCGTATCCTCATGCCAGGCTAAGCCTCTTTACTTCTGGAAGGCACAGAATGGCCCATTTTCCCCAGTTCAGGCTCATCTGTGGCCTGGCCAAGCTCAAAGAGCTTGGTAGCGTGCCTGAGAGCTGGGTGTGGGCTCAGGGCTTTGCCTAGTGACATGAGCCTGGGGCTCCTGCTCAGTCATCTCTCTCTCAGAATTCCTGCCAGCTCCCTTTTGCGAGAAGGGAAGCCTCATCTGAGATCTCTTCCTGCCTGTGGCAGGTGACGCTGAGTAGCTGACAATGACCACGTCCTCCACACTGTGCTCTGAGCAGGGCATACCAGTGGGTCCCTCAGCCTCCCCCAACCTCTGCCCTTTCCTCTCTAGCAGCTCTTTGCCTCAAAGACACAGAGTTCGATGCTCCTCACTACCGTGGCCATGCCTGTCTTCAGCAAAAAGAATGAAACGGTGAGTGGCCACTCTCTGAGAGGCGGCAGGAGGGACCTGAACACCTTTACAGGCTGATGGCTGCTCACTGGGATGAGCATGGAAGCTGGCTGGGGCGAGTTTGAGTGCAGACTCCCATACCCTGTCCCAGGCTGGCCACATTGTGATCAGCAGTCAGTGGTGAGACTGGGGGTCTCTAGCTTCCCAGCGCTCTCGCCCCTCAGTGATTCTACTCATCCAGGTGAGACTCAGTTCTGCCTTCGGTCTGCTACTTTGGGGATGCAAGGCTGGAGGAGGCATCTGCCAGCCTTCCAGCAAAACCACACTAACCTACCAGGCTAGGAAGACTCTAATTTGGTTTTAAAACCCTCTGGTGAGAGACTATCTGGAAACTTTCATACTCCCCGTGGTCAGGAAATGCATTATCGGCCATATGCCCTGCTGAGTCCCTTAGATCCCAGTGCTTCAGCTTCTGATGTGAAGATTAATGTTTCATTCAACTTTGTATTTCATTTAAATATTACCACTAAAATATTAATACAGGGCACTAATCTTCTGAGCAGCTAAGAGGGCTCGCAGGGCCTTTCCTGACAGGTTCTAAGTTTTCATTTAGAGAGCTAAAATCTAATTGCAAGGAAGGTCTACCTGAGATGCAAGTGGCTTTCTCAGACCTAGATCTAATCTAGCCTGGCGTACAGGGAAGCCTGCCCTGACTCACCCCTGTGGTTCTCTTCCAGAGATCCCACGGCATTCTTCTGGGTGTGGTGGGCTCTGATGTGACGCTGAGAGAGCTAATGAAGCTGGCACCCCGCTACAAGGTGAGCCTGGGTCAGTCCCTGCCTTTAGGGAGGCAGTTGTCAGATTTCAGCACTGTAACAACATGTCTGAGCAAATTAACTTAAAAGGAGGAAAGACTTATTTTGGCTCCTGGTTTCAGAAAGGTCAGTCTATGGTTGGTTGACCCTGATGCTTTTGGGTTTGTGATGACGCAACATATCACAAGGGGACCTTGAGTGGGGCAACGCTGCCAGTCACACAGCAGCACAGAAGAGAGGGATGAGAAGGGGCTGGACTCCCACTGTGCCCTTCAAGGACACACCTAAGACCAGTGACCTAACTTCTTCCCGGCAAGCCCCCACCCGCAAGCCGTTGGTATGGAAGGAAGCCTTTGGGATCCAGACCATAACAGGAGGCAACTACAGGATGTGTGGGACAGTCCCCAAGCCCATGAGCCTCTCCCCCGGGAGAGGCAGCCCAGCCCACAGTGAGGAAGGGGCTGCTCCGTACGGGTCCCGGCACGAGGCAGCGGCAGTTTGTCCTCCTGGAACCCTTGCTTTGTGGCCTTCAGGAAGTTGCTTGTTTGCCCGGTGCCCCCGTTGCTCAATCTGTTTCTCCATGCCTCACAGTCCAGCTTTGAGGGTGAGTGAGATGAGGCCATCAAGGTGCCTAGAGTAGGTGTTGGGGAAGAGTCAGGAGTCAGGCAGCAGTGCTATGGCTGCTCCAATCAGCAGGGCTGCGAAAGGACCAGAATCAGTTGGTGGGAGTGTGATGCTGGCTCAGTTACACACCTTTAAAATCTCATAGCTGTTGTCATCTTGAGCCACTACGCAGCCACAAACCTCTTCCCGACTCTAGTCATCCAACACAAACAGCCACTTAATGCTCTCCACCCCTGACTGGCAGCTCGGGGTACACGGATACGCCTTTCTGAACACTAACAACGGCTACATCCTCTCCCATCCTGACCTCCGGCCTTTGGTAGGTACAACTCATCTTTGCCTTGGGATTCTAATACTATGGGCTTCAGGAGTAGTTCACAAAACATCCAAAACCCGGTAGATAACATGAGAAAAAATATTTTAAGTCATGATCCTTGTCTTCAAATTATTTATAAATCTATTAATCGAGATAAGATAAAAATATGTGAGATGATTGAGAAGCACACCAGAGAGCATGTAATTTGAGGCTGTGGTTTTGAAGCTAAAGAACTCTGTAGGAGAGTGTGTTCAGCTTTCTATTACTATAACAAAATACCTTAGAAAATCAACTTAGAGGAAAGACATATTTTGGTGTGTAGCTTTAGAGGTCTCAATTTTTAGTCAGTTGACCTACTGCCTCTAGGCTTCTGATATGGGGGGAGGCACCATATTACGGCAGGAAAATGTAGTATTCGTAGTGGTGGGAGAAGAGAGAGAGAGAGGGAGAGACATCCAGAACTTTCTCTGAAGTCACACTGCCAATGACCTAACCTGCTCCCACTAGACCTCGCTCCTTAAAAGTCACCATGTGGGGGCTATGCCTATAATACATGAGCTTTTGGAGGACCTCACAGATCAAGCATAGCGGACACTGGCCCACAGTCCCCTCACTACCTCAGTCACTCTGGTTCTCTTGCAGCTTAACGAGTGCATCAGCAGAGCTCCAGGGGGCCCGAACAATGGGCTCACAAAAACAATGACAGGGGACCTCTCACAACAGGTGGGGGGCAGTGTATAGACTGTGAGTTTATCCTAGGGTGTCCCTGAGTAAGCCTGCCCGCTTCCTAGCTCTCTCCATTTTGACACAGGTGCTCAGGGTATTTTCACATGAGTTCAACTCAGCAATTGGTGACTGACAAAGAAGGCTGCATCCCTCTGTCTGACCCTGAAGTGGGGGTCTCTCTCCTTCCCTGGTCGCAGTACACATCCATGGCCATGGCCGCGGCCATCATGACTGCCTCTTTCAGTGCCGTGGTTGGAAGGGGAGCTAACGTCCTGGAGGGATCTTAGCACTCTCCCCTCCCCCAGTCTTTTGTCAGGTAGAGTTCAGGGCAATACACCTCTGGAACATTTTCTTTGCCCTTGAGATCATTTGTAGAGGCCAAACTATACTGTAGTCCATTCTGTTTGATTCAAATAGATATTGGGTGTCCACAAGACAACTGATTGAGCTATTTTAGTCAAACTACAGGGCTTAGGGTGGAGAGATCTGAGCACACAAGAGCCCAGTCCCCTTTGTCTCCCCAATTCCAGTTCAGATTCTGAGGGGAACTCTACCCATGCTGTGTCACAGTGGGTTCAGTGCGAGACAGCCTCATTGCTAACAAGTGTCTTACTAAGGAAGAAATAATACCAGTGTCGATTCTGGAGCTCACTTGTAGAATTAAGGGCACTGATCATAAACCCACCAGTCACCATCTGTGTCATCCAGATGAATATAAGTCTTTGACCAATCAATTTGTATTGTGAATTGCCTACATCATGTGTCTGACCTTATGGTGTTTTGAAGAATGCTATGAACAGAAATTGATATCAAATTAAGAAAGTAAGGTTTATACAAATTAAACAATTACAGAATATTACCACATGGGACATGACTACATAACAAGAGAGGTGGGAAGGCCAGTGTCATGAGCTCTCTAATGAAGCCACTGTCAGGAAAACATTAAAGAGTGATCCTAGCAATAAACAAAAAAGTCATAAATCATACTGTGCACCTGAACTCTTCCTATGTCAGTGCCCCTAACAGAGCAGAATTGTGGATTTAACATGAAGGGCTAAAGATGACCTTTCAGGGAGCATCAGGATTTAGCCAAAGGCAGTGGAGTGTTGGCACTCAATCCAAGGAAACAGATTGCAACAAAACATGGCAGGATTGTGTGGACATCAACAAGGCAACGTGCAGAACATCGTGTAGCCATGAGGGAGGAGGACAGAACCACGCTGCTGCAGAGGTTCCATTACAGACATCCTGGACAGACACAAAACAATAACGATGCTATCTTGAGAAAAAATGATCAGACAATTAAAAAATACTCTCAAATCACAACACACAAAGACAGGGACTTCAACCACACAAGCCTCTGCTGGGGCCTCATTTTACTGATGCAGACAATTACATTTTTAATTTACCCTGATGATAAACCATCCTCTTCCATTTTACGATGGGGTTACCAAAGCTGGGAAGTACTGAAGACTTAATTGTAGATAATTTGGTGATGTCTGTCTTAGCATGGGGAGGGGTATCAAGGCCAGAAAATAATTATGGTAGAATGTTAATTAATAGCTATCCAGCAGGAGATGAGTTGTTATTAAGCTCTGCAGAGCTGGGCTTGGCTCTGTTCCCTTCAAAAATTCCACAAGATGAAAATGCACATGACAGATGTCATAAGGTCTGCAAGGCAGGGCTAATCTAGTAAGTGAGGGGGAATACAAGAAAGTGTTGCCTCCCACAAAGCACAATATTCTCATAAGGCAATGAGCTAAAACTAACGAGATGAAATTGATTACGAATGGACAGATACATGATTCAACAGTGCATCACAGGGTGGAGGGAAACCAAGTCTGCCTGACTACAGTCTTAATCTGAGATGACACAGTAGGATGACCCAGCAGCCTTTAGAAGTGCAAGATACTTTTGTTCACAGGTCATACCCACACACCACAGTGGCCGGAATCCATGTGGAATATTGATTTTTATTCTTCAATCTCCATTTGGAGTGCCTGAGAAAGCAGAATGTGTTCAGAGGGAGCCAAGCCATCTGCAGACTGGGAATGTTAGGCTGGGAGAGTCACTCCCGAGAGTGTCAGGGCCTTTGAACAGCCGGAGGGTTGTCAGGGGAAGCACATTCTGTGACTCCAGGGGAAGGAACTAAGACCAGCAGATAAAAGTTACAGGAAGGCAAATTCCAGGTCTGTAGGAGGAAGAACTTTCTAACAATTAGAGCTATCCAAACTATGACAGCTGACTCACAAATCAGGGAGGTCCTTGTCATGGGAAACATCCACCCAGTGGCCACGGGACCATCTGTCACAAATGTTGGCAAGGAAAGCTGTGCGTTGGATGGCAATTTGGTCCAGATAGCTTAAGGAATCCCTAAGGTTCTCTGATTTCGTTTGTGTACATGAAAGACTTTATGTAATAGAGGAAGTAAGAGAGAGCCACGTGCTAACCTGGTGTTTTCCTTCCTACCCACCCACTGCAGTACAGAGAGGGGAAAAAACTGAAACCCAAGCCCAACTACAACAGTGTGGACCTCTCTGAAGTGGAGTGGGAAGACCAAGCCGAAGTTGTGAGTGGGGAAAGGAAGGGAGAAGAGGAGTTGGTTTATGAAGTCCCATTTTGAACCAATGAATGGCTGTGGGCATCGAGGTTGCTCTGTTCTTCATAGGCAGAATGGTTCAGTCCCAGAGCCTTTACAAACACCAGCCAGAATTCCTGTAATGTGTCATTCCTTTAACAACTAAGAGAAGATGACTTCCTAAGTCACAGGGATTGTAGAGAATGGATGAACCATGTCTCTAAACTACTGAGTTTGAGTCTCAGTGATGTGTCAACCTGTCCTTTGGTCTCCATATCATATCTTGGAAAAAAAACTATGTCTCGGCAACGTGACACTGGAGCCCCAGTGCCTCAGGCCCCTTGGGAGAACTGACTTGGTGACTGCCCAGAATTGTAATCTAAATGGCACCTAGAGTCGGGTCTCTCTTCTCTCCCGGCATTCTGTTCAGAGGCAAGGGGAAGAGTGTCCTAAGGGATCCCCTATAATCTGATGGGAAAAGTTCAGGTCCTCGAATCCTCCAGCATGACTCATGGGACTAACACCATTTTCTTTCCCTTCAAAGCTGAGGACAGCCATGATTAATAGGGAAACGGGTTCCTTCTCCATGGATGTGAAGGCTCCTCTGGACAAAGGGGTAAGGCGCTGGACGCTGAACCAGGCAAGGTTCTACTAAGGCAGATTGCAACCTTTGCATTGAGATTTGATTCAGATTTAGCTTAAAGCGAACATACATTGGTGCTTGCTGTAGCCTATAAGGCTTGCTTAGAGGCCAGTCTCAGGGAGTGGCTGCCCCAGGAAACCCTGGCCAAGGAGTCCCACTCCTGTCACATCTGTGTTTGGTTCTTTGGAGACTGGTAAGTGCGGCAGGTTAGCTCAAGTCACCTGCAGCTCTTCTTCCTTCTGCTGCCTGCTATTTGGCCCTTTGGTTGTTTATGATGAGAAGGGGGAAAGTGACAGTTAATTTTGCAAATTGTCAGCAGCTCTGCAAAAACATGTTTTGTGAAAAGAGACTGAAAATATCTGCTCCACCCTGTGGCTGATTTTCACCCACTTGTAATCCCAGAGAACCAGGAATCAATACCCTTGTTGATACCAATAACTCTCTTTACAGACCCACATATCATTTAGAAAAAGCCAATATATCTCCCTACATAGCAGGTCCCATTGCATCCACTGATTTTGCATTGTCCCCTGACATATTTACAAATGTCACCTCCTCCCACGCAGCCACCCCCACCTCCTCCTCCTGCTGCCCATCTGCCTCAGCTCAGAGAACACAGCATCTGTCTACAGCAATTAGACCTGAGCTCCTCCAAACGCAGCCCTCTGCAGAGGCCAAACAGGAAAGCACTGGGAAGCAAGGCATGCCTTTAGGGTGGTGGGGTGCTTTTCACTGTGACTACCATCGGATTTCTGTGGCATCTGTCTGGGCTTTTATAAGCTCTGGGGTTGAGAAGGGCAAAATGGGCAATTTTTAAAGTATCAGGCCACTTGTAACAGTTGCTTCTTCTCCTGATCCAAAATAGCGAAGGTTTCTTCCATTCACCCCATCCTTATCCCAGCCAGGCTCCTGCTCACATGCATGAGGGCTAGCACCCAGAGGTTTAAAAATAATATGCACAGGGCACCCAGCAACCCGGAGACAGATTTGAGCGTGTTTATGCCGTGTCTCAGACACACCAACTCAGCGAGTGTGATCAGTCCTCCACTCTCTCCTCCAGGGCTCAGTGTCCTCATGCTGCCTTCACAGTTTTCACAGCCAAGAGACAAAGTCCCAACCACACTCAGCAGTCTGGCCTTTTCCTGAAGTATCCGCTTATCCTTTCAACCTTTGTTCCTTGTCGCTAATCAGCCATCCCGGGTGCATATTCCCAGTGTAACCAAAACTTCCTGGTACATAAGTGCTTTGATAAAAAGGAGGAATAAGAAGAGAGGGAAGAGTGAGGAACTGCTATAGAGATTTCACAGCATGTAGCTGTTCCTGTCTTACAGCTACTACTGAGGGTACCAATAATGGTGGGCCACACTGATTAAAACTGGGCTGAGAACTTTCAAGTGTTTACTCATTTATCACCACCTTGTAAGGTTAGTACTCTCCTCTCCTCTCCTTTTTTATGACCATTCAAATAAGCCAAAAGCTTGCCCGGTGTCACCCAGATAATACATAGGAATTCTAGACTACATATCCCCACCTCTGGTGCCTATCTTTTCTGACGCACTGGCTCTGAATTCCTAAGTTTCTAATTTTAAAGATTTCCCCAAAGTGTCTCCAAAATAATGTTTCTATTTCATCTTAAAATCTGGCATGTTGAGGTGTTGGAGAGGTAGCTCAGTGGTAGATTCTTGCCTAGCGTGGATGAGGCCCCAACACTGAAAATATAAACAAAATAAAAACCGATGACTTCTCCACTCCATCTACCCCATTCAAGCTCTTTAGTCTTCTCTGTCTTTGCTCTTTCCCTGGAAGCTCCCGGGCCCTCCTATGCACGGGGTCAGCAAAGCAGCATGGAGCCTCTACCTTTTCCAGCTCATACAATGTGTCTTTTCTTCCTAAGTCCACTGGCTGTCACTGTGTTCCAGCTGCCCATTGATCCTGGCCCTCTCAGTTCAGTGGTGTATCTCAGCTTTTACAAGAAAATATAAGGAAAAAATCTCAACTTGAGAGTATGCAAAAACTTTTTGGACAACACAAAAAGCACTAGCCATACAGAAAAACTGATAAACTGAACTTCATTAAAAGTATAAAGTTATGCTAACAAAAAGGAAAGAAAAAAGAAGTGAAAAATGTAAGAAATTGTAAGAAAATGAAAAAGCAAGGAAAATTAAATGAAAACAAATAGACCCTAAAATACATGAAGATCTCCTACAAAGTAATAACAAAAGACTAACAACTCAGTAAAAAATGGACAAAGTATTTGACCAGACATTTCATAATGGAAGATAGATACATCTGACCAATTAGCACTTGAAAGGATGCTTGACACTATAAGTCATTAGAAAACTGCCACCTAAAACTTGAAGATTCCATCTAGCACCCTCAACAAGGGCTAAAATTTAAAAGACCAATGCTGACATCAATATAGAGAAATGAAAGCTCTACTCTCAGGTAGTGGGAGTATAAAATAGTAAAACCATTGGGAATTGGCATGTTTCTTTAAATAAAACTACACATATTTTACCAAATGGCCCAGTGATTCCATTTCTAGGTATTATAAAGAAAAATGAAAACATGTCCAGAAGATGTGTTGCAGTGTGGTTATAGCAGCTTTATTCACTAACCCCCAAACTAGAAACCACCCAAGTATCCATGAGAGAATACAGAGGCAGAATAGAGGTGGACACAGAAGCAGAGCATGGCGTGTCCATAGACGGCCTTACTACTCAGCAACAGAAAGAACAAACTATTGGTATACACAGCAATATAGATGAATCCTAAGACATGTTTTGTAAAAAAAAAGTGAGATCAAAGGAATACACAGCATAACAACAGGCCAAGCCACTCTGTGAGGACAGAATTCAGAAGAAGGGTTCGCTGTAGAGGGCAAGATGTGGGTGAACTAAAGGATCAAGCAGAGAGATTGTAGAGGATGTGAACATCCCGTGTCTTGACTGGTGTCCCAGTTACTTTTTTCTCATTGTTTTCATTTAATTTTCCTTGTTTTTTCATTTTCTTACAATTCCTTATATCCAACACCCAGAGTTAAAGGAGGAAATGTTTATTTAGCTCACAGGTTATAGAGGTTTCTGTCCATAATCAGCTAACACTAAGGCAGGGTGGCATGGCAGAGGGGCAACTATTTGTGGTGGTGGAAGACACCACAAACATCAAGAAAGGAGAGGAGAACATGGCTCTTTCTGTTCCTTATACTGTATGTAGGCTACCTGCCCTCGGTCAGGTGCAGCACTCACACCCTTAATCCCAGCACTGGACCAGGAATCAATCACAAACTCTAGATTCAGCTCCCTCCTAAAAGCCCCCCATAACCACATGAGGCTTTGAGGGGATATCCAAGCACAAATCATAACAACTGAAGAGGTAATTTGTTGGCTGTATACAAACTAACCAAAACTAGTTGAATGATATAGTTAAGATCTATATGATTCACAGGTTTTCTTTTCAATTTAAAAAAAGAAGGAAAAATTTAATACATGACCTCTAATTTTGATACTCAAGTGAGCCCACTTTGTCTCCCAGAGTTCCCAAGTCAGGATGCTGGTTCCCACCTCCCTCAGTGCACCTCCAGAAACACCCTCTCAGCTGCTGAGGAGATCTCAGAGAGCTGACCAACAGAGTAGGCAGGAAGGCTGGACACTGAGGGCCAGAGATCCAGGTGGATGGCTTGTTCTAAAGTCCTTTTCCTGTAGAAACCAAACCATTCCTGGCATCTCGCTTCCTCTATGATCCTTTCAACATTTCACTCCAATTTTCAAAATAAAGAAAAGTCAGACAGAAGCAGAAAAATAGTACAGGTCCTGCACCATCTGTAGGCTGTGGCTTTCATAATGACATAGTCTTGTGTCCAGAGACAGCACAATCCGCAGAGCCTCAGAGCCCAGAACACACCGCACCGCAGCTGGTACGTGAGACCAGGCTTACAAACAAGAGCACTGATGTTTGGAGCAGTAGCTCACCCTAGAGCACCCAACTTGTGAGTGGCCACACTGGGCTTAAAGGCAGATGTGCTTGACCCAGCCAGTGCCCTTGGCTACTTATGTACACCTGACACACTGATTCTACCAGCTAAACTACAACTGCAAAGATGGCAGCTTTTCAAGAAAAAGGATCATGTAGTTGGGGGGTGGGGGTGCCATTGTCCCTGGGCGTACTCTAAACAGGGAAGGTTGTAAATGGACTTCTTGCATATGTTCTAAAACGTTCCCGCCCTACTGGCAGCTGCTCTCTGACCCCATGGGATCCCTAGAGTCACCAAATATTATAGCCACCAGCCAGGCTGGCTAACATTTAAACTCATATAAGTCAAAATATACTAAAATTTGAATATTCAGTCTACTGGCCACACATTGCATACACTCAGTAGCCACGTCATAGGGCCACCGTGATGACAGGACAGGTCCAGACCTTTGCCTTTAACCAGACAACCCACCCCATCCCGGACCACAAGTTTTCTGGACCAGAGATGATCCTGTCCATGGATGCCAATAAGGGGCCATGGTGGGGTGGTCAGGGAGGAGGTGGAAAGCGAGGGAAATGTACAGAGGTGTTGACCGAGTGCTGGGTGAGGAGGCTGGGATGCCGCCGGCTGTCCTTTCCAAGCACCCTCTCTTCTGCTGTCTTTTAGAAGCGAGTCCTTTTCCTGACCAATGACTACTTCTTCACGGACATCAGTGACACACCTTTCAGGTGAGGAACCCCTGCCTGATAACAGGGGGAGGGCAGGTGGAACAGGAATACCAACGACCCAAGGTACGACTTTCAGGTTTGAGGGACGGATGGTCTCATAACGGCAGTTTTATAGCAGAAAACCCAGCTCGGCTTTCAGAAAAACCTAGACCCACTTTGCCAGTGTAGCCAAGCACGCTGGCTCAGCAACCAAACTCCTGGTTGAATTCCAGGCCACCAATTATGGCCTGTGGGACCCAAAAGGATTTAATCTCTCTATGCTCAGATCCCTCATCTATGAAATGGAGGTCATAATGGCAGCTGCTTCTCGGCAGTGCTGTGAGGATGAAATGACTCAATCTACCTAAAGATCTCGGAGCACTACCTTACAAGATGAAAGGGTCAAACTGGAACATCTTTCCAGTTCTTATCAACTGTACAAATATTTGATGCTAAGTTTTACACAAATTGGAGAACAAATAGTCCATGCTTCTGAGCTACCCTGTTTCTCAGCAAAGCCCTGTCTTCTCCTGGCCCTAACTGCTCACTTAACTACACAGGGAATTTTGTAAGATTTACCAACACTTAGCTCTCAAGCAAACTGAACGGCTCCAAATTGCTGGAGTGGAGCCCAGGCATTACAGCTTCGAAAGCTCCAGGGATTCACACCTGGAGAGGAAGGCTGGCAAGACTCAGCCAGTGGGACAGGACCATTCTGCACAGAGCAGACGTCTCCTCCTGCCAGAGGGTCCTGTGATATGTGGGATGAGCCATGATTAAAATGGGGTGAAGAGCCCTGGGTGTGGCATTCCTAGGACCCTCCTCAGGAAGAAGGGCTGACCACAAGCCCGCAGCGTTCCAGGCCTGTGAGGTGCCTTCCCCTCTCTTTCCAGCTTGGGTGTGGTGTTGTCCAGGGGCCATGGGGAGCGCATTCTCCTGGGAAACACATCTGTGGAAGAAGGTGAGTTGGGCCAAGTGCTGACAGAATTTCCCAGGATCCTGGGTGGGGCCAGTTTGACCGTCTATTTAGCGGTCCCAGGTTTAAATGCATGCAGCCTGGGGACAGTGGCCCTGGAAAGGGAGGGCACTGTATGTTTCTGTGACTGCCAGAGTCAGTCATAAAACCAACAAAGCCAAAGAATTGCCAACCCTGTGTTGTCAGGTCCCAGGAGGCCTTGCTAAACCACAGGGAAGGGCTGTCCAGAGAATGGGTTTCTTTGCAAAGCTACATTTTCCATCACAAGACTACATCCAGGGTAGCAAGCAGGTGGGAGGAGTGAGAGATTGAGCAGGGAGCAGTGGGCATTCCTGCAGCCCCAGTTATTCCAAGGGCTGTGGCAGGAGGGTCCCAGGTTCTAGGCCAGCCTGAGCAACTGACCACCCCTTGTAACAAAATAAAATTTTAAAAGAATAAGGGAGCCAGTCTATTCACACAGACTTCCACAACAAAGAACCGCAGAATCCGTGGCTTAAACACAGAAGCGTGTTCTCTCCCAGTTCTGGAGGCTGGACTCCCTGGGGGAGGGCTTTTCGATGCCTCTTCCAGCCTCTCTGCCCAGACCTTCCTCAGCTTTGGCTGCCACAGGGCTCCACCTCCATCACTGCAGGCCTGCTGCCCTCTGGTGTCTCTGCCTGTGCCCCTTTTTCCCCCCTCATGGGGACACCTGAGGTATGGGACCTGGGCCTACCCTCATGACCTCATCATCTTAACTTGAATAAAGCAATCCAACACCCTATTTGCAAAGAAGCTCACGTTGAGGGGTCCCGAGGGTCAGGACTGCTGCGTGTCTTTTGAGGAGGTAGAATTCCTCCCATAACAGGGAGCTAACAGGGAGACCCTGAGAATGGGAATGGGGGTAGATAGCAGAGAGGGCCTATCCTCCCTGTGCCCACTCCACACAAGCTTCCTGGGCACCTTGGCAGAACAACCCTCCAACCAGGGATCAGAGTGTCTCCGAAAGCCCTTGGAGGATGTGGCCAGTGTTCAGTACTCACATTCTGCCCATCCTGCCTGTCCCTTTAAAGCGTCTCCTTGCTCCATCATTCTGCCCCCCTAGCCACTGTCACCTCTCCCACTGGACAACCAGCGTGGCCTCCCACTAGGTTCTCTGCCTTTCTTTCTCAGTCCCAGCGAGCTTTCCAGAAATGCCAAATCTGACCTTGTCATTGCTTTCTGAGCATCTCACCTGCTCGCCCTGCACTGACCATCAAGGTGCTTCCGAGGTGCTGTGCTCACCCTGAAAGGCAGTCTTCCCCACCCCCACCTCCCGTCCAACTCACTCTGACCCGTCATCAGGTGCCAGTGCAGGTGACACTTGTCAGAGAGATGCCCCTGGCACACTGCCTACACTCACCTGGAAACCCCCACATTACCCTTCCAGAGAGACTGGCTGTGATGTCAGGGTCCCCTCTCCCTCTGCCTTCTGCAGCCCCCAAGCCACCACGCTCCCTGGCCTTCATTGTGTCTCCTTCCTCCCACACCTTCCTCCACCCAGCTATTCCCATGTGACAGCACCCAGGGAACAGACCCACTTCTGGTCCAGCACCTGAACTCATGCGGTCATCTGGGCCCCTTTGTAGCTATTTGTGTCTGTGTCAGCCCTGCCTTCCTTCAAAGGCCCCCAGCAGCCTGCTGGCCTTTCTATCATTTTGTCCTACAAAGTTGACAAAGCCAAAGCACCTGTTTGGGTTTGAGTGCTAAGCAGGAGCCCGGACTGCAACCACTCATTCAGTTGACAGTCAGGCGCTGAGCGCAATCAGTGCAGGCAGGGCCTGAGCTAAGCAGAGGCCACCAAGAGTTTGGGGGCACATATGGTCTACCTCTCGCCTTATCTCTCACTGGGGCCTCAGGGAGCTGGTGAAGGCACAATTGCTGGTTTCAATACCAGTTCCTGGGAGAGGGAGGTGCTCGGGGTATTAAACAGAGCCGCTTCTGTACTGGTCCATAATGATTACAATCCAACCTGGAAATCAGGGAAGGACATGAAAGCTGAAGGAAGGAACGATGATGACCTCTGGCTGTCAGGTAGCTCGCTAAGGGTGCAGTGCTCGCCCCAGCCCAGAGGAGCAGCTGGGATTTGGGCACAGGGCCGCCTGTGTAAACCTGGAAACTTCCTGTCAGTTGAGCATCCCTTCTGGCTACAAATGAGAAAGACCAGAGCCCAGCCATTCTAGAGAACTTTCCTGGGCACCTGTCCCTGAGTGCCTGGAGGCACACTTCAGGCAGGGACAGTGTCCTAAGCGTCCACTCTGGTTCCAGGCCTGCACGATTTGCTTCACCCGGATCTGACTGTGGCCAGTGACTGGTAAGCACGAATAGAGGGTGGAGGGGAAAAATGGGCTTTGAACTAACATGGACTCTCCTCGGCTCCAGGATCTACTGCATCACGGATATCGACCCAGACCACCGGAAGCTCAGCCAGCTGGAGGCCATGATCCGCTTCCTAACTGGGGAGGATCCAGACCTAGAGTGTGAGTGCCACCCACACCGTGGCAGTGACCTGTCCTCCAGAGCCCTACAGTTTACAAGAGGAAGAGGTCAGGAGGTGGGAGAGGAGGCTGTACTTGGCCCTCTCCCGGAACACATGAATGGCCCAGGCGGAACAGAGATATCTCATAGGAAAAGGCATGGTCAGCCTCACCGCAGGTCCAATCTGGACACTGTCCACTAGGAACTCTGATGACCTTGGCTGTCCCCATGCCAGGGACTGACATCCTTTGGAGTCTCTGTCAACTAAGCAGTATTAAGAGCATCTACCTTCCTGTCAGCTCTGTCCCTACCATCACCTAGTAGTGGCCCTGGGCAAGCAGCTGATGCTCTGTGCCCTGAAGTGCCAAACAGAGCATCTGGCCAGATGGCCTCATATAGGCCTGTCAAGGTTTTTCGAGCTCAGTTATGTTGCTCTGCACAAACACCACTAGGGAGCGCACTGGAAAATGGGGGGAACAAATGACTCAGTCTCCTGTGACTTTGCCCCCAGGTGACGAGGAGCTGGTGCGGGAGGTGCTGTTTGATGCAGTAGTGACGGCCCCCATGGAAGCCTACTGGACTGCGCTGGCTCTCAACATCTCTGAGTACGTACCAAGAGGGACTGAGGGCTCCAAGAAGTAAAGCAGCTTGCTGCTCAAGCCTCCAGACTCCCTTGGCCAGGTCAGGACTCCTTCCACCACCTGTCCGGTACAACGGGAGGCTCCCCAGTCCTCGGGCTCAGACAGTGATGAGGAGGACAGGAACACGCAGATTGTGTCACAGCATGGGAACGATCTTCACACCAAACCCTCTGGAAAGTGGACCTCTGTAAAGCTGCCACACAGCCAGGGCTGCTGCCTGCTCCTCACTTTGAACAAACACCAAGTGCAGGTCCCCAGGGCACCCCAGGATAGACCCATCCCAAAGACCTTCTCCCTGGGTTGGACTCTGCCCAAGGAAGACCATTCACCCAAGCGCCCCTGTGAGAGCAATTCAGGTGGGTTGGAACCTTACTTCTGGAGAGACGGCCTTCTACAGTGACCCAAGGGAAGACCAGCTGAGGCAGTGTTTCGTAGCCCTTTAGATTCCCTCACCCCTTTGCTGGCTCTTCCCTGCTTTCACTGTGTTCACTGGCCAGGTGGAAGGACGAGAGGCAAGGAGTGTGTGTGCATGGCCATGAGTGCCGGGGACAGTGTGGTATTTACAGAGTTAAGGTTACAGTGGGCTGTGGCTTGGCCCTGAGCTGGAAGAACCAATATATGAAGATCTCAAACCTCCCCTAAGTATTCGATAAATTAGCTTATTATGATATCCTATTAAGAATTCCAACAGAATTTTATAGGAACAGTCTCCCTGTGCAGGGCATAAGAGGCTATGCGTGGTACACCACCACTTCTGCATGAGAAGGGAAAGAACACAGTATACATGTGCATGCCTACACATTACTCACACCTGTGAGATGCTGCTTAGGACAGGTTCTCATTGGGGTTTTTGGTTAAAAAGGGGGTTAAAAAGTGGGGAGAAGACACTGCACTGTGTAACGTTTTAGCACAATAGTGAACCATGCAAATGTAAGCCCCCTACAAAATAAAACCCTAAGTAAAAAAAGAAAAAGAACGTAGTGGGCTTGGCACTGTCCCATGTGTTAATGATTAATAGCCATGTGATATGGGTGCCATCATTATCTCCTTCACCAGTGAGGAAAGGAAGGCATATCAAGATCAAACAACCTTCTTGAGATCATGAGCCTCACATGTGGCCAAGCTGGGCCCCAGGGTTCAGAGCTGGGCTCCTGGGCCTCTCCTGCAGGGGGTTGCTCACTAGGTTGGTGGGAAAGGGCATCACCGTGCATTTCCCCAGTTCAGAGATGAGCCACAGATGCTTTTCAGTAGTGCAAACTGCAGAGAAGCCAATGTTCTCAACCATGGTGTGCGTAATCATTATAAAGTAACACAAAGCTAGAGAAAAGTTTTCTAGTCACCTCCATAGATTCAGAAAATGCATTTGAACAAATGCCTATCCATGTTTTTAAAAAACACTTGATAAAACTGACCTAAACCTGAAAGCTAACATCGGAACAGAGCTTGAGGTTCTCCCACTGAGATGTGACCCAACAAGTGTACCGCTCTCCCCCTCTTACGCGACAAGGCAGGAGTTTTAGTGCCCTTAGGGTTACACCTAGAGGCAAATGCATACTGGAAAAGAAGCATAAAACTCTATTCAAAAATTTCATAGCTTGGACTGAGTTGTAACTCAGTGGTCAAGTGCTTATCTAGCACGTGTGAGGCCCTGATTCCATCTGTAGTACCACGAAAATAAACAAATAAATAGAGATGGGATGACACTGTACTTGAAAAATGGCAAATGAATTAATAGGAAAACTACCATATCCAATAAGGGAATTCAGTAAAGTAGCGTAATATCAACTTTCAAAAATGAGATAAACCTTTAATTAAAAAGTTTATTTAAAACAGCAAGACAGGAGTTGGGGATTTAGCTCATTAGTATAAGTGCCTGCCTGGCAAGCATGAGGTTGTGAGTTCAATCCCTGGTACAAATAAAATAAAATAAAAACAGCAAGACCTAAAATATAACGATGTTAGAAGACTACAGGCATATATAAAGCATATAAAGAAATGTCCAAAACCTGTATAAAGAAAATTATGAAACACTCCTTTAAGACACAAAAGTAGACTTGAACAGTCGGAAAGACATATGGTGTTTTTGGAATAGAAGGGCACAATATAATAAAGCTATTAATCCTCCCTGAGTTGATTTACACATTTAATGCAGTCCCAATGGTAATGCCATCAATATTTTTCTGCATCCAGATAAACAGATTATAAAGGTCATTTGGGAAAACAAGCGAGAATGGTCAAAACTCTGCGGAGCAGAGAAGCAGAGAGGGGAGGACGGCCCAGGATATTAAGGCAGGTTACAAAACCACTGCCATTTATGGAGTATGATCCTGGCCCATGAAGTGACAGGCAGATATAGGGGACAGAGAGGAAAATTTAGAACCTCATCTGCATGCTTGTGAAAGACTAAGTCTGTGGCAAAGCGTTGTGTGGACTCCGTGCTGGAAAGAGGAACTTTTTAATAACTGGCTCGAGACCATATGGAGAGTGATATAATTGTGTTCTTTTCTCACACCATACACCTGGGCAAAGTCCAAGTGACTCAGATTTAAATGTGAAAAAAATGAAATCATATAAGTACTAAAAGAAAATATGAGCCAGTTGCTCTAAAATCTAGGAGTGGGGAAACCTGTCCCAACAATGACTCAAAATTCAGAAGCAATAAAAGAATGATGGATAAATTTAACAACATAAAAATGTTTGTATGGCAAAAATGAAAACATAAGCAAAGTAAAAAGACCAATGACAAATCGGAAACATTTTGAAATTATGAAAGAGTTGTTATCTCTACATTACATGCTCATGAGAAATAAAGAACTTCAAAAATAGAGAAGTGAAAGACCACTTACTATATAAGAAAGATGCTCAAGAGATTTGAACAGTTCTTAGAAAAAATGCAGAGTACTTAAATATAGGACAAATCCTCAACCTTGCTGTGCGTATTAAGACCGTACCAGAATTGTACTTCTCACTTGCTCAATGGATAAATTTATCAGCGGGTAATGTTGGTGAGATATTTAGAAATTTAAACTTTGACCCAGCAATCTCAAAGAGACAGGAACCTGCCTGAAAATGCCAGGAAAAAATATGAAAAGCTGTACACGTGAGCTATTCATTAAGGCTCCACGTATAACTGTAAAAGATTGGCAAACCCCAAATTGTCATCAGTAGGAGCCCAGTTAATTAAACTGTGATAGATCTACATAGTGCAATACCATGCAGCTTTAAAAAATAAGAAATATTTGAATATATTTCCATGAAATTATCTCCAGCAATAAAGCATGTAACCCTTTCACTATTTATCTGAAAAAGATATATAAATGTTTTCATAATTATTCACACACACTACATATATATGTGCAAACACATATCCTTTTTTCTTTACTTTCTTTTAAATTTAAATTTATTTTTAACTGATATATAAAAATACAACAGATGAATGGAGTACTACGTAATGTTTTGAAGCACAGGTACAGTGTAATGTCTAAATCAAGTTAAGCATATCCATCTCCTCTAACATGCACCATTTTCTCATAGTAAAAACATTTTCACTCTTCTATATTTTAAATATATAGAACGTTATTATCACTAGTCACTGGACGTGCACAGTGACATTTCAGACTCTATCTAACCTTCGTTTAGCACCCTTGATCATCTTTTATCCAAACTCTCTAAGGTAATTAACATTGTACTCCCTGCACACATATTTTCTTAATAAGATGATAAACCAAATAAAACTTACCTATGGATGCCAAATTACTTATAGAGAATAAGAAGAGGGAAGAACAGGGTAACTATAGAAACAGCCTTTTCAGAATGTGCTTTATTTTCATATTAACTTTGGTTTTTGTAAATGTTTCATATAATTATAAAGTTAAACTTTAAAATGTAATCTCTAAAAATTGAAAGCAATAAAACAGATAAATCCATGACTCACTATGTATAGGGGAATTCTTTCAAGAAGATTAGGACTATAAACATTTAAAAACATCTTAAACTCCTCAGGAATCACATTGCCAGAAATGATGTTGGCTCATTATTTAGAATAGATAGAGCAAATAAAACTAGGTTAGTATCTTAAGAGTAAAGACTTTCTGGAAAAGAGGAAAAATATTCAAATTTTTAAAATTAAGGAAGTTTAAATATAATGCTAAAAATGAACTAGAAGTACAAATTTAAAGTTATGTCATATTTTTTCTTAGAGAAATAAAAAAGAAATTCTATCTTTTTACCTGAAATACTTGTGTAAAGCCCTCTCCACTGAGAGGGCATGGAGACCACTTTGTCCCCAAATTGCGGACAGTCAAGGCTACTCCCTCACAGCTGAGCTGTGCACAGACCTTAGTCAGATTCTGGCTCAATGAAATTTTAAAAATTCTTTGAGACATTATATTAAGGAACTGTGGGGTTTTTTTAAAGTATAATAATATTCCTTACATTTTAATGATGCAGATTAAAATGTTTACTGATGACCTTCCTGGGACTTTCTAGTTTAGGGGTTGAGGGAGACTGCAGATGCACGAGACCAGCATGGGCTGCTCGCCGTGCTGAGGCCGAGCTGTGGACTCACTGTGCTCTCCCATGGAGGGCCGGGCTGGACATGCAAAGACCTACCCAGAGGGCCTACTGCAAGCAGGCTTGGCCTCTGCAGTTGTTAAGCCCCGCGGAATCTCAGTGCACACCTTTCTTCCACTTTCTAGACCTGAGCCCAAATGTTTTCATCCATTCCAGGTGGTACTCCAGGGGCTGCCTCCTCCCACAGCTGTCAAGCGTCAATGGACAATGCTACCCTTGGCGATGCTGTGGTATTGCCAACCTTATGCACACACACACACACACACACACACACACACACTTACACACACACTACAGACACAGGCACTGGGGGAACTGGGTAAACGACAAGACAGAAGCTATCTCCTGCCACCCTGTGCTCTTGTCTCTCAAGCTCCTGCTGCCTCCGTCATTGCCTATGTTGGGACTGAAACACTTAGCTCCACTATGGCTGGTTAATAGATTTGTCTTCTCCAAATCCCACTGATCATGCTATGAGGTCCAGTGGGCCTTCTCCGCGGTGCCTGCCCTCCCAGCCCAGTCACACCCACGAGGACCTTGGATGCGGTCATGAGAAGTTACTATTTGTACGTCCCCAGACAAAATCTGCCTCCCTGGGTTACTCTACCTTCCTGGTCCAACTCCTCCACAAAGCCAGGGGACATGCGAGGAGCTGCATTTGTCACAGCAGAGAGGCAGGGACTGAAGAGGGGCAGCTAAGGAGTGGCGCTACCTGGGAGCTGAGGACCTGATGAACCTGGGGCCCCTGAGCTCAGCCTTCCCAGAAAGTCCCCTGCACCAGGCCTTCCCCAGGCTCTCTGCAGCCCCCCAGGGGGACCTACTGTGGCAGTGTTTACGCACTCACTGCTCCCACTTGTCTGCCTCACAGGGAGTCAGAGCAAGGGGTGGACTTGGCCTTCCTGGGCACCCGGGCTGGCCTCCTTCGAAGCAGCTTGTTTGTGGGCTCCGAGAAGGTCTCTAACAGGTGAGTGCAGCTGGCTATGTCTAGGAACGGGGTCCATGCAGGTGGGGAAGAACAGAACTCCATGGTGTTCTTGTGACCCATGAACAGACAGAGATTTGACCTTAGCCTGCAGGGACCCTGGAATCTAGGGAAGATGGAAGGGTTGATTTGCCAGTTGGGAGAATGAGAAAAGTAACCATTACCCACTAGCTTAGAGAGGACAGAAAGTAGTCTAATCAGGGGAAAAAATAGCAAGACTTGAAACTAGGAAGTTACCAGAAACTCACTTTGAGAAGTCGCTAAGCAGAAAACTTTTAGGTTTTCCTCTCTAAGACAGTCTCTGGGTGACAGGTGATGGCTATGTCGTCCCCTTACCAGACTCTTTCCCACCCTGAAGGGGAGGGACTGCTCTGGACCCCGGTACATGGACACTCGCTGCCTCGCTCCGGTGGAGTTGTGATTTGTATTCTAGTCACAGAATTCAGGTGCAGCCATGGCTATGGGAGCCTAGGATCCAAAGCTAGCGGTTCTCAAACGGGGGTGACTGCCTCCTTGGGGATACTGGACAATGTCTGGAAATGTTCTTAGTTGTTATAGCTGGGGGAGATTGGCAAGTTGCTACTGGCGCCTAGTGGATAGGAGCCAAGGATGCTGCTAAATTTCCTACAGTGCACAGGACAGCTGCTACAACAATTTCCAGCCCCCCACTGTCCCTAGTGTCAAGGCTGGGAAACCCTACTTTAAACAAAATCCAGATATGGCAGAATCCTGCCTGTGAGGGTCCCACTTGTGCCTCATCCCAGTTGCCTTCCAGTTGGAGGGTAGGAGACCCAGGTGGAGGTAAAAAAATCTGGTATCCTGAAGATCAAGAGACCGGGAAGGGCCACCTAACACCGGAGAACCGCAGTGACGGGCAGCCTTTACCCCACATTCCTGGCCCCTGCTCCTGTTACTAAATCCAAGCACATGAAGCCAAAAGTATCATCTTTGAGCATCTTCCAAGACTCTGTAACAAATCCACACTTGCTAAGCAAACTAAAGGCTTTCGAGGAAAACAAACCAAGTTGCTCCCCTAGCGCCCTGCACCTCTTCCTCCTCCCTTCTCCACTCTCCCATTCTGACAGCAAGCAGGGGAGACAGACAAGGCTGCCTCACTGACTCTAAAGATGGAAGGGACAGATGTCCATACAGACGGCCTTCCTCGGGGGGAGCAGTATCTTGTCTCCTGTGGCTGTAGTCACTGTAATGGTCCCAGGGGCACTGCCGGCCCCAGAGGGCTCTTTCCATCTGGATCACGTGTGACTGGCAACCTAAGAATTGTGTAACAAGGAAGCTCTACTTTTGGAATATGTGAGCCCGTCACCCTCAAAATGCAGCCTCCGTGACCCACCTTGTCAGCTATCCACAGTCTTTGTTATCCCCACTCCCACCCAGCCTCGCCCTGCTACCCAGTCTACTCCAGACCAACACTCCTTCCTATAAATGGATGTGTTTTTTAAGGAAGGCAAAGCCATAATTCTCAGATAAAACAGCTCAAAAAGGGAAAGTCACAGTACATTCAAAAACCAAGAGGCAGTGACTTTTGAAGCAATCATTTTGGAGCAATTTATGTTCCACATCATCAAAGTGATAGAACTGATTATACAGTTTCTGTTCAGACTTGTCAATGAGCCAGACTAAAAGAACTGAGGCTGTATCCAACAGAAATAAGCCCTGCAGGCCAAGACACATATATATATTCCATCTCTAGTTGCGGCCAAGCCCTCTTCTGGCTACCAGTGTGCCATCAAGGCAGTATCATTTTGCTTCCAGAAAGGGCTGGACTGGCTGGAGAAAATGGGTTGGGGCCTAATATTCTCTACCTGTCTGCAACTGTGCCAAACAGAGGGGAAAATCACTCTCTTAACTCAGCCCAGATGAACTTGTATGAAAAAAGGGGAATTCGTGTTTCCAGATTTAGGGATGCTACAAAAATCCTCCTCCTTACAGGAAGTTCCTGACACCTGAAGATGAAGCCAGCATTTTCACAATGGACAATTTCCCTCTGTGGTACCGCCAGGCCTCCGAGCAGCCCCCTGGAAGCTTTGTCTTCAACCTCCGCTGGGCAGATGGGCCAGGTAATCCACCCTCCTGGTCTCCGGGATGGAGGGTTCCTCCTCCTGCTGCTCACTCGATGGGAAATGGAAAGAGACCCACTGCCATGGGAAAACTCCAGCCCCTCAGGGTTCCTTTCTTCCTTCCCTCCTGACCCACCTTGGAGGCCTGAGAAAGTCGTCCCTCCCCACACTTTAACCCTTAGGTGAAACATAGGACTGATCATTTTATTCCCCGGGTAGCAAAGTGGGCATTTAAACTTTTGCATGCAATAAAAGAAAGAGATTTAATGCAAAAGTCAAGAGAGCTAGCTTCTAGCCAAAACTCTAAAAATGAGATTAGACATGCTGATCTCTTAGAAATAGGAGAACTATTTCTAAAAATCTATCTGAAAGTTCCTTTGACTTCCCTGATGAAATGACCAGACTGTCTCAGAAGGGGGCAGCTACACTTACCCAGCCCTCAGGACCACCATGGCTCTTCCCACAGAAAGCAAGCCACCTGGCCTCCACTCTCTTAGGACCACCCAGCCAAAAGGCGAGCCACAGTTGTACAGCAGGCAGAGGGAACTGCAGGTCCTACCTGCCAAGGACAGAGAGGAGCCTCTAAGTAGACAGGCACCAGCTCCGGCCCCAGCCTCTACCCTGGGAGATGTGAAGAAAAGAAACATTAAGCAACTTTTGCTAGGTGCTAAGAAAATCAGAAAATGTGAAGAATCAAGAGGGCCCTTTTCCTGCACATAAGTCATTCAAGCTGCGCAGGCCGATGAGACAGATGTTATCTATATCCTACGTGAGGAGAATCTGAGACTCAGAGCGGTTCTTCCGGGGCTCACACAGCAAGGAATCCACAGAGCAGGCTGGCGCTCGGGTCCTCTTCACTAAAGCGCAGGCTTTTTTACCACATTGAATATAAGGCAGCAAGAATGAGGAGGAAAGGGTGTTTTTGCTCCCCGGACCAGGAGAAGGCTCCCAAAGCCAAGGCAAAGCCCCCTCCCCACACTGGCTGCACCGAGGCAGAGGCCCCACTCCTTCCCTGGCCTGCACGAAGGCTTCCTGAAAGGTCTCCTAGGTGAGGCCCTAGGCCTGCCCCGCTGTGGTGACAGGCCCTCCTGCCTGCATCGCATCGTCACCAGGCTGTGCCTGCTGCTGCTGGAGGAGCTCTGCGTGTTGGTGGGATAGGACGGTGGGTGGGTGCCAGGTGCAGCGGAACTGCAGGAGGGGGAGAGCTGGCCACCCACTGCGCCCTCGCACCCTCGCTCACTTGTTCAACTCATGCACAGGGACACCACTGGTTTCATTTTAATGGAGGGAGAGGAGGGAGAGCTGGCTCCAGGGTAAGTGGGGCTCCTGTCTCTCGGGATGACACCACTGTCTCTTGCCTGGGTCTGGCGGGCTGAGTCTGCCCCTGGGGATCTGCCCAGCCGTCAGCAACTGCCTCACACACTGCTGGGGTGGTTCAGCATCACCTCTGACTGTGGTGACTCACATAGGGCGATCCAGGACCACCCAGCATCCTGTCCAGTAGGGCAACCTGTCCTGCCCTCTAGGACAAGCATCTGACACAACATGAACCCTCTGAATCTGACCCATGCCGGCCCCTCAAGCAGACAGGGGAAGGAGGACAGGTGGAGCAAAAGTCACAGAGTCCCACGAACACTGACAGTATCACTTTGTGCAGGCATCCAGAGGCCCCGTGTCAGTCTGGGGAGCTCGTACCTCATAGCCAGGTGGGCAGAGAGAGGGCCTCCTAAGGAGAAACCCACTGATCACAGACGCACAGCCAAACAGTCACTCAGGGAGTGTCTATCCAGCTAGGACATTTGTCTTCTACTCCAAGAAGGGGCCAGGGCGCAGTCTATCCCAACCACTGCTCCTTCCTGGAACCTGAGAAAGTGATGCGCTGATTTCCATTTCCCCAGAAGACACGGGTGAGCCGGTTTCGGTGACAGTCAGCACAGCAGTAGCCGTGACGGTGGAGGAGAAGACAGCCATTGCTGCAGGTAGGAGTCACCCCTTGTGCCCCTGAAGCGGTGAGCAATGCCAGGAGGAAGGCACACGGCCACGGCAGCAGGCCCCAGGGGGTGTGCTGGGCACCAGTCACCAGCTCTAAGTCCTCCCTGGCCAACTCTGGGGAGAAGCAACGTGGAATCTTCCTAAGCCGTTTTGTTTCTAAAATCCCAGCACTCGAAGAATTTGTGAGGTGAGTAAAAGGAAGCCCAGAGAGTCAAAGAAACCTGCTCACGGTGACACAGGTCATAGACTGCAACCTATGCCCTCTTCCTACCTTCCCTGTTGCTGCCCTCTTTCACAGCCTTGAGTACGAGAACTGGGCTTGCAGGGCTGGGGATTTAGCTCAGCAGTGTAAGCACCTGCCTGGCAAGCGTGAGGCCATGAGTTCGATTCCCAGTACCAAAAAAAAAAAAAAAGAACGGGTTTATGACTCAAACCCCGAGAGTCACAGCAAGAACTCAGTATGAATATTTGATCTGCTCCAAGTACCATGGAAACCCTGTCCCAAGCACTTTCTCAACTAGTCTTAGGCTGACCCAAAGAAGGGGATAGTTTTTTGCTCCATTTTACAGTTGAAATAATTGAGACACAGAGAAGTTATTAGGTCAAGAATCCACAGGTAATAATGAACCTAGGGTTAGAACTCAGACTGTTTATCTTTGAAACCCAAATTCACTACCTTTTGCTACATGTTGTCCCAAATAATGGGATGAGATATTCAATGACCATCACGAGTCTCCCCTGACCGTGTGGCTTTCTGGTGCCTTAAAAGGTCTCTGTCTTATTGTTCAAAACTCTCCAGCCTCTGAGGAATCCCTCCTTATCCTGGTTTCAGCTTCCATGTCACAGCTCAGCTGTGTTCTGAAAAGGTGTGTGATCCATTGGTCACTCAGCAATCATGGCATCAGGGCTAGGAGGTGGTGTCTGTCCCAGGTTAAGAAATGGGAAGAGGACGGCTGGGCGCATCAGTGACAGGCAGCCCCGCAGGAAATACCCGCATCCCTAGGAGTCCAAGGTACACTGACAGCGTTCAGTAGAGACACATGACATCCCAGCGCCCTCCTTCCTGTAGTCACAGCACAGTAGCCCCAGACCCCTCTCTAGGCCAAGCCTTGGCCTAGGCCCTCCTGTGGTCCCAGCCAAGCCTGTGTCCACCCTGCTCCCCCTCCAGGCCTGCGAAGGAGTAGGGACGCAGGCCAGGCTGCTGACTGTGCTTTCCAGCACTCTCCAATTATTCGATATCATTTTTAACTCAGGGCTGAATTAGAGCCATGAGGGGTTGCCATAGAAACCATGTCCCAGAGCCTCTAATTTAACTCACTACAGACAGTCACTCTGCTGCTCTGGGGTGAACAGATGCGACGGGAAAGATGGGGCCCTGGAGACCTGACACTGCAGTTTTTCAAAGCCTCCTTTTGTCACTTCCTCTCTCTGGCCTGTGGCTCAGCCGCCCTGATCCTGGGGCCAGCGGGGGCCTGTTGACCAAGGAGGAGCAGGTGGCTTTCTGTAGGAGCTCCAGCAGTGGGCAGGGTCTGAGATGGGGCCGCACTGGGATGTGCACCAAGCAAGAGGATGGGTGCTCGGTGTTAGGACAGACATGGGCTATGTGTGTCCATTTCCAGTGATAGCACAGCTTATACCCAAAGGAGAAATCTTTGCTATCTCTAAGGAGGTGGTTTTTCAAGAGTTCCTGTAAAATATCTAGAATTTTTGGTCAGGATGCATGTCCAGCTCTCAGTGTCCTCTGGGCCCTGGTTGAGGGTATGGTCCAGCGCAGTGATGGTGGTGCTGGAACAGGCAGAATGTGTTCCTCCGGCCATTTGACTTGGCAGCCCAGCCGAGAGCCTCCTCCTGCTGTCCAGGGCTGCCTGTGCTCGCCCTACCTAACCCTGGGCCTGGCCTTCAGACCTCTGAGAGGCTCCCTCTGGGAACCGTGATGATCAACACGAGCCTGCATTATAGAGACCCCTGCCAACTCTTGGAGCCCGGCCCTTCCCTCTGAAGTGGGGCTTCAGGACTAGAGGAGGGCAACGCCCACCCAGACCACATCCAGGAGGACCACACAGCTCTGCTGGGGAGCAGAGCTGCACTCCAGGCATGGGGGCCTGAGGGGTCTCTCCTCCTCGGGCTCTACCCCGGCTTCTGCAGGAAGGCTCCTGGCAGAAGAGACGCTATCTCAAGTCTCAGTGAACGATATACCCCATCCCCGCAGGGCTACCCAGTGAGCCTTGCTCTGCCCCTGGACCTGCACTGCCAGTCCAGGCCCCTTTCATGCCAGTCCCTCATTCTGCTCCCCACGCGGTGAGCCATCAGGGAAATTGTACCAGTGAACACCAAGTGTGGTCTGCTTGTGCCAAAACGCCACATTGAAAGGCCACTATGGGAAAGGGTTAAATGGGATACTAGTAAACAGAGCTAACAAAACCCAGACAGCAGAGAAGCCCCTCGAAGCACCCTCCCTCCCTTCCCAGCATCTAGCAGAACCTCTGGGCAAATGCAGGCCTCCCGCTGCACTGACCCATCTGTCCTTGGATGGCAGGATTAATTCCGTCAAGCCAGGTCAGATAAGCACCCAAGGGCATGGAGCTATAGCAGGGTCTCCAGCTCACCTTCACAGTTCTTGCCGCTGCCTAGGGAAACCAGCCTGAGGTCCATGCTTCCAGATGTTAGACCGGAGTGGGGGTAGGTTTCAAAGGCCAGCGTAGCCATGCCCCCAGCTTCCGCCTCCAGCTGCCCAGCCTTATCCTTTACAAGATGCTGCCTCCTCTGCTCTCCTGTCAGCAACCTGGGGCCCGGGGCCCTGGGCAGGGGGCACCCAGCTGTCACACGGAGCTCTGTGCATCACAGTGATGTCCCTCAGCACTTCATCCGCTGTGTGGGGAGGTGAGGGGGCAGGAAGTGATTTTCCCAACACCCACATCCCCTTCCCACCCAATGAAACCAGGAAGTACATAGGAAAATACAGTCTTTATTGGTCTTCTGAAACAACAAACCAGAAATATAATTTTGCCTTTAAAAATCTTCTGTCTCAGGCTAAAGATACCAACACTGACAACACCCTTCCCTCCCCCCAGTCCCTTTAGAAAATTCCCAGATCTGGTATCAGCCTACAAGCCCAAAGAGAAAGGAAGACTAAGCCCCTAGGCAAGGGGGCGTGTGATCAGGATAAGCAGCCTGCTAAGGCCCTCTCTCCGCCTGCTGGAGACGACTTCTCCAAGGCTCTCCGCGCACCCTCTCTACCGCCTCCTGTTTGAGTAGAGGAGATTGGAAGGAGCAGGGCAGCTGAACTCGCCCTGTCCTGCTCTGGTACCATCAGAGCCCTAACTGGCTTCCTCCTGTGCTATCCCCAAGACCTTGCCTTAAGAGTCAGAAGCCAACCTGGCGCCTCCTGAACCTCTCTGAGCATGAGGAAGTGGGGTCCAGCAGAGGGAGACCTGATACCCACCAGACATCAGACTCCTAAGGAGGTCAATGGAATAGGAGGCAAATACCCTGAACTCTACTTGGCTGGGGCAGATGTCTCTGGCCCTGGCCCACTCTCTGGCTTGGATCATGGTCCAGCTGCAATTAGAAGCCCAGTTAAGCAAACAAACCACTACCTTCACCCAAGAAGGAGGCCTTAGCACTCTGCACAGAATTTAACAGTCCTCTCCCTGCTCCTGGTATCTGTAAGCAATGTGTTGATGAGCAGTGAGCCTCTTCAAGGGCCACTCTGCCATCTGCCTGCCACCTGCTTTCCCCAAGGAGGCCCACAGCCCAGCCCAGTCCCAGCCCTGAGGTCACAGGCAGAAGATGCTGGAGATAAGGGAGTGAGAGGTGCAGAGGGGCAGAGCCAAGGCTGCAGACAACAGGGATGAAAATGGAGAGTGCTCCCTGGGGCCTGGCAGTGAGGACAAACCTGGCAGCTCAGAGGAAACACCCAGAATATGTAGCTAGGCTCTCAAGAGGCTACCATTCACAGAGGCAGCAGCCTCTGGGCCTCTGGGCCAGTCCTTGGAAAACCCAGTAGGAGAGGTGTGAGCAGGTTGCCATGGTGATGGGCAGGCTCATCCAGCAGCACCACTGTGGCCCACTTTAGAGGATCTCAAAGGAACCCCATGTTACCGATTTAGAATCCTCTCCCTCCGCCCAATTGACTTGAGAAGATTGCAGTCAGCAAGCAAGAGGTTCTTCTGTGGTCTCAGGGCCAAAGACTCAAGGAGACCCCTACCTGTCTCTGTGAAGGAGGTGTGTGTGTGTGTGTGTGTGTGTGTATTGCAATCTATGTGCCGGTGGTGGTGGTGTTCCGAGTGCGTGTGGAGGTGGCTGAAGCCAGTGGTATTGTGGTCACTGTGGTCCCTAGCAGACACGGAGATGGCGTTGCCAAGGGAGGGTGTTGTAATCACAGCATTGTGTTTCTAACACTAGGTTCAGATCATGGATTGGAATGTTTGGTACACTGGTACACTGTTGGGAGCAGACCGTTTTCCACTGCAGGGGGCTTAAGAATACCTTTCTAGTTTAAAAAAAGAGCCACAGAAATTGATCCCTGGCTCCCATATCCCTTGCTCCCCCTCCCCTAAATGGAGTTGAGGTGGGAATAAGCAAGAGGTGGGAAGAGTTGCCTGGCTGGGCCAAGGCTCCTCTAGCATCCACATCTGTCCATCCCCATGGCCAGAGGTTCCAGGAGAGTCCTCAGGTGCACCAAAGATTCTGTGGCCTAGTGAGGAGCATCCACAGCAGCCTTCAGCACAATGGTGACCTCGAGGGAGACTTGGGAGTTCGTGGAGATGACTGCACTGTGGCTGGTCTGCTGAGGGCTGGAAGGAATTAGGAGAGGCAGTAGCCAGTGTCAAGCCAAGGCAGGGACTGCAATGGAACAGACGACCAGCCTTTCTGAGTGATCCATGTGCTTGCCCTACCCTGCCTACCTGGGCCAGGCAGATGGACTCTCAGGCCACGGAAGAGATCTGCTTCTGGTCTTCATGCTCGCCCTCAGGGTCCCCCATCAGGGGCTGGCGCTTCTTGAGCTCCCGGTGATACTTGGCCATGAGGGAGGCATAGATGCAGCCGTAGGCAGCGGCCACCACCATCATGATGCAAACGATGCCGCAGACAACTCCCGCAATGATCACAGTGCCAATGGCCCGCCGCACACTCACTGGCCTGTACCTCTGCTTCTGAGGGCAGGCTGTGCTGGGTTCTGGCTCAGGCTCAGCCCCAGGCTTGGGCTTGGCAGGTTCTGGGCTGGCCTTGGTGCAGGGAGGCCCAGGAGCATCCAGCCCAGATGAGCTGTTCTCGTCCTCCAGCCTGGAGCAATAGTTGAACATCTCCATGGGAACCATGCGCATATCCTTCCCCCTCAGCTCTTTGGGTAGGGTGCAGGCCAGCTGGTCCAGGCGTCCCCCTGCAACCAGGGGAGACAAAAGGAGTGGCTGAGCAGACATCAAGAACCTGAGCTGTCTTTCCTCATCCCCAGACTCCCAGAACAGACAGTCCAGACAGGATAGTCCAAGACACTCAATCCTGCAATCACTGACGATAGACGGAAAGGTAGAGAGGAACCAGCACAGCCACGCACTATGGTAGACAAGTTGCAGGCCTCATGTCAGTTCTCCCTACAGAAGCTATGGAAAATGGACATTATCCGTATTCCCATTACATAGAGGAGCCCACAACCATTTCAGCAAGCCCTGCTTGGCCTATGGAGGATGACAGTGGCAACATGGAGAAGATGCTCAGGAAAGAGTACAATGCAGAGTCAGTCACATCCCTGCCTAGGCTGCAACTTGCCCCTCTACCCCTGAGGTCACCTGTCATCACTTGTCCGTTTACCTAGGATAATACTTTCAACACACTGTCTTATCCTCTGAGGTTCTTGCTTCTCACAAAATGGACAGAGGTCAAAAGCCACTGCCTCAGGGCCCACTCTGCCATGCAGGACTTTTGGCTGCCCCAGAACACTGCCTTGGAGAAGGGAGAGAAAATCTAGACAGGAGCATCTTCCTCTTCCTGTCAGGAACAGTCTATGGCCCCATCAGTGTCACTACCCAGGGATGCTCAGGCAACAGCATCTCAGAAGGGACCTGGGATAAGGTCCAGGAGGGGGCTGTCTGAGTGGTGAGGGGGTGCAGATTTGCCATGCAGTCTTCAAAACAGTGGTGAGGGCACCAGGATCGCAGGGGACAGAAGTGCAGCCTGGGGGGGGGGGACAGAGAAACTGCAGCTGAGAACAACAGTCTGCCGAGAAGTCCTCCAGGAAGTGAGAGTTGCATTTTGGCCTCCTGTCAGCTTTCAGCGAAGTCTAGACACAAGCAACAGATACCCTGCCGTGCAAACTCAGCTCCAGCCACTCTATCACTGCAGCCCTCTCCCGGCCCAGCCGCCTGCCTCCTTGTGCAACAGACATCAATCTTACCCCAGGATGCTGATGAAAGTATCCCAGGATTTTTTTTTTTAAGGAAAACAAATCTAGTAGTGGAAACATCTGGAAAATGCACATTCTCAGCCCATAGCCATTTTTGCCAGGCATTGAGTCCCTGTGATGGTGTGAAGGGCAAGGGTGTCACATAAGGGTGACACAGCAGTGTATTCACACACCCTGTTTCCAGCTCCCCATGGCACTGACCACTTGGGTGGCCTAGAGCAAGACTAAGCCAAATGAACATGCATGCGGGCCACCTTTGCCGATGGCCCTGTCCACGGCAAAGAGCTGGCACTGAGAGGAAAGCGACCTCATTGTCCCGCTCAGGGGATCCAAGGTTGAAACCTGGCCACTTCATCTTGTGAAAATTACTTCTGAGTTTTATTTTTCTTAGCTGTAAAATAAGAATGCCTACCTCAATTAGCTGCCAGCAAGATTAAAATAGATGATGTGCACGAAAAGATATTTGTACACTGGAAACTATACAACAGTATTAATCATTATTTCCCCTCTCACAAAAATGGGAGAAATTATAGTGACTAATATTTCATGGTACTTTCTAGTTTGTAAAATATTTTCATTAAGGCATTAGAATAACATGGAAATAATTGAGTTAGTAGCTGGATGGGAAATGAAAATAGTAAGACTAATGAAAAGTGTCCACATTATTTTCACAGAGTTTTAAAGTCGATTCATTCAGCAGACATCTATTTGTGCTGGGTGCCAAACTATGGCTTTTCAAGCACTCTTGACTTTATGAGTACTACTAGCAAATGACCAAGTAAATGAGTGTTTTATAGAGGACTTATTCATACGGGGTAACTTACAAGATATATTACATACACTATTTAATCCTCATAATGACCTCATGAGATAGGTACTGCCTTTCTCCACATTTAACAGACACACTGCAGTAGAGAGAAGTTAATCAGCTTTTTCAAGGTCATACAACTAGCAGGTGATAAGAACAAAATTCAAGCTCACATCTGGGGAGTCAGGGATATAGCTCAGTGGTGCAGTGCCTGCCTGGCAACACAAGGTCTTGGGTTCGATTCCCAGTACCAAAAACACATCCCACATCTGGAACTTTAAAGCATTGTGCTTAGTTATTCCTCCTCTTTGTAATTCACTTGATCATTTCACAGGTCATTTCAGGGCTTTTCCAGGTTAAAGAAGCTGGGTACGAGTTAGAAAGTAAAGCTAAAATCATTCGACTCCTTATTAACAGTTTTGATAGCAAATTTCTTAAAAGAAGAAGCCAGCTTCATCATCCAAAGGAAAATTTGGTTGTATCTGCTGGTTTCAGTTACATTTTACACTCCTAGAAATGTGGATACTTAAAAGGTGACTGTTTTATTTGGAAGAAGGTACCAGGGAAGCCAAGGGCAAAAGTACTGCCTGGTGGGAAGCAAAGCTCAAAAAAAATCTGTGTCTTTAAGTTCCCTTACCGAAGCTACAACAGTGGGCCAAATTACAGTGGGCACTAACCTGACTTAAAAGAGAAAGACAAGAGAGAGGAGGCCAGGAACAGTAGGGACACAGGAGAAGAGCCTCCTCCCTGACTGGTGGAAGGGCGGCAGCTCCTCCGCTCTGGGAGCTGACTCCTCCTCCTACTAGGCAGTGAAGTTTTCGCTCTGTCTTTCCCTACACTTCCTCGTGCTCTCAGGATAAAGCCCCCAGCCACAGTGGCTCAGCCCCTTCTGCCTAACCAGGGAGGCCCCTGAGCTCACCTCGATAAGAGAACCACTCCATCCAGTGCTTGAACTCCCGCAGGTTACAGTCACATTCCCAGGGATTGTCCCCCACCTGCAGCAGCTGCAAGCTCGCCAGGGGCTCAAATGTCAGCCGGTCCAGGCTCTGCAGTCGGTTGGAGCGGAGGGAGAGCGAGCGAAGAGCAGGGAGTCCATCAAAAAGCCCTGGAGGCAGCTGGGCCAGGCCGTTGATGGACAGGTCCAGGTGGCGGAGTCTGGGGGAGTGCTGCAGCAGGTCCCTGTCCAGGGTCCTGATGCTGTTATTGCGCAGCTGCAGCTCTGTCAGATTGACCAGGTCCTCAAAAACAGAGCTGGGTAGCTGGTCCAGGAAGTTGTTGGACAAGTCCAACCGCTGCAGGTTGGACAGGTTGGCAAAGGCCCAGCTTGGTAGGGTACTCAGTTTATTGTTCAAGAGCAAAAGGGTTCGGGTGGCTGCGGGCACATCCGGGGGCACTGTGGTGAGGCCTAGGCCGCTGCAGTCCACCTCCAGGCTGCGGCTGTCACAGGTACAGGAAAAAGGACAGCTGGGAAGGGCCTCCACAGCATAGAGTGTGAGCCAGCAGGTGATCCCTGGGGGAGAGGCGGACAGGTGAGGAAAAGCAACAGGCTGGGCCTCATCTCCCCCCTTCCTTCCTACTCCACGTCATAATGGCCTGTTGGCTTTATCTCCTTTGGCACAAGCCACAGTCAGTGCTCACTTATTAACCACACAAAAAGGTAATTAACAAGTCCTAAGACATTTCTATGCTAATGGACATCACACAGCACCAGCAGGTCCTCACCTCACTGCACATCAAAGAAATTTCTTGAGTAGAGTGACTCACTCCCAAGTGTGAGCCCAGCAGACAAGCCATGGTGGCCCACAGTGACAATGATGTCCCTACCCACAGACCGCCCATGGTTGATTTCCACTGGAGCTTGAGTTCCCTGACACCATAGATGTTGGCAAAATAAAAGACAGGAGGATGTCAGAGAAACCCGCCCCCACGTTCCTGCCCCACTGAAAGATTCTCTTTCTAAGAGACGGTGGCTGTGTTTCTGGTCCTTCCCCGCCGCACTTCGGTGTGCCCCGGGGCTGTGTAATGCTGTGCCATGCTGTGCATGGGCAGGGACGATCACAGAAGGGTGCTCTTCACTCTGTCCCATGTCCATGTAGGGACAGTAGCTTAGTATGAAATTTGGGAGCCCAGGTCCCTCTGGGCTACTCTAAAGAGCACTCTAGGAATGACAAGGGTAAGGGACACAGCACAGTCCTGCATTGGCAAGCCCTGGGCCTAGGACAGGTTCTACCCTGATTCTTATACTAAAGCCACCATCCTCTTACTCTGGCTGCTGTTTTGGGGGGCTGTTGGGCAGCATTTCTGATGGATCAATTAACTGAATGTCTTCCATGTACCCACCTTTTGGCCCAAGGCCCCTCTGAGTAGCACACAGGGAGCCCAATCTTGGAAGAGCTGGAGGAAGTGACCCTCAGGGGACAGTGAGACAGAGCCTCTCCCTCTGGTGTAGAGCAGCCCTCTGTAGGAGAGATCTCAAACCCCTTCCTGACTGGTCTCCTAATATCAGGAAGCCGGCTCATTGTGAAGGGCAACAACACGAGCTCAAAACAAGGCCAATGAAAAGTCCTAGCTGGGAACCTGGTGGTGGTCAGACCCAGCGCACAGCCCAGCAGACCCTTTCAGGTGCACCTGAATGCTGGGTGCCTGGATGGATCAGTCTTGAGTCTCTGTCTGATAGGCATCCAGTCATCTGATACCCCAAGGTGCAGGACTTGATAGAGCGAGCAGGGCCCCCATCCCCTGCCTGGAGGACCAGTAACAGCTCAGAGGCACACTGCCAGGCTGACATCTGAGCCTGTTTGTTCTTAGGTGGCTCAGGCACAGAAGCCAACTGGAGACCTCTCTGGAGCCACCTGCCATGACCTCCTCCTACCTCTCATCCCTCTGAGCCCATCTGCTGCCAGGTCAGCCTGCCAATGCCCTCCGCCACGCTACTTGATTATCAACATTATTCAGCTTTATCTTGGGGGGACTCATTTTATCCCGCTCCCTCTCAAAGGAATGAACATGAGGAGAAACCACCACCTTCCCCTTTGAGAAAGACCTAGCAGCAGGGCAAGGAGAGGACATTATGAAAAGCACAGCTCCTGTCCTTTCTCCCCTCCCCAGAAATTCAGGGTAGCATAAAAGAAAGCTCTAGTGATGAGAAAACATCATCTTCTATTGTCAGGTGTTGAGTGATCCCAGAACGAGGTTGAAAGGGATCTGGTTGCTGGGAGCAGCCACTCTCACGTGGTAAATAATTCAGGCTGCTCATGCCATGGATCACAGACTGAGTAAGACAAGGGAGAAGTCAGGCAGAACAACGTCCCTTCAGGCCACTGTTACCTCTTACAGGTAGCCCTGGGTAGTCTAGCCCTTGGTTCACACTGGCCTTTTGCCTCAGGTGGAGAGAATGCTCCTGTCACCTGACTCCCTTCAGGGAGCCTGCCACCAACATTTGTGCCTCCATGTACCCAGGAGCACAGCAGGGAGAGACCAGCTCCACATCCCATGGAACTCGAGAGTTGGGGAGAGACATGTCAGGAGCTGGCGGGTTGTCTCCAGGTTCATCCAGCCAGTGCTCAAGTCGAGACAAGAGGGCAGCGCCCCAAGAGAGCAGCCTGGCCTGGGCTGATGGGTGGGGTGGGGCCAACTTCCTGCCAAGCACATGCTGGACACGCTCAGACAGCATCAATTCTATTTAAAACTCAGGAAGCCTGGCCGCTCTCCAGCAGAGCTCTGCTCTGACTATCAGGGAACCCAAAGCTTGGGGAAGGGCACAACAGACTCATCTGGGGAGGCAGAATCAACCGCATGGCCCAGCTCCTGGCTTACCCACTAACGTGCTCAGTAGTAGTTTTCTTTGGTTGCCTCACCAGTATTACTATGGGCATGAGTCTCATTTCCCACAGCCAGGTCCCAGGCATCCCAGAAGACTCACTATTCAATCTCCCTATAGCCTAAGCAACTCCACTCCACACCATGCCACACCCCCAGCCCAGCGTGCCCTCCCCAGGGCCCAGAGCTACTCACAGGAGATCTGCCAGGTCCTTGGCTCAGGGCCACCGCCCAGCGCCAGCATGGTGAACTCAGAGCTCTCCGCAGCTCTGGGCAGAGAGGTGCCCCTGGGTGTATGCTGCTTGTCAGTCCTGAGAGAGAGAGAGAAGAGCTGGATGGGGGCGGGCATCCGAGGCCCCGTTCCAGCTCAGGGGTTAAGGAAAGGGCCCGGTGTCTCTTTACACTCCTCGTTCCCTCTCCTGTTCCTCTCAGCAATGCTTCCCTGGGTGGGTGGAAGAAGAGAAATAAAGGGGACAGAAAGAGAGAAACAGAGAAAATTTCTACCTCCCCGGGGTGGTAGACCCAACCTCAGGCTTCCAAAGAGCCCTTAGCCCAGACTTGGAGCTGCAGGATGCAGGGAATGCCAGACGAGCTCCCCTGCCCCGACCGCTGTCCATATCTTGCCCATCTCTGCTTCTTCTTGTTGCTGCTCGGAAATGATAATCTCTAAAATGTTTGCTTTGCAATGTGGTCCCCTTTGTCTGGGCCTTCCCACATCACAGATGGGGAAACTGAGGCATGGTTCTCCTAAGTGAGCAGAATGAGGTCTCACCCACAGCTCTCCCTGTGCTACTCACTTCCCCAGTTACACCCGGTCCCAGCTTTGCTAGCCCCTCATCGCTTACCATGGCCCCTGGGAGGCAGAAACCAGACTGTCCCAGTGTCTGCTGGGAGGTCAGTCAGGTGTGGGCCACCAGGCAGCTCCCAACTTCCACCTTGGAGGTGAATCGCAATGCTCTGTCTTCCACCAGCCGGTCTATAATAAGACTCGTCAGCTCAGGGGTTCATGCTGCAGCAGCTGCTGGCACAGGAAAGACAGGCAGGGAGGAGAGGGTGAGATCACAGAGGGCTGGGAGCAGGCCCGGGTGCTCCTCCTGGGGGACTAACCCTTGCTAGAATCTGGCCCAGTTCACTGTCTCCTAAATGGGATGCAGGCCTCATCTGCATCCCTGCCTCCTCCCAGATGTGGTTAGGAGCCACATAGGAAGCCAGAGCCTCCATCCTGCCAACCCCACCAGAGAACTGGATGCCGCCCTACAGCTCACAAGCTGGGTTGGAAACAACATGCCAGTCCCTTAGCTCTCTCCTGGGGCCCAAAGAGCACGCTTCTCTCAACCCTGGTTATCTCTGAGAGTTTGGTCTTCCAAGCTTACCAAATTCATGGCCCCAGGGAGATCCCTGCTGGTCTTCCTCCAAGCCTCCCATAGGCCTGTTTGATTCTGGGAGTGTAAGAGCCAGTGGCAGGGTGGGACTGACCAGTAGGAAACAGATGGCATAGCTGGACACTTGAGCTGTCAGCACAAAAGTCACCTGCAACCGTGTAGGTTCCCCTCAGGCACTGGAGTCCTGCTGAAGCTGCTGTTGCCTCTCTCTCCTGCCACCCCCTTCTCTTTCCCACTCCTCCCATCCCTCCTCCCACCTCTAGCAGTCCTCAGGAGGCCATCATGATGTCCTGTCCATTTGGGACCTCAGGATCAGCCTGCTCAGGAGCCGGGCGGCCCCTATGCACCAGTCTCAGCTCTGTGTTTCCTCCCACTTCCTCCATTTAGTGAGGGTACCAGCTTGTGAAGGGTACAGCAGGGGCTGGCAGAGCAATCACTGGGACTGGGCACAGATGTGAAATGTGGGGCACCTGAGCCAGCCTCCTGAGTGGACCCCAAGCACTCAGAAGTTAGAGCCACTGGGCTTCAATCTGCAATCTGCTCTCAGGGCCAGGAGCAGCAGGCTCCTGGTTCAGATTCACGGGTAGAGAGGCTCTGGCTCAAATCCCTGTCTGTCCACTCCTTCAAACAAGCTGCTTAAACTCCCTAGGGTTCAGTGCTCTGATGGCCAAAGGTGACGGCCTTGATACATCATGTGGGATTTAAGAGTTAACATAAACTAAGTGCACATCGCTTAGAAATTTAGATGAAGCTTAGAATGCTCCTACCTTGGACATGAACCCATAAGTGTGAACGGACGCCAGTGTCTCCCCCGTGGGGAAGGAACAGTGACGGATTATGTAACATCTCTCTTATCTATTCCCACTACCCTCAGCCTGGGCACCGTCACATGGTGCTCACTGCATGCAGTATGCGCTGCCACCCACTCACACACAGCCCTCGCAGACAGCAAAGTCCACGGCCCTGTGTCCCTCGAGCCCTGACCTGCAGGACTCAGTCAGAAGCCTTCGCATGGAGAGCTCACAGCATCAATGAAACAGTAGGCAGGTCAGCTGCCTCCCAAGCAACAGAGTTGACGAGCGGTTTGCCCAAGGTCACATGGAAAGTCATGGACAGGATGGCAGGATTCCAACTCAGGCTGCTTGTCCCCTCCCAGTGACTGTCATCTAGCAGTGGCCCTTGCAGGGAAATGCTAATGTGTGTCTAGAGTGGAGTTCATGGCTTCAGACATGTGCTCGGAGCACCACATATGGCACGTGATGCAAACACATCCTCATTGAGAGCTGTGTGTTCAGGCGTATGCTAGCACACAGACATGCATGGTACACAAGCACACATGCATACATATGCACACTCATGCACACACATTCGCACCTTGCTAACAGCAGTCCAGGACTTCTCAGATGCAGCTGAGAGATGCCTCAAAATCCCCAAATGTCACCAGCAGACAGATGCACGGTGACCCTTCCCACCAAGAAGGAAGAGCTGAGGAGAGCCCCACAGGCAGGCCCTCACCCAGGACATGTGCCATGCTCAGGCCATGGAGGTGCCTTGGCTCCAACTCCTTCTGTCTCCCTACAGGCCATAGAATGGCTCTCCCAGACATGCTCAGTCCCCACTTCCTCCGAGGCTCCTACCGATTACCCTGAGGCTCTTCAGTCCCAACCCACCAAATAGCCCATCAGCAGCAAAGGTGACCTGAGTGCAGGGCCTGACACCTAGCCTATCCTGGAAAGAGAGGCCCTGGGCACAAAACACAGGCGAGGCCCATAACAGACCCACAGCATGGTCTAGTGAGGCAGCAGGACTAGTGTGCTTTGGAGAAATGTGAGAAAACAAAGCCCCTGGAGGGGGCTTCGAGGTGACCTCCTGTGCTCCCTGGGCTGCTAGCTCTGCCTCCCTGCTCCCTGGGCTTCCTACTTGATGCTAGGGCCTTCTAACCCTCAAGAGGATGCTGATGTCCACCCACACCTCCAACCAAAGGATGCTCCCCAACTCAGAGGAGCAGAACATCCTCAGGAAAGGGGTGACCTAGATTGGGAAGCTGAAGAGCAGCTGGGGGAGCAGCACTGGCCAGCTGTTGGGATAAATTAGCAGGGAGGGGCTCCTGTGCAGGGCAGGAAATGAGAGGCCTCTCTCGTGTCCCAGCTTTATCCTGGAATGCTAGCCCTGTTGCTAGTGCTTGCCTGGTTTTGTCCTAGTCTCAGAGACAGATCGGCTCGAAGGCACTGGGGTCCCCCTCACTAGCGGCCATGGAGCCTGAGAGTCTTAGAAACTCTCAATCTTGAGGCCCACCCAGGCTAACAGGGTCAGAATGTGCATTTCAAGATCCCAGATAATTTGCTTGCATATTCAAGTCTGTGGAGCACTAGGCTGCTACCTCCCACATGGGGACAAACTGTCACCCACTCGTCACAGCATGCCTGGGCGAGTAGATCCTGGGGCAGCTACCTGGCACCTGGGCAGAGGCCAGGGCACTGACATTAGCATCTCCTACAGGAAAGCTTTTTGTGGCCACAATGGAAACAACGGCTACAAACATACACCCAGTGTTCTTAATTGTCATACAACTCTCTAAGGCTAGTAGTATTACTAACACCATTTTGCACATGGGGAGACTGAGGCACAAGAAATTAAGCAACTTACTTAAACTTAGGTAAAGGGAAGAATATAGTTCTGATCAAGCTGTCTGGCAACAAAGCACTGACTCAACTGTCCCTATAAGCTCCTAGATTGTCCCATTCCCTCACCTCCTCGAACACAGACTCCTGGGGGAAGAGGGCAGAGACACAAACAGGGAGATGTGTGCAGACTCTACAGCTTCCCCAGCATTTCCTCATCCGCTGTCTGACTGGAGCCGAGAAGACAGCGGTTCACAACCTGGCCCGTGAAGAGCTAAGCTTTGCTACTGGCAAACCGAGACGCAAGCCAGTTTACTCCCAACCTTCCCTCTCTCCAGTAATGACACAGGGGTGGCGGTGACAGATGTAGGGAGGTCCTCTCTGGCTGGGTTGGATGCTGATAGTGCACAGGTGCAGGGGAAGGGTAATGAAGCCGCAGGCAGCAGGAGCAGAGGCTCCTGGGCGCCTGCCTAGCTGAGTGGGCTGCTGCGGGGACAGGGAGCCTCCCCCTCAGGACACGACCTCAACCCCCTAGTTTGAAACAGTCTGCTGCCTCTCACTCACTGTGGAGGGTCAGGGCCCATGTGGCCAGATGTGCCTGCCCCATCCATCTCTCCTGTCAACAGGGTGGGCTCCAACTCCTGCCTGAACCAACAAACTCACGCCAGGTCTCAGATCTGTGCCCCTGCTCTGAGCTCCTCTGTCACCATCCCTCCAAGGGTCCAGGCCAGTCACAATGGATGCCCCATGGGCCTCCTGACTCCTGGGTAGGTGCCGGCTTGCTGTGTTCCTTCTCCTGAGTCACGGCCTCTGCTCCCCTCACATCCCAGACCCAGAGACCCCAGTCCCAGAAAGGCCTTCCCAGGCTACTCTGCGCTTCCTTCTGCACAGAGGCAAAGGGGGCAGCCCCCATGCCCGCCCTCAGGATTCTGCTAACCAGGACCCCAGGGAGGCTGCCTGCATCCCTTAGGCTGCTGCCACCTGTCTGGCCACGGCCCTTCTAGGAAACACTCCAGATCTCTCCCCTGCCCATCACCCCCATAACACACGCTGCCCAGGCAGCCCGGAAGCAGGCTCTGGCGCTCTCTATATTTGTTCTTAGAACAGACACATCACCTCCTGGCTCACTTCAGAACACCTGCCCCTTCTCGGCGGCCCCACTTCCTGCTCCTGCATTCCCTCCACGCAGTTCCTCTCTCCAGCAGACCTGGGGCTGACCAGAGCGGGAAGCCCCCAGGCGCCCCCCTCGTGAGCTGCTCCCCAGCAGGAGTAAACTGAGCCAGGCTGTTGAGGCTGTGGAACCCACTCTACCACTCACTACCAGAGGCCTGGGCAGGGGCAGGGGAGACCTGACCCAGGACAGAAGGAGACCCAGAAAGGGGACACCCTGCACCCATACCACTGTTTCCCCCGCTCCCCACCCTCAGAGCTCCTCAAATGCCACAGCCATTTCATGTACACTGTTTCCCTGCTCCCTCCCCTGAGCCCTGCTGTGGTCCCTTAGCCCTGGTGCCTGGGAAATAGACCCTGGGCCCCAGACCCTGCTTCAGTCAAACCCCAAAGAAACCGGAGAGGCACGGAGAGGCTGCTCTAAAAGCCTCCCTCCCTCCCTCCCTCCACAGCCACTGGGCCTGGCTTTCCTGGTCTTCCTCTTTTGGCAGTGCAGAGACTTTCTGCTAGTGGGGAGGTGGGGGTGGGAAGCCTGGGCGCCTCTTGGCGGCATGGAAGCTGCTGTTGGGTTTCCCCACCAGCTGGACTTCCCCCGCCCACCGCCACGTGCTCAGCCTCCTCCCCTCCCCCACCTGCAGTAGTTATCTAAGCTGCAGGCCTGTCAGTCTGAGTCACACCAGGCAGTGCCCAACAAGCCCTGACAGCCTGGTGCCAACAACAACCCCCTCCCCTGGAGATGCAGACAGCTGGGGAATGGGGCGCAGAACAGCCAACTGGAACCCAGTCTTAGACCTGCCTGGCCCTGAAGGAATTTGAACTGCAGCTTCTCAGTCAGAATCCTGCATTGTCAAAAGGGGCTTCGGGGCTACTGAGAGCCACTATCCTGGCCCATCTCAGGGGTCTGGCAGCCAGGTAGATGTGGCCTGGCTGCCCGAAGTTAATTAAGCTAAAAACACAGCTCTCCTAAGGCACCTGACCACCTGCAGCAAAGGGCTCAGCGTGCAGCCATGGGACACCTTGAGCAGTTCCTGTGAGCCTGCTTCCCTGTCTGGCCCACAGATGAGTTAGAAGTAGGGCTTGGGGATTGCAAGGAATTGCAATCTGCCTCATCCCCTCCCAGTCACAACCCCACCAGGGAGGCTGCACCTACAGCTGGGTAATCCAGTGTCTAGCCAAAAGGGCTCCTGTGCACCCTTGTCCAAGGACAGCCACCTGAAGGACAGCAACCCAGTCTCAGGCAACCTTGTGGAGGTGATTCTGAGTCTACTCCTGGGCCTCTCTGTGCGGTGCCCCCTGCTGCTGCCCCCACCCCAGGCCTTCCTCTTACCAGCCCTGTCCCCAGTACCAGGCTGCCATCCCACACCCCTTCCCATAGCACCCAAGTTCCTCAGGGCTGCCTGTGCCCAGTCAGCATGTAGGGAGCACAGACTCTAGGCTCATGCTGCAGGGACCGCGTTTCTATGCCACCGGGGGCTGTCATCTGGCACCAGCACTGCCCTCCTCCCCTTTACCTCACCTCCCTCCCAGCTCCCTTCAGAAGGCACAGTTCATGTCCCCAGCACTGTATGGGTTCAGAGTTTCCCATGCTCAGTACCTTCAGGATGCCCAGATGTCTGGTCCCAAGCAGTTTGCCCTGCTCTAGCAAGTGCCCAGCCAGGAGGCCCTGCTGCTAATTGTACAGAGCCAAGGGACCCGGCAAAGATGGTCCCTAGCTCCCATGCCCCAGTCACCCAGCGCACCGCCGACCCCGGTCCTTCCCAGCAGCCGCTCACACTCACCTTTCTTCAGAACTGAGCCCTTAGATCAGGTAGCTACAAATGCAGACACCACCACCAAGCTGCGGGCTCCACTGCCAGAGTGGGATTCAGCGGGAGCAGGGAGCTGGCGCACAGCGCCCAGCGCAGGAGGTGGAGAGCCCGTGGCACTGCGCTGCCAGGGGAGAGGGGATGGGGCTGCTGGGTCAATAACAAACTGAGCTGGGAAGAGGGAGGGACGGAGGGAGACAGATAGGAGAGAGGAAAGAGAGGGCGAGGGAGGAGAGCGTGCGTGTGCACGAGCCGGCAGAGCGGAGCGGTGCGGTGACAGCTGGGGGTACATCTGTGATGACAGCGCCAGCAGCACACACAGGCGCGCAGTGGATGCACACGGCGTCAGGGCAGCACTCACCCGTGCAGCACCCACATTTCAGTGGGGAGAGGCGCCTGCGGACCACCCCTTCCCCTCCAGGCAGGGGGAGGCCGGGCGGCTGTGTCCCTCCATTTTCCTTCCCAGCGCTGCTCCGGCTCTCCCTCGCCCGCCCGCCCGCGGCTGCTGCCTTTCTCCTGTCCCTGCTCCGCTTCCCTTTCCACGTGGGGACAGGGGCAGGACCCAGGCAGTCTCTGAGACTTCTCCTCCGGAGAAGCTGGGGCTCTCACCTTTCTCAAAGACAGCCAGAGCAGGGCTCCCATCCTACCTGTGGGAGGAGGAAGAATCCAACCTTCAGTCAAAGGCTGACTTATTTTGCAAGAGGACCAGCGAGGGCACCCAGGGATGCAAGGTGCCCGAGCCCCACAAAGTCAGAGGTCACGTGGTCAAGCAGGGGACATTCACTCACTGAGCCTCAGGAGTGACCACCCCACACTAAAATGTATTTAGGGGAGCAAAACACCAGGAGGGCGGGCTTGGAGCCCACAGCGGGGGGCCACCTGGTGAGTTGTAAGGAGCCCAGAGGGAGCCAAGGCCAAGCTTAGCTTTGACCTCACCCAGCTAGGCTGCCTGAGTTCCTTCATCTTATCTACAATGGGCAAGGCATTCCGAGGGAAAAGACTGTAATTCAAGAACTCAGAGGCCTCTTTCCTAACCAATCAGGACCAAGCCAGTCAGAAAATTGATATTCCAAGAGATGAAGTGGCCGATCCAAAGGCAAAGTAAGCTCTCGGGACCAAGCTGGAAGAGTGGTCCTGCCTCCCCAAGAAAGACCCCACTGGGGGCCTTGATTTGCATCTCTGAAAGCCTGCACCCTCCAGCAGATAGCTCTGTAGGACTGGGGTGGGGACCAAAGTGCCCTTGACACCGGGTGCCCCCCGCCAGAAGCTCCTGTTCTTTCTTTCCTGTCTAATCTGCTAGGTGACCCAGACAGAGGAGGAAGCAGGTCTGCTTTCCCAGGACAGACTCCTGTCACTGCCCTCCTGAGAGGTCACTGTCCTTACCCTTCTCAGATGCCTCAGCCATTCAGCCCTTCCAGTATACCAGGCTGTCACCTTTCCCCAGGGTGCCCACCTTTCTGTCCTCTCTCTGCCCATGGCTGGCCCCCTTCCTTAAAAACATAACCGGAATGTTCACTGTGTATAAAATGTTACTGCTTATTCCACAGGTCATGACATTTTCTGATCTTTGCCACTTTTTTCTGAACCATCCTTGTGGCTCATATCACAGAAAAGTTGCACAGTGGCTTCCTGTAGTGTGATTTCTTCCTTTTCTGTGTTGTGCACTGATAAGAAGGATCCTGCCTTACCTGCTCTTCAAATAGCTAGTGGCTTCGTATTTAATGGCAGCCTGGGGCTTCACTCAAGAGCTGCCCTGTAGACAGAGCAGGTAGATTGAGATCTCTGGTCCCCTCTGGTGCTCTTGACCAGAGTGCTGAGCAACCTGCTGGTCCCAGTTTGCCTTGTAGAAGGCAGGCAAGAGGCTCCTCCTACACTGCAGCCTCTGCCCAGCCAGTCACACAGGGCTGGGTGACAAAGGAAGGTCAACACAGACAAAAGAGCCAGGAGGGACAGGAGGAGGTCTGACTTCTCAAGACTAGAGCCCCTGAAGGGGCCACTGCTGCTCGTGTGTGTGAGCGTGTGCGTGTGTGCACACATGCATGGAAGCAGGCACAGGCACACACGTTTGTATGCATGATCAAGCACACATGCACACGCACAGCTGCCTTGTTTTGCCATTCATGATGACAAAGCAGCACGGAGGTGACAGCTGAGACAAGGAGCAAAGACTACATCTTGATGTCTGCTGCGTCTGCGGCCTGACTGAGCGCTCCAAGAGGCTGTGTGCATCAAGCTGAAGGGGTCTGAAAGGAAAGCTGTCTCAGAGGCAGGCTCGAGACCGCCGGGAGAGATGAGCGAGAAGCAGTTGGGGAAGGACAGAAGGTAGGGAGAGGATCCAGGTAGGCTGGGACAGCAGAAGATTTGTCCTCTACTGGCCGCACCAGGCCCTTAGGAACCAAGGTCAAGATCGAATATGAAGACCCACCAGGCACAGGCATGAGAAGACCTCCTAATAACCTGCTGGAGAAGCCTCCAGAGGCCTTGCTTTCCTTGGCCTCTTTTCCTGTTTCTCTTCACCAGGAGTTCAGAGTTTGCCTGAAAACCCTGTAACGGAGCCCACACCCTGCAGGCTCACGGGCAGAGGGGAGGGAGAGAGAGGCCCCACGAGGTCACTGACGATGGCCACTGCACTACAGAGCTGGGACCCTGGGACAGAAGGCTGCGCTCTCTCTGCCTAGGGTAAAAAGCACAACGAGGAAGGCAGGACGTGAACAGAAGGACAGAAATGACTCAAACCAAGGGGTGCGGACCAGCAGCGTGGCAGAGCACAGCCGACCCATTGTACGGATCCTTCCCTGCTCCTGGCTGAGCTCCTTCCTCTCTACCAGGCCCCTTTTCACCGTCTCCCGGTTCCCACCCAGAGGAAGGCCTTCTCTGGGTCTTACTTCACTCTCTGGTCTCAGGGAATTATCTCCAAGCTCCTCGAGAGACAGCACAGCTCACTCTCCAGGATGGGAAGCCCTGGGTCTTCTAGACCAGTGCCCAGGAGGGGAGGCAAGGGTTCAGAAAGGTCCTGAACCTCAAGACTGAGGAACAGCAAGGTCTTGCAGAATTTCACTTCCTGGTCAAATAGCTGGCTTAAATTGATTTTACTTATGTAGCCCAAGGAATATATTTTTTTGGTACTGGGTATCAAACTCATGCCAAGAAATATTTATTAAGCCCCACTATGAAAAAAGTACTGTTCTAGGTGATAAGAATCAGAACTCAACCCCTTGCCTGCTATTAGCACCATTCCAGTGGGGTGAGAAATCAAATAAATAAACAACTCATACCACTTAGAAAATAAAGAATAATGAAAAAGGAGATGAAGATGAAGGGGAGATTAGGGAAGGCTTCTACAGATTATGTTTGAGCAAGATCAGATGATGAGAAAGAAGGAGACAGCCATGTGGTGTTCTAGGAGAAGAGCATTCCAGGAAGAGACAATGGCTTGTGCAAATGGCCTGGGGTAAGAACAAGTTTAATATGTTTGAAGAAGAATATGATTCAGGTCGAAATCAGAAATATCAACAAAGCTAGCTCTTCTAAGGCCTTCTAAAGCCACATTTCAAATTAGTTTAGATTTCTGTCCTAAGGGGACTGGGATAGCATTGGGTAATTTTAAGAAAAGGAGCACTGTGGTTTGATCTTCAGAAAGATCACTCCAATACCTGTGTGCAGAATGGATCATGTGGAGGCCAGGGCAGGAAGCAAGGGGATCGCTTAGGAGTCTGTTGTTTTTATCCAATCAGGAAAGAGGTTGGCTTGGCCAATGGCGGAGGAGAAATGTGGACTGATGGATGACATTCTAGAACCAGGGTGGTGGAGCCTGGATGGAGTGAAGGGAATGAAGCCGTTATATAGACAGTGCGCCTCGAAAGGGGGGCAGCTGGAGAAGGACCGGGGTTGGGGAGGGAAGTCTGGCTTTGAACTTGATGTGGCGCTTGCTCTGGAGGAGATGAGAACACAGGTGGGGGAGAAGCTGCTCTGTGCCTCCACTTGCCCATCTCTGCCTAAGGGGCCTCCAAACCTGGCTCTCATGGCAGGAGAACTAGCCCAACCTGCTCCAGATGCTCTGGTTAGAGTCCCAGGACTTCTTCCAGCTTGGAAACCACATGGTTCCAACGAGACTTGGCTGTCAGTCACCTGAGAAGAAAGGCAAGTCTCATTCCAGGAGTAATCTGGGAACTCCCTGGCCACCACGGAGGCCAAGACAGGGTCAAATAACTTCTTAAGTCCCAGAGATGTGATTTTACTAAGCACTGGCACAGACCTCCTGTGATGGAGGCCAGAAAGGTCACCCCCTTTGGTTCAGCCCATTTCTACAGGTGAAAGACGTCTGAGTCAATCGACTTCAGCAGGTGGTCTTATATAAGGTACAAAGAGAGGGAGGAGCTGCCTGCAGCCCTCAGGACAAATGTGAGGGGTTGAGGGCACAGCCAGCCCACGGGAGCGCTTGATATCTGTGTCTCTCATCTGCACGGTGAGCCAAGAAATGGACCCCCCTGTCCCCTTCTGCACACCCCTTGGGGGCATCTGGACCTAGAAGGAACAGGGAAGCCCCCACAGAACTCCGATGACCCCATATCATAAGACCTGTCAGTGGGGCTGGCCAAGCTCACCTACAGGATTGCCTGGGACCCCTGCAATGGGAGTGGCCTCTGAGCTCTTCATCTGCAAACTCAGAGTGGTGCTAGCATATGTGCTTATTTACATTAATTAGAATTAAATAATATTTTAAGTCCAGTGTGGTGCTACACACCGGTAGTCCCAGCACTCAGGAGGCTGAGGCAGGAGGACCACCATGAGTACAAGGCCCTGTCTCAAAAACAAAACAACAGAAAAACCAGAATTATGTAACATTTTAGGACTTCAAGTTCTCCAGCGCTAGTCATATTTCATGTTTTGGGAGCCACATGTGCTCACGGCTATGGCATGGGGCAGCACTGATACAGGTCATCTCCGTCATCCCAGAGAGCCCACTCAGAAGATCAGACGAGGATGCCTTAGAACAGGGGCTCCCAAAATAGTTGCAGGATCCGCAGCAGGCAGCAGCACTAGGAAATTCTCTAGAAATGCAAATCCACAGGCCCTACCCCAACCCCAGGGCCAGCGACCCCGGAGCAGGGTCTTAACCACCATCCAGGTGATTCTGATGCCCACCAAAGTCTGAAATTCAAAGCTGCCACCAGGACTAACGGATCATCCCACATCCCCCTGGGGCATCCGCAGTGCCGCTCATTCTGCCCTTCTAACTGCAGCCGTGACGCACTTCACCACTGAGCAAATATGTTCAAAGATCATAGCTCTGGAAAACCAAGCCCTGCAGCTCTGCCCTGTCTGTCTGTCTCTTCTCCTCCCTCTTTTTTCCTTTTCCCCTCCCCCTCTATAATTTCTCTAGGCTTACTTCAGGTCAAAGGGGGAAAAGATGCGATTCTGAATCTCTGGGTCATCTTAGGGCTGCAGTGTGTTGTGGCCGGGCTCCCCAGGGCCTAGGTACTCAGGACTGACGGCAACAGGAAATCTTCTGAGGGTCCCTGAGGTGACTTCAGAATCTCCTCTGCATTCGGCATAATGGTTGAAAACCCAAACCTGTATGCACTTTATAGATGAGAAAACTGAAGCCCAGAGTGGAAGAAGGCCCAGAGTGGCTGCCCATCTGCAGCCTCTTCCCAGCTGCCAGGACGCTGGTCCAGGTGCCCCGTAGAGAACTCAGGCTCTTATACCTTAGAGACAGAGAGACAAGGTTAGAGTCTGCTTCTGCTGTTTACTAGCTGGGCACTGTGAATACACCATGTAAGCTCTACAGAACCCCGTCCTCAGCTTATAAAGCCTGAATAATAATAGTAAAATGTCTGACGCATCACCCAACACGTTCTTCATATGATTATACCAGACACTAAGAAGTTGGCCTACTTTTAAAATTCTTTTTCTATTCAATATAACCTGCCTTTTCTTCCTATTCTTTGGACCCAAGTTTTCCTGGAGCTCTTTGTCCCAGATTTCTCTTGGCCTATGAGCACCTGCTTGGGTTCTCCAAGCCTATTTGGGAATCAAAGAGGCAGGGATGGCCCAGGTAAGCACGGACATCAAAGGAGTGACATTGTGCACTGCTGGCATCCAAGGTGCCCAGAAACTGCCTGCAAAACTCGGAGAACCGGATCGTGATTTCCAGCAAGGAGAGAGGAAGACACTAAGCAGAACGCTGTGGAATAGGTTTTCCAGCAAGACTGAGCCCTCAGGCACCCAACTCACAGTGGCCCAGCCTCAGCTACACACACGGGCCGCGTGACCTTGCATTCCTCCATTTGTGGGGAGGGGTGATGGGCTGCCCCGTGCAGGTGCCTGGAGCTCCCAGAGACCCTAGGATGAATCTGTGCCAGTTGTGCTCAGGACTCAGAACCCCTAGCATCTCTGTCTGTCTGTCTGTGTCTCTCTCTTTCTCTGTGTGTGTTTCTCTCACATTTTCTGGCATGGTTGTCCCCGTGGGGAAGGTAAAGCAAGCACCTGGCTCCCCCTGTCTCCCCTCAGTCCTCTCACTCCCCGGGAGCCTCAAGATTCATATTCTGGTCTGACTCAGCCTCCCCCCATTCCTGCTGCCCGGGCACTCTCTCCCCCAGTGCCTGCTCATGCGCCTCCTCCTTTAACTCGGTGCTATTTTTCTCTCTCACTGTCTGCTCCCTCCCACTGTCCCCTCCCCCCAAACGCCTGGCCTTGTCCCCCCTCTCCTGCCTCCCAGCAGCAGTGGGCATCCAGATGAAGGTAGAATTCCTCCAGCGCCAGTTCTGGGCAGCAACACAGCAGGTGGGTGAGGGTGCTGGGCTAGGACGGGAGTAAAGGGTGTGACCTGCTCTCTGTGCCAGGCAGGTGCTGCCTGTCACCCCCCATCGCCCCTCAGGAGCCACCGAGATGCTCTCACAGATCTGCCCTCCCCTGTCCCAGTGTGGCTCCCCCAGCCACACAGGCCAGGCCTCTGTTCTGGTCCCCATTGGCACCAACCCTGAGCTTTTGCCCCACCAGCCCAGTGCCAAAGGGCAGGATATGCATTCCCTTCAGGCCTGGCCTGCACCACATTCCTAGTGCTGCCCCAGAGCCACTGGTACCCTGCCCGCTCCAGAGCAAGGAGCCACCTCACCCTGTCCACCACCAGTGCCCAGGCCTGGCTGCTGACTGGCTCTTGAGAACCCAGCCATGCCTGCCACCCTGTCTAGTTCCCCTGCTCTTTTAGTCCCCCAGGCCCTAGACCTGGTCCTGGAACTCCCCTCTCCTCAGTGCCCCTCTCACCTCCTCCAAGCCAAAGCTGCCACCTCTGCTCCTCCCCTCCCCAGTCATTTGCTGCCACCTCCTTGCCTGGGGATGTTTGCAGAGCTACAGGATGAGGGAAGGAGGAGGACAGATGGAGACGCCTGAGACCCTGGGTCACCCCCACCTCGTGACAGCCTCTGACAGTCTCCTGCAAGGCTCCCAGCAGTGCTGCAGGCTTCCTCCTTCCCTGGGCATGGGAGGTCCTCAGGCTGCAGGGGCCGCGGCCTCCTTAGAAGAGCCCAGCCGGCTGCTTCCTAGAGCCCAAACCCGTATGCCACATGCCTGCCACAAGCACACTCACATACACCCCACACCTAGGAGGCAACCTGGGGACTCCCCTCCAGTGCAGAGCCTTCCTGTACTGATGTGTGCAGAGCTGGCTGTGCTGCTTCCTTCTCCCTCAATTGGCTCCAAACAATCCAGATAAGGCTGGTGAGATACTGATATGCAATCCTTGAAGCCAGCCGACATCTTCCTGTTTCCTCACACTGTAACTCCTATGAAGGGTTAAGCACAGCAGGATGGCAGAGCTAAATAGCTCCAGGAATGTCAACTGGGTTCAGCCTCAAGGTAAAAGGCTATGACTTCTCAGGGCACAAGTTTACATGTCAGAAACAGAAGCAACTGTTGGCTTCCTGAAGCGTTTCAAATGCTTCCCTAATTGAGTTATGCAGACCCGTCTTTCTGCATGTGGCAGGGGTGCTCTCCACCTGGCCAGCTCAGCTCACCTGCTCACGATTCCCACCTTCCTCACTGCCACTCATGGCTGCCTTCTTCATGAGATAATAAATGCCGAGGGAGGCCTGAGACCAAGGTCTTTGTTCCGTGTATCCTCACCTGGATCGGACTCAGGACCCCTTGGTTGCCCTTAACTTTAAGTATGTCCTAGAGTCCTTATTCTCACTGTGGGTGGCTTTGGAGGTGGTAGATTGAATTAACCTACCAGGATTCCAATAACATTCCAGTGGAACTACAAATATAAACTTGCTGGACCATGAGGGGGACAAGATAAAGGATTACAATATTGGAAGGAATTACAGTATTCAATATTGGGAATACACTACAATATACCCACACACCAGCATATACACTGTAAAACACACACGCCACACACAGTGCTCACACACACCATACACAGCACACATGGATCCTCAGATATAACACACACACCACATGTATACTATACACACTGTATACTACACACACAGAGATGCACACAAGCACAGACTCCTGAAGACACCACAAGGGTACCACTGTCCATACCACATATCCATACACACCAGGTTCACACATGTAACGCACTACACACACATGCACGCGTGCACGTTTGCCCCAGGGATGCAGCGCGCACGTATGCTGTGCTCCACTCACCACTCTCTTCTTTCTCCAGTGCAACACTGAGGATGGGCAGTGCCCGCAGAGCTGCGAGGACAGTGTAAGTTCTCCCTGTGTGAGCCAGGCAGAGGCGGGGGCTGTGCACCCTCAACCTATGTTCCCTCCGTGAGCCAGCACCCTCTGCTCCAGTGCCTTGCAGCCCTGAGCTCCAAGGGGGCCTTTGCCACCACATCAAGGCCTCCTTCCCAAACGGAGGATCAGGGGCAGATCGGGGCCTATGGTTGCATGCTTAGTCATAGTCTCCTCTCTGGACCTCTCCCCAGGATCTGGACTGCTTCGTCATAGACAACAATGGTTTCATTCTGATCTCGGAGAGGCTACAAGAGGTAAGCCACTGGGGAGAGAGGAAGAGTCGGGACCTCCACACACCAAGGTGACAAAATATGAGTTCTTTTCTGCTTGAGTGAAGAGACTGTTATAGCTCTATGTCATCTGTAACTAATCTGACTCCGCCCTTGGCTGGAGGAGAGGCATCCACCCCACACACAGGAACAGTGTAGCTCGAGGCTGCCGGACCGCACTGCACTGCACTCTGTCCTGAGCTGGCCTGGCCTTGAGGGGCCTCCTTCTAGAGTCCTAAGCACCTGATGCTGTCTCACCCCTCCCTCCTTGCACCCCTTTCTATGATGGGGCTCAGAAGCCCTGGGTCTCGCCTACCCTGTGCTCCTTTCCTTCCTGGACATCCTAGTGGAAAAACCTCTTCCAGCCTCCACACCCTGCCCTCGGTATGCTAGGCGGGGAACGAGGAGTGGAACAATCCTTTCTCTCCAGTATCAGCCATGTGAGTCCTTCTTTTCCTTTGGGCAGGTGACCTCTCTGGGCCCAGCATGTGCCCAGAAAAGCAAGAGAATTTTACTGTTTTTATACTTGCTGGGCCAGAAATTAGACCCTAAAGGCAATTAGTCAAGAAGTATAAAAGAAGTCTTTAAATCAAACCTGAATATTGTCACCCATATGATTTCCTTGAAACAAGCTCAAGGCATCTATGTGCCCTCCAGACTGATGGGGGGGGGCGGGTACCAGGGCTCAGACTCATGACTTTGCATTTGCCAGGCAGGGGCCGTGCCTCTGAGCTATATCCCCAGCCAGGCTGAGTTTCAGTGGAAGGACACAGAATGGTTCAGTGTGGCTGCGCCACAAATTGTATGTAAGACCTGGGCAAGCAACTTCCATTACTTGTGTCTCAGCTTCCTCCTGTCAAAAACCAAGGGGCTGGAGCACGTGAAGGCTTGAGGTCACCTGAAGTCTCAGGTTCCCTGTGCCCCCAACACAGCAGCAGTCTGACCTGGCTTGAATGGCGTTAGAGTCCAAAGAGGCAACGGCAGGAACTAGAGCCAGAGCATCAGGAGACTGGAAAGACGGTGGCTGGGGAGAAGGGCATGAAGGACGGTGGAGGCGGACACCGTGAGGCTGGTTTCTAAATGGCCCACTACACATACAGCAAGATGAGTAGAGAGTTCACAGATGGCGCACCAGGAGTGGGGCTGGGCTGCCGACCACGATGACTTGTGGGACCCCAACAACTCATTGATAGCTGTGGTCCCCTGCGCACCTGCATCTGCTTGCCCTCCGTTGCCTTTCGTTTTGGGCCACTTTGCTCTTCCCCAGTCATGCCACCTGTCCATCTTAGTCTTTCTCAGGTGCTCTGGTGGAAAAATGTTGATGTCAAGAGTTGAAACCTGTGGTTAGGGGGAAGCTCAGGGGTGACCTGCTGCCACAGTCACGCAGGCTCTGCTTTCTGCTGCCTGGGTAACTGAGCCAGCAGTCCTTGTCTCTTGCAGTCTTAGCTTTCGGGGGCCTGGAGATAGACCCTGGGCTAAGGAGTGTCAGAGCAAGCAAGGATGCTTGGACAGGTGGAAGGGTGCCTAGACGAAGAAAGAGGAGCCACGTCCAAGCAGAGGTGACCAGCTGTGCTGCAAAGAAAAGGACTGAAAGCACGGATTAGGGTTTAGGCTGAGTCTCTGCTCCGAGCTCTGCTCAGCCGCCACAGGCAATACACAAAGAGGGAGCACAGCATTGCTCCAGACACTAAAGTCCAAATTTCATAGTGTTTTCATGTGCCATACAATTTATTAATCTTTTTATTTTTGATAACCATTGAAAACTAAAAAAACAATTCTTAAATCAGGGGCCCACATAATTCTTCATTGTCCCAGATTCAGGAACCTCTGTTCCAGATGACCGAGACACCCTTGCAGGGAGCCAGGCCCAGAGGAGCCTGCCCTGGCCTGGGACCCCCCCTCAAGGGAAACGGGCAAGGACAAGGGCCACCGCTGCACTGGAAAATCCCACAGCATCACCCACTGGGGTACTTCATCCTATTCAGAGCACATCTTCATGGATGGTAGTGTCATGGGAACAACCACCGACACATAGTTTTTCAGAGGTCTGTGTTTTATAAAGTGTTAGCTTAGCTTGTGTGCTACGACTTCCCCAGCCATCGTGCTGTCTTCCCACACCCCAAGCCCTCTGTGAAATGGAGCACAGGAAGGGTGCGCATTACATGGCCTCCTTGTGCTTGGTTCTCCTTCCCCTTTCTGCTGTCATCTGCTGTGATGACATCAGTCTCATTTTACACCAAAGGGGAAAAAATAGGTTGTGTGAGGTTTTGTGATTAACCCCAAAACTCACAGCTACAGGAAAGCCAGAATTTGAACCTAAAAATATAACTGAAGAGCAGCAATGGAGAGGGAAAGGAAGGGTCTAGAAAAGACGCCATGCTGAGAAGACCAAGCTGGGAGTCCTCTGGCTTTTATAAGAGAGCATTTGTAGGGTAGAGTTTGCTGGTGACTTTGGTCTGAAGGGTGTAGCAGGCTGCAATTTCCAGTCCCCTGGGTAGTTATCCTCCCTGGGTCACTCTGTCACCGCTCAGAGCAGCTCATTCACTTCATTGCACTGGGCTGAATTTCACAAAATTAGGACTAATGGTGCCAGAAACAAGGACCCAGGAATCCTGGTCCCGGAGTTAGGCTCGAGACTCCGCAGTGGTAGCATCCTGACAGGGCTGAGTTCCTTTCTTCACTCTGGATGCTCTTCTCTCATTAACTGAGCTGGGTTATAAGAAGCACCAGGTCAGAGGTGCCACTTGGCAAGATCCCTGGCGCAAAGCAGACCCTGTGCGGGAAGCGACCTGGCCTTGGTGTGAGACCTGGTAGTCAGGAGTGTGTGACTGGAAGCAGAGTGGAGAACAGCGGGGTAGAAAGCCCGGTGCTAATGTGCTCTCTCAGCTGCTGGCCCATCTGTCCATCCATCCAGGTTTGCTTTTTCTTTTAAAAACTTACCCGGTTCAATAGCAGTTACCTATTGTTCTGCAGCAGAGTGCCCCAGGATTAATGCTAAAGACAATCTTAGGATGTGTGTGGGTGTGGCTGTTTCTGGACCCCGAATGCCTCAGGGTTAGGGTCTCTTATCTGGCTACAATCAGCCTGAGGCTGTCTGGGAAAGGATGAGCTTTCCAGCTCTCTCGTGATAGCTAGAGGAAAGCAGTGAGGAAGCACCTCAGCTCCCTATCACACTGGCTCCCACACAGGGCAGCCTCCTACACCAGCATGAACGCCAAGCCATGAATGAGCCAGAGAGCACAGGCCAGAGGAAGGCATAGTCTTTTAAAGCCTGATCTCAGAAGCAATGCTCTATGACCTTACCAAATTCTCTCTGCTAGATGTCAGTTGGCAAGCATAACCTACACTCCCACAGAGGGGGTTACGGGAGGGCTCGGCTACCCGGAGCCTGGGGTCACTGTGAGCCATTTGGATCTGCCCACCACACACTCCTCCACCTACACAACCTGCCACTTTCTCCAGACACTCACCGGGCCATCAAGAGCCATCCAGCTTGGCCCTCCTCAACTCATTCCTCACCTCTCCCGCCTCAGCCCTGGGACCTTGACAGAGCATCAGCATCACACATGTCTCAAGGTTCACCTCAGTCCTAAGGAATCAAAAACTCTAGAATGCCCTGGAAGCCTGTGTTTAAATGACACCTCCAGGTGATCTGGTACACAACAGAATGTTGGAACCATTGCTTAAGTCTTCCCGCCAGTGGCTGGGTTTGGATATACCTCAGCTGGCTGTGCCCATCTGCCCAGCTAAGTGATGTGAAGAAGGTTCAGGGAGCCCTGTCCCTTCCAGGACCCACTCAGGGTGTGGGGAACAAAGTCTGTTGCTTCTCCACATGCAAAGTGTCCTCCTCAAAGTCCTGCCCTGCCCTTCTTCACCTGAAGCCCCCATACCCTGCAAGGAGCCCACCCATGGAAGTGGCTGGCAGCTTTCTCCTGGTCCTGGAAGTACCCGAGACCTGCTGATCAGACACTGGGCCTTACCTGACCTCTTCCAGCACTGGGCTCATTCTTTTAATAAAGAACTAGAAAAAGACCTAGAGAGTGATGGGGGCCTGCAGAGTGTGGGGCCAGGAGACTGCCAGTGGCTCTGTCACTCTGGCCCTCCTACTCCGGTTCCTGTAATTTGCCTCTGGACAGCACTTACCCGTGGAACTTCAAAACAGTCCCTGCCAAACAGCAAAGCCCAGAAAACCCAATGCCAGCCTCAGCACTGCCCTCCCTTCTGCCCCTTATCATCACAGATGTCTGGTCCTGAGCTTCTGCTCCCCTCTTCATTCCCATCTTGCAGTCGGCCTGTTGTTCGTGTCTCCGGCTCCCCTGGGTCCCACTTCAGCTCCCCTTCTGCCTTCCCAGCTTTCCAAACGTCCCTTCCCAGGAAGGAAATCTAGCCAGGTCCCATCCCCACAGAGGCAGCTCTGGGTGCCCACTGTAGAGCTGGTATGGACTCCACACCCTTTCCAAGTCTTCCCAGCAACCACCACCATTCCCACGTGGCTAAAGGCACTCACAAGCCTCAGGAGGAAGAAACTAAAGGAAATGGAGTTTCATATGTGGTGAAACCTGCCCACCCTTTAAGAAAGTATTTGTCCCCACTTTCAGAGAAGAACCTGAGGCCATCAGTGATGAGGTGATGCTGTGGCAGGACTTTGTGGAGGACACTTTGCATGTGGAGAACCAACAGACTTTGTTCCCCACACCCTGAGTGGGTCCTGGAAGGGACAGGGCTCCCTGTACCTTCTTCACATCACTTAGCTGGGCAGATGGGCACAGCAGAGGTGATGAGGCTCTGTAGCTCCATTGTCACCACAGTTGAGGGTGCCCTTTCTCCCGGGGGTCAAGGCCTTTGCAGCTGCAGCCTCACCAGGCATACGGATTACCCAACAGGGTAATCACCCAACCAGCAGGAATATAATTAGTTTTGAGTTCACTGCTGCCTGGAACCCATCTGCTTCCTGCTTCATGCTCCTGGGTGGCAATTCTCAGGCCCTGACCTCCTCCCAGACTCCCTGTCAGACTCAGGGAGCCCCTGTCCCTTTTGGCCCTGCCAAGTTCTGTCAGCCCAAGGACCCTTAGTAATGCATAGATTATCCCGTGCAAGGGGCCACAGGGCTGCCGACCTCTCTGCAGTGCTGGGCTGGGGTGCCTGGTTGTCCTGAATAGACGAGGTTCCTACAGCCTAAGCTTGGACCTCAGCTTTGATCTGAGCCACTGATTCATTCACTCTGACAGAAGTCACAAGAAACTGTGTCTGCTAGGAATTGTGTTGCCCTGCCAGTAATGGAATCCCCACTACAGTGGTTTAAACAAACTACAGATTGAGTTTACTACTGAAGAATGGCTGGGGCAGCCCAGGCCTGAACTGCTTTCTGAAATCACCAGGTATCATCACATTCAAGAAAACAACATAGCTAAGGGGTTTCCTGCCTTCTACACACCTCCCCAGACAGGGAGCGGGCAGCAGAAAGGTAGCAGCGCCTCCAGCGGTGTCCAGGGGTTTAAACCTATTTCCGGGAATCCTTTTCTGTTACTCGGCTTACGTTTCATTGGCCAGTCCGAAGTGCAAAGGCTTCTGGGAAATGCAGTCTTTTACCTTTACATTAGCAATGCGCACAGCGCTCCTGCTGTTAGCCTGCCTTATTAAAAGAAGGGGAGAGAGTGAACCCTTTCTGCTGAGTAACATACTCTAGGAAATTTGAAGTGTTTTATTTTGAGAAGAAGACGCATTTTCCCAGTGTCCAAGATGCACTTGACTACTCTCAGGACCCTTCTCAGAAGCAATCCCTGAGAACAGGGTTGTTTGTGAATAAAGCCTGGGACAGGCCTGTGAGAAATCGGACAGCCTCGTCAGGGCATGGTCTCCATCTGCTGACTTGTTCTAGGAAGCCGAAGGCTCAGGTCAGCCATTTATTCCCTCACACATTCCTTCAACAAATATATGGAGCCATCAGTGTGTGATTCTGGGGGCCAGAGGTGGTCTACCCTCTCCAGGTCCCTGGACTAGCAAAGGGTGAGCCCGCTGAGGGGGCTTATCCAGAGTGCAGGGACGAGGGAGACCCATTCTCTCAGACTTTGGGCTGTACCTTGAAGGATAGCAGGATATGGAAGGTCTCACCTTCCCACCTGCTCTTCTGTCCTTCCCTCCAGTGCCCTTGACCCCTGCCTGTTGTCTGCTCTCCGGTCCGCTGCCCCTGCAGTGAGGCTGGTCCCTGTGAGACCTCCTAATCAGAACAGTTGGGCCCATGGGCCGCACCACCCGACATTAAAGCTCCAGTTGCTAGTTACATTGTTACGGAGAAGGTGCCATCCAAACTGCTCTGAGCTCTTGATGGTCCGTTTCATTCATTCTTTCTATCATACTCTCCTAGTGCGCAAGTGTCTTGTGAATAAAAATGCTAAACATTAGTTTTTGGAGGTCTGGGCATTCAGGCAAAAAAAAGCAAAACTCAGACACATCTGACTACCTCTTTGGTTCAAATTCTTGGTTTTCTCCTCTTTACTTTTGCCTTTAATTTGTAGTTTTTGAGATTACAGTTTTGCCATACACTCTTGGTGTCTTGTATCTTGACATACACTCTTGGTGTCTTGGTGTCTTGTATCTTTTAATTTCATAAGTGAGATATTTCCAAGAAAGACATACTATAGGATTAAAAGGTTGTATTTTCTTGGTTGACTGACTGACTGATTGATTTGGAAAGTGACATTCCCTGACTTTATCCCAGATTCCAACACTGGGTCTATCTGGAGGTTGCAGGACCCATTTGCCTAGAATGTGGCACAGAATGCAGAATGTCACCAGGTTTCTACCCAAAACAGTACCATTATCTCTTCTTTGGAAGAAACATCTCTGATTATTGATCTTGTGTCCAGGAGCCCTGCACTCTGGCTGACCTTTGCCTGAAATTAATCTGTTTCCTGTTTCTTAAGAGTCACCACCGTCCACTTAGCTGCCCAGGGAAGGTCCCAAGTGGGGATTCCCAGACAACACATGGCAGATCCACAGCAATCTGTCCCTCTGCCAGGGGGGCATTTCTCTTTATTGGAAGCTATAATGTATGCCATTGTTTAGGTCTCTCACAGTGCACTGTCAGGGAGCAGAGTCCACAGACCAGGGACGCTGCTTACATGAGGGTCCTACCCTGCTCGACCTTCTTTTTTTTTTTTTTTTTAATTGGTACCGGAGATCGAACTCACGACTGCGTGCTTGCGAGGCAGGTGTTTATGCTGCTGAGCTAAATCCCCAGCCCCTGCTCAACCCTCTTTGTCCTTCCTTCTGTGGACCTGATCTTCACCTTGACCTGCAATTGAAGTCACAGCACATGGAGGTCTCCTCTCACCAAAGCAGTGAGTTTGCCATGACCACCGACTTGGACTCTGAGCTGCCTGCCCAGCCCAAATTCTATGGGTCTGTCCAGGGACTCTGGGGAATTCAGAGAAGAGTAAGAGGCAGTCCCTCTCCTCAAGAGCTTTCAGTCCAGTGGAGGCATAAGACAGTGAAACATGTGGTCAGGCAAAGAGGCAGCAGGGCTAAAGGGACGCGAACACGCGCTTCTCAGAGCGCGGAGGAAGTAGGGAGATTTCTGACTGGAGTATTCAGGACAGGAAGATTTCTCAGATGGAAAGTTCTTGGTTGAGAGTTGAGAAAGGGTGGTGAAGGCAGGGAGAGCAGTGCAGCTGGACACGGGCATCCTGTAATAATGACCGCCATTTACCATGGGCCTCCAGCTTCTCATATTATGCCTAATCTTTAAAACAACCTATGTCATATCTGCATCTGACACCAAAGACCCCAGATCCATCCTGTCCCGCTGAGAAACTGTGGAATCAAGGGGCCGGACCAGCCTGTGGGGGAGGCAGTTCGGGAGACCAGTCCAAGCTGGGTCTGAGCCAGCTTGGACAAGAGTGGCAGGTTTTGCTCCTGGCAGAGGCCGCTAGGCACCCCCTACATGTCTGTTGATTAGGTTGTTAAAGGAGGAATGGAAAGCAGGAAAGGGAGAAAAACCCATTTATTTTAATGTTTTGGAAATAATGAGAAGTGTGATCAAACCCAAGTGTGTCAAGCTCCCTGCGCTCTTTGGCTGCATAATAAGGACGCCAATGTGTACAGACAAGCACACATGCGCACGTGCACACACATGGGCACGCAGCATGTACAACACATCAAGGCTTACAAACACTTCCTTCACTCTACTGCAAACAATTCGTGTTACATTGTCCTAAGGAATTTTGTGCCATATAAAAGTCTGATTGCAGCCTCTAGGTGATTTCATGGCCAGCCACCAGGTTACAGCCACAGTGAAAAGTTCTCGGGGGGAGAACCACACGCAGGGGGCTGTAAGCACAGGGAGCGTGGGTTCCTCTCAGGTTGCGTGGACAGATGGCATCTACAGAGCACGCCTGTGACACTCACGTCTGAGTTCAGGTTCCGAAGTCTTCACCTGCTGGCTCTCTCTTCCTCTCCGACAGACGGGAAGATTTCTCGGGGAGGTGGATGGTGCTCTGGTGACCCAGCTGCTCAGCATGGGGGCGTTTAGCCGGTAAGTGGTACTCGCCTCTCTGTGGTCTACACAGACAGAGCTGCTGTGACATGGCCCTAGCGGACCTGTGACCTCAAAAACCTACAGTCAAATCACCACAAAGCCCCCAACGCAGCTTTCCTGGAAAGCTGGAAAGCTGGGACTTGACATGAAAAACGAGGAGCATGCCTGGAGGACAGCCCTGGGGAACCCGTAGCTCCGCCTCAGTCCCTGGAAAACCAGCCAGCAACAAGCAAGACATACACTGCTCAGTTTCTCTAAGCTCAGTTCCAAAGTGTAGGGTCCCACTTTCAGTTGGCCCTGTCTCTGGCCTGCTGTCCTAATTCAGGCATCCTCTTGGATCTAGTGAATGTGGGGTCCTGCTTGTGACCCTGTCTGTGGGTAGCAGCAGGTGTGGCCTCTGACATGCTGTCTCTGGTTTTTAGGGTGACCATGTACGACTACCAGGCCATGTGCAAACCCCCGGATCATCACCACAGTTCTGCCCAGCCCCTGGTCAGCGTGAGTGTCACCCAGCCCTTTCCCCCGCCAGGTGCACATCCTTCTCCCTGCACTTTGGAAAGGTACTGGCCCTTTCTCACCCAGTCTCAGGGCCCAGGGCCACTCTTGATTCTGTCCATTTCTACCCGACCCCTGACGCTCAGCCTAGCCCTGAGGCAACAGAGCCTCAGGGAGAGAGAACTGACTGTCCCAAGCCTCCTCTCCCAGGGCTACACACAGATCATCAGGGGCCCTATCACCGGGGGCCACCAGGACCAGAATATGAGCGGTGTGCCTAACCCTCCGATGTGTCTGACATCCGAACACATTGTCCAGATGGCCCAGCTAGGACGCTCCTCTTCAGGGGGAGGGAGCAGCAGTCAGGAGGTAGCCTTGCTGCTCCCTATCTGGCATAAGGGTGGTGGTGAAAAGACCACTTAGCCCTTGGGCCCGTTCAAAATATGTGCCCTGCTCTCTCCACCCCAGCCCATCTCAGCCTTCCTGACAGCAACCCGGTGGCTGGTGAAGGAGCTCTTGCTGTAAGTGGGGGCTGAGGGGGAAACGGAAGGAGGATGCCATGCTGGTGTGGAGTGTGAAGGGGTCCTCGGAGCAGGAGGGTGCCTGAGACCTCTGCTCCAGGTCCCAGGGAAGGAGGGCGGGGCCCTGGGAACAGTTCTTCCTCCCTCCTTCTTGCCCACTACTCCTAGGAGGACCTGTGTCACTCAGAGCCCTCAGGCAGGAGTGGGGTGTTTTAGAGGAGAGGAAATGGAGAGACTGAGACCCAGGGGACCCAGATGGGGTGGACGTATGAGTGTCTGAGACTCAGTTCTGTGTCTGGCAGGTTCCTGCTGGAATGGAGTGCCTGGGGCTCCTGGCACAACACAGGAGCAGACGGTGAGTGCTTAGACTGCACATCCGGGAAAGCTTTCCCCTGGGTAGGGTATTGTGGAATGCGGGCTTGAGGTGTTTGCTGTAATAATTTCATCCTGCGTGGCCTTCTCTCACTACCATCATTCACCCTGGCTCTCTCACCTCTCTGTGTGACACCTTATCACCTTGGGACACCATGACTCCATGTGACATCATCACCATCCTGTGCCATCCTGCTTTCCTGTGACATCATGCCCATCCTGTGCCGTGTCCACCATGTGCTGGGCTCATATTCTTGGCAGCCAAAACTGTCTTCCATCACTGTAAGTAGCATTATCTGAGGAGCACTATACTGGCCATGTTATGGCATAACATAACAGTTATGTTAGCGAGCTGCAAAGGACCTGCCCTCAACTCTGCATCCCAGAAATGAGCTCAAGAAGGGCTGATATTTCTTCTTCTGGAGACTCCCTTGACTCAGAGACATTGTTTGGGGACAGAGAGGAGCCCAGATCCCATCCCAAACAAGCACAGCCCCGCCCCAGAGAAGATAAGAAATCCAGCCATCTCCTTGGGTTAGAGCACGTGGGGATCCAGGAGAAAATGTGGTTAAGTGCAAGTTGGCAGCCACTAGGTCATACCTTAGGGAAAAAACTGATGCCAAACCTCCAGAACAGTGTCCCACAGCCTCCAGCAGGGGTCTAGATCAAGGCAGTGGTCACCAAGAACATCTGAGGATGACAATCCACTGCCTCGTGTCTGAGGACAGAGTCCCTTAAAGGCAGTGACATGGTGACAAGGTCTTGACAAGAAAATAGCTTCATCCCAGCCACAGAAACACAGCCCTGGGGTGAGGATGCCTGGCCCGGAAATGCCAAGAGGCACTGTCACTTCCTGGTACTGTAGAGCTCCTGAGACCACACTGGGCCACCGTGCTTCAGTCCAGTTCATTCAACCACCCTTGTTAACAGAACCTTTCCACCCAGTTCTGCAACTTCTCCATTGTCTGGGCAGTTCCTCACCTGTCCCCCATCTCTTTCTGTGTTTGGCTTCCTGATAAGACACCATCCCAGGTCCGCCCTCTCTCCGATTGCTCCTCTCTTGCTTTCCCCCTGTACCCTGGGGCGTATTGTCTTTGATTAAGGCAACGGCCTAGGATCCTCAGCTCACTTGGTCCATCCTCTGCCAAGTGTCCAGGTGCTTTTGGAAATCATAGTCCTGACAGGCCCACTCTGCTCAGAGTCACCTGCTGTTGCTGACAGCAGCCAGGAACCGTGTGTCAGAGTCTACCAGGAGCAGGTCACTCCTCCAGGTCTCCTCTCACTCTCTCCAGAAACACAAGGCCTGATCACAAGCTGGGCACACAAGTCCCATGTCTTCTGTCAAGCTGAGGATGGTCCCCCATGTCTGCTTGCTCCAAAATTACTTCTTTGGGGCAGCTGACCCCTTGGAGCTTCTAGGCGTCTGAGGCCTCAGCCAGGAACAGAAGTCTTGCTGTGACCTTGAGGAAGCCACTCCATTCTATTGTTTCGGCTGTGACCAGCATCACTGCTGAGTTGCACTCACCCACCAAAGTGGCCGGGGGGGTTTGGAGAGAGAGTCCCAGCCCTGAGTCACCTCTCACAGGCACACTTGGGAGAAGAGCTAGAGCCTGAGACTTCTACCCAAGTGCCTGTCCTCGGAGCAGAGCCCTTGGTGGTCAGCTTGGCCAGAATGAACCCCTGCTAAGCTGTGAAGACTTCACTGACCCTGCACACTGGCCTCTCCTCTCGGCCTCGCAGTCTGTAGGGCTGTCTGTGTGCCTGGGAACACAGGAAGCCCGCAGGTCTCCCACTAACTCTTGTTGAGCCCTTAGGACAGCAGAGTCACACTGGACCCTTTGCTCCCAAGTGGTTAACATGGCGCTAGGCTGCTGTCCTGCCCATTTCGCATCTGGGAGTGACGGCCAAAGAGTGTGTGCCCTGCTCTGGGGAAGTGGGACCACAGTGCCCAGCCCTGTGATCTTGGGCTGGCCTGTTCCACCTGTGCCCATCTGTGACCCCGGCAGGGACCAGCAGGTGCTCCCCAGAAGGGCTTCCAACTCTCCCATGCTTTGTAGACTCCACCCCTGCCCTTGTCTTGCTGGACTAAGGGCCATCACATTGACCTCACTAGCAGCCCACAGCACAAAGCCTGGGAGCTTTGTCTGTGGGCTCAGGCAACCTTGGGCACTGAGACCCCTTACCCTGCACTCCTGGGCCAGCAGCCAAGGCTCAGCACTGTCGCTTCTCAGTAGAAAGGACTCACCCTGGCTTCAAGGTAGCCACACGGCCACGCTGAGCAGCACTTGGATAGCAATTCTAGCTATTTGTAGGGATGACACAAGCTGTCCACAAACAAGGTCAGGTTAAAGGACAGAGGAGCTAACACTCCCACCGAGCCATCCTTATCTCCTCTACTCTCCCCTCCCAGGCCCTCAGGGTACCTGTGCTAGAACGAATCTTTGAGAGGGGACATGTGCCGACCCCAGTTTACAATGACACAGGCGCCCAAGAAGAAGCAGTGGTTTCCCCAAGGTCAGGAGCCAGCACGGCTCTGACACACACCTGAACTCCAGACCGACACCCAGGCTGCCTCAGTTACTCTGCCCACCCCACCCCATCCCCATCCCATCCTGAGAAATCTTACTCGGGGTGTCTGCAGTGGACCTGATGGGGAAGGGGTCATGTGGCACATCCCAGAGGCCAGCTGACAACAGCAGGAATAGCATGGTGCCCTTCCTCATGAGTATGCTCTGTCCACGCAGCCCACAAGCACAAGAAGCAGGACCTGCTGCACCCCTGCGACACTGAGTACCCCGTGTTCGTACACCAGACCGCCATCCAGGAGACCAACGGGGTCATTGCATGTGGGACCTGCCAGAAGTAAGGTCCCGGAGCCTCTCTGCCTGTCCCCAGCCAAGGGGCAAGACCACTATGTAGACAAGGGCCTGTCGCCCATCCTCAGGAATACCTGTGGTGGGAGAAGGGAAGGATGCCACTGCAAGGGAAAGGTCCTGCTCCTGGGGGCTCCCTCCCCTACCTGGCTCTGTGTGGGAAACTCAGGTCAAGGCAAAGCAGTCAGGTGAAGCAGATTATTAGGGACAGAAGTCCCCAATGAGTCATGCCCAGCCAGAGGCCCCACACCTCTCTCCAGGACTCCTGCAGGTTTGTCTCCCTTACTGGAGCAGGTTGTCTTGAAGGCCACACAGGCTCTACGCCACAGATCTGAAAAAGAAGCTACGCAGGCCTTCCCAGACTCTGTCTTGAGCTGAGCTGAGTGTGAAAGTCTCCAGGGACCCTCAGTGGTGCACAGGGCTGGGAGAGGACCCTAGATCTGGCTTCCTGGCACTGTCAAACCGTGGAGAAACCCCTCCACCCACCTGGTCCCCCAGCAGCTCCGCGGCAGTGACATCGCCCATCAGGCCCCTGCCCCCTTCTGCCCCCAAACCTCAGCCCCCCGCCCTCCACTCCCACCCAAGGAGTTCTATTCCAGCCTCCTCCAAGTGCCCCAGCCAGACTGAAACTGCTTTCTTGGGACAAGTGTCAGCTGTACACTTATCTCTAACGCTTGTGGGAGGACACAGGGAGTGGGATGGTGCAGGGCAAGGGCTTTTGGGTGGACACAGTTGACCACTGGTTCTGTCCTGCAACAGCTGTGTAACCTTCAGCAAATTACCTCACCTCTGCCAGCACGGCTTTTGCCATCTACAGTATCAGCCTCACGTGCGCTGCGAAGGTTAAACAAAGGCATATATATGTGTGTGTACACATATGTGTGTGCCCAAAATGCCACCCATCCCACAGGAAATGCTAAGCGACAACTGGAGCTGTTGCGTAACAGCCAGGTCTGGCACTTCGCAGCCACAACCAACCCCGCATTCCAGCACTGAGCTGTGTGCAGGACCACAGTGCCACCATGTGGCCATGACTGACACTGAGCCTTCCAAAGCAAGGGCAGCCACGCATCCCTATTGCTGCGGTTAATAACATCTCCACCATCATCCTCCCTAATCGGCTAGGAGAGGAGAAATGCAATTGTGAAGGCTGATGGTAAAAGAAAGCAATAAGATGAGAACCTTTAGCCAGAGCTGATCCTGGATCTTACCTTCCTCGTGCTCTGTCCCTCCTCTGCTACCCTAGCTCCCCACACAAGTCTCGGGAATTTTTCTCCCTAGAGCCCTTCTCATAGCTGCCACGCTTGCCACGAAACAGTTCACAACACCACTGTCTTTGCTGCAGGATGTTTGTGATGCAACAGATTCCCAGCAGCAACCTCCTCCTGTTGGTGACAGACCCTACCTGTGACTGCAGTGCCTTCCCACCAGTCCTGCAAGAGGCAACAGAAGTCAAATATATCCTTACTGTCCCCCAAGGGGGGAGGCTGCTGCCCTTGGTAGGAGGCTCCTTCTTCAAGGCAGAGGCCAGCCTCCCTCACCTACCCTTCCCCACAGAACACCCTCTCTGTTCTCCACTCGCCCCTCTGATCCCCTAAGGAGCTGTCTCCTGACCCTGAAGTTGCTGGCAAAGCAGCTGCGACTGTCAGGGGTGGGTCCATCCAGTCCCGGTCTCCAGAGTCAGCTGGGGTCCAGAGTGGTGGACCTTGACTGTGAGCTCTGTACATAACACCTCCGTCAAGTGCGATAGGATGCGCTCCCAGAAGCCCCGCCGGCGACCAGATTCCTGCCACGCCTTCCACCCCGAGGTGCGGAGTTGGGTGGGCTGAGAAGTGGGGTCTGGTCTTCATCCCCAAATTCTCTAGGCCAGTGTACACCTCCCCAAGAAACACATACACACATTCATGTCTGTGTTGTGTGACGTGGCGATACAGCTTCATAGTCTCTGTACTCCTGGCACGGAGTTTCTGAAACCCTTGGGAATTCCTGGGTGGTACAGGTGAGAGGAACATCTTCTGTTATAGTTGGTCCTGGTCCCTAAGTCTTGACCCCTGCTTTAAGATCCTTGGAATGAAGAGAGCAAATTTAGGTTGTTGTATGCCAATAAGATGAATGGGGGCCCCTGGTAGTGTCAGGGTGGGGGCTGATGGCCTGAAAGACAAAGGTGTGAGGAGAGGGTTGGCACTTTCAGCCCCAGCCCCTGACTTCTGGGGATGCGAGGGGAGCTGGAGCTGGAGTTCAGCATCAGGGAGCCCCTGACTCGATCAGTCATGAATCCTCATAACCCCTTAAGCAACAGGGTTCAGAGAGGTCCCAAGTTGCGAAAGGGGTCCAAATCCATGCATTGAGAGGGCAGTATGCCTGCAAAGGACACAGCAATCTATGCACAGTTGTGTCCCTTTTAAAGTGCTCCTAGTAAGTAAAGTTCTCTCCCCGAGTTCCGTGAGCTCTTCTAACAAGTCCTCAAGTTTGGGCACAGAACCCTTGACTTATGGCCAGTCTGTCAGAAGTACTGAAGGCCCAGCACTTGCGATCATGCTTGGGGTGGGGACCATACATGAAACAGAGCCTTTCAACTTGTGGGGTCTGATGCTAATTCCAGGCAGACTGTGTCAACATTGACCTTCCAGACACCGAGCTGGTGAATTGGTTGGTATAAGGACACTCCTCACATGTGTAGTCAGAAGTGGTATTGGAAAGACACATCAGAGCCTCCAAGCCATTAAATATGTCAACCAGAATCCAAGGAGAATTAAAACACAGTTCCCCATATTGTCCCCATTCCTGCCACCCTTACCACTAACAATCCATGCATATGGGAAGAAAGAATTAATGTAGAGACTAACATTTATTGGGCCCCTGGTGTCCATGGCATCGGGCCCTGAGCTGGAGATTTTATGCACAGTTGTCTTTACTGAGCATGGGTGCCACAAATAATTTGTCTTCGAGATGCTCTTGGAGTTGAGGACTTCCATTCTGAGAGGAAGCCCCCATAAACTCTCCAAGGCTGAAGCAGGCAGTGAGCTCAAGCCTGGCCCAGGCTACGTGTGGCCCGGGCTATGTCCTTCCCTGGGAAGTCTAGGGAAGATGGAACCTGCCCTGCCTCCCAGGCTGCTGGCCCCCAGAGATCACCCCTTGGGTGGAGGGGGACCTCCACTATGGGTGGCACCTCTCGCCCCTCTCTGGTTTGCAGGAGAATGCCCAGGACTGTGGTGGCGCCTCTGACATCTCAGCCTCGTTCCTCCTGCTCCTGTTGCCTCTGGGTACCTGCATGCTTCTGCCTTAGCTTCTGCAGCCGGGCAGCCCATTCTGACCCTGCTGTGGAAGGGGCTTCTTCCAGAGACACTCTGGAAAGTCAGCAGCTGATGGGGAGCTGGCTCACTACTGCCAGCCTGGCTCCCAAGCCCAAACCTCATCTCAATGCTGAATGAATGGTCCCTGCTGGAGGGGCCAGCGAGTGCCCTTCTCATGAGCTGTCAAGAGGAAGACTGTGAGAAGGAACAAAAAATCAATGTCCCAGAAGTCATGCCCCAAAGACCCTCCAAGCTGCCATTTACCACGAATCTCCACAGGCATCCTCCAGGTCTTCCCTCTCTTCTCTAGGAGTCTGCACAAGCTCAACACCAACCAAGACGAAACAATTCACCTTTCTCCAGTTCAGAACCCATCAGAGGAGAGTGAGCTGTCACTACTGAACCAGGCTGGTCTGAAACAGCACCCAAGCATGTAGAAGTACAGAAAAGGAAAATGAAGTTAAGAGCAAAGGAGACTGGGTGAAAATATGCCCGGACTAAAGCCGAGGAGGGAAGCCAGTGCGTGTGCATGTGTGTGCGGAGTGAGACTGAGGCAGAATCGAGGGAGTAAATAATAAAGGAAAGAACAAGAACAGGACAGAATAGAAAGAGGCATTACATCCAGATTGTTACTGCCAAACAGCCTAAAGTGTTACAAAGTCTAGCTTAAAGGTAAATTTTCATCCAACAAAAAGGTGGATCTGTACAGCTAGGACCTGGGGCCACAGTGTACCCAACGGAGGTGCCGGAGAGCAGCCACCAAGCCAAGGTGGAGGCAAGCCGTCCTTCCTGGCAACATGATGCAGGGTGCTATGAGCGCTTTCACCAGCCAGAACTTTGAGGAACATTTCAACATGTAGAGTGCACAGGGAAGGCAGTGGTATCTGGAGACCACACACACACCCCTCTCCTACAGTCCCAACTTCTGGGTCTCCCTCCCTTCGGCCTGGATCCCAAGAGATAGCAGACTCCACTGTGAGTGAAAAAGGACAGAACTGTGTAAACATTCCAGGGTGCTCCAATCTTTGCACTGAGGCAGCCCAGCCCATGAACTGTGTGACCTGTGGGGGACCTTCAGGAACTCTTCTCCCCTCTCCAGGCCCAGCCACCACACCAGAAGTACCACCCTGATTTCCCACTACCATGGGCTAACTCTGTCAAACACATCTACTCTACTATTTGAAAGTGCCTTACATCATAGGTGTTCACCTTACTGTCATTTGAGAGGGAGGGATTCATCCCCATATATGGCTGAAGAAATCCAAAGTAGGAGAAATTCACATGTAACAGGAATTAACATGCATTAGCATGTTAAATATCAGCTCATTTAATCCTCACACCCCTCCAGAGCCTTTCCCATGGCTTGCCCCATTTTAGAGATGAAGCAACAGAAGCTTAGAGTTGAAAACTACCTTGGAATTACTGCAAGATTATTGTGAAGACTGAATGTAATATATTTGTATAACGTGCCTAGAACTGCCTGGCATACAGTAAACACAAAACACATTATTACTATTACAGTACCTTGTTTTGTGGAGGTGGAGACAAAGACATTATGGCCTGGAATACTAGGTGAAGGTCAAAGGTGGCCGCCTAGGTGGGCTAGGAAGCTGTGGGGAGCCCTTTCTCCAGCTGCTCAGCTACAGTGCTGCTTTGTCTGATGGCCAGGGAAGGGTGCGTCCTGGCTCCTACTCCAGGCGCTTCTCGCTGTGGCACACTGTCTATCTTTGGCATTAATAAACATTCTCACCTCCAACGGCATTTGGTCTCAAATGCTCACTCAGAGGCCGCCTCTTTGCATCTTCTAGGGTGGTCCACCGCTGTCCTTTGTAAAGTTTCTCCCCTCACCCCAACCAGGAAAAGCGGTTTTGAACAAACTAAACTGCTCTGACCCTGCAGTGGAAGAGGCTCTTCCAGAGACAGTGCAAAGGCAAGCATGCCAAGCTTGCATGCTTCCTCAGGGTCCCGCCGCATTTGACAGAGGCCGAGACCCAGGAACTCCTTTGTGATCAATGGGAGGAAAACCATTTCTAAAACCAGAGAACAGATACTCTCATAAAGGGCTACCCCCGGAGGTCAGCGTGCATCTTCCTTTCTACTTGTAACAGGAAGGACAGCAGGTGGCAGTCTAGCTCACACTGACTGTGGAGGAGCAGAAGTTGGAACCTGTCACTTAATAAATGGGACACAGAATTTTGACATTTTCTTGGCAGTGTTGTACAATTGGATGACCACGAGCTCAGGGATGACATCAGACCCTCCTTCCTCAGAACCAGAGACTCAGAGCTACTAAATCCACTTAACAAATTTGTGTTTGAATTAGAAGTGCTTTCAGGAACCACTTTGTGATGCTGTTTCAGTTCAGCAGGACAAAGGAATGGACATTGCTTAAAGTCAGAAAAGTACAAGAGGGGTGGCAAACACTAAAAAAGGAGTCAGAGCAGGGCCTTGGCAGAAACGGCAGCCGGGCAGGACAAAGCTGAGAATCGTTCCCTGTAGGGACCACAGCCTGTCAGTGAAGGATGCAAAAAATACAGTTAGCCTTTTAGTTGTTAGAAAGTGAAGACACTGCAGCCAGGAAAGCAAATGACTTCTCGCCTATGTTACGTGACAAACGGCAGAACTGGGGCGTGCATCTACCTCTCCTCCTTCCTAGGCTAGCGGAGAAGATGGGGTGGTGGGACACAGTGGCAAGAGGCTGCATGGGTTCCACACTGCCCTAGGTGGCAGCCACGAGAGCCCGACTAGCCTTTTCACCTAAAGCATCAAGCAGAAAAGATCAGTACCTTATTCGGGACACGAGTGACGGGCAGTGACGGGCGAGGAAGGACAACATGCAGCATACATAACTGAAGCAAGGGACTTGAGGATGCCGTTTCTGGGTAACTTTAAAGCAGCACTGTCCAGAGACTCCACTTAAGACACCTAACGCCCAGCATTCTATAAAGTCAAATTTTAAATGCATCCTCCTCTAAAATATCCATGGACATCACTGAGGACATACAGCCAGCTGTTGGCAAGACATCAGGAAAAGCCCAAAGTGGGTTAGTTACCTGTGGATCTTGGCTTCTTGCCTAGAGCGGAATGTAGTCCAGTGTCCTACACTCAGGTAACACATGAGACCTTGGAGTTGTATCTGTACTTACAAATGAGAATGCAGACACAACCGAGTGCTGCAAATTCCCTAGAAAAAACTGCACTTACTGAAGGCAAAAGAATTGAGATTTCCTCACATTAAATGATACAGAAAAGATCAGGTGAACAGACTCCCCCAAATTAAGGTCCATATACATAAGACTATAGCCAGGTATGGCTGAGGCAAAAGGATCACTCCAAGGTTGAGGCCAGCATGGTTCCAACATGAGTTCAAGGCCAACCTCAGCAACACAGTGAAACCGTCTCAAAAGACAGAGCAGAAGTTTGACCACGTCATCAAAACCATAAAATCAAGGAGAGGGGAAGCAGTTTTCTCTTTAAATGCTTTTTACATTTCTCCAATAAAACTGTACCACTAGCATCAGACACATTTTCACTATCAAATGAAAGTAACACTGTGAATAGATTACAAGTGAGTAACCAACTGGTTCTCTAACATGACTTGGCTTAAGGCATTTCATTGCATTAGGTTCTTGTTAAAATCTTAATTTTTCCAGCACTGGGGATGGAACTCAGGACTTCACACATGCTAGGTTAGCAGTCTTTCCTCTGAGGCATACTCTCAACTCCTACATTTTATTTTTATAAATTTTAGTAAAAGAAGAATTATCCCCAAGAGTTAGCTCTCCTTTCCATCCTAAACCTGGTTCAGCACTGAGGACAATGAGCAGGGTGATTTGTGCATTCAGAATGGGAAGTTCTGAAAACTTCTTAAACTACTACCTAGATTAGGGTTGCAAGGACGTGGCGGAAGTTACAGGGAGGAAAGCTGAAAAAGGCAATAAAAGCACAACGAAAGTTCATATTCCATTTGGCTCTTTTTATTAGAGAAATCGAGAATACAGCAAGTAGGGAAATCCCATGGTGAATGGAACTCTCACACAGATGCCGTTCTAGTACCCCAGCTTTCTATGATTCCCCGAAATGTGCTTTGTGGCTTTAGCAATTTATAAAGGGCAAGGGAGGGGGAGAATACTGAGAAGGCCACTATTTAATGGTGGAAGAATGGAGCTGTGGAGGTCCTAACCAGCCGGGCTAAAAAGGAAATTAAAAATCTGCACAGAGCAAGCGCGCCTCCGGCTGCTGAGTAAGGCATTCAGGCACCAACCTGGTGAGATTCTCAGCGGCACCGTAAGGTCAAGTGCACATTGAGGCTGTTGTAGTGAGCTGCAGAGAGACAGACAGAAACAGGCACACGCACCCACACACACACACACACAACTGGAGAAGGGGAGTTTACTGGATTACACACTGGTGGTATTGGTTTCATGTTCCCTAAGGGTTTGTGCTGTTGAACCAGATTCTTCCTGCTTTGGGGTGTGGGGTGACAGGGCCCAAAGACTGTCATTTCTGTGGGTGTTATTACAGGGCTGCACCTCACACCCTGTACCCCAAAGTGTGACCAAAGAGCAAATCTGGCTTCAGATATGTGCTGTTGTTCTCAGGAAACTAGTGAGAGCTCCCCCGCTTCACTGTGGCCACTGCCCTGCCAGACTGTTTGCTCAAGGGGTTAAAACTGCTCTTCACTTCTGCTCGGTCTGGTCTGCCTATGGCAGTGACCTTAGCCAGAACCAAAATACTCCCTAAATTCTCCCCAGGTTCTACATTGAGGTCTTCACCCCCGCTATGGCTGAAGATCTGAAGGGCAGGAGGAGCAGAAAACTCTACGTTCAGACAACTTGCCCTCTCCCCTAACACTCCTCTGCGGACACCAAGCCTCCGGCCTCGCCCAACACTGTAACACAACCCGCTCAAGTGGGAGGCAGTAACCTGACACTCCAGTGCTATTCTGGGCGCTCACCAAGGAGCCAGGATCAGGATTCTACAAGCCAGATTCTGCTCCCACCACTGTCCCTGACACATCAACGAGGTGGCCCCAAGACAAGAGCAATCATTTTTCACTTCTAGTAGCAATTCAAAACCACGGACTTAAGGGTCCTAGCAGACTAGCCAGTAGTGACATCCGGTTTCCTTTTAGTCTCTCATGCTATCCCTGCCCGGTGAGGCGCAATGGGGCCGAGGTGCTCTGGGGCCTAGGGAATTCGGACTTGATCCTGCAAGGAGAGCAGAGGTGCCGTCAAAGGCTGACCAAGACACCGCACGAGAGGTGACACTTATCTTTCCTTGTCCAAAGACTGGGCTCTCCCCTCCACCATAGGCAAAGTGACCTTATGAGGAGCACATACAAGTCAGAATCTCAGCTGTGGCTGGGCTGTGCCAGGAACTACCATGTAAGGGAAAGACACTTTTCAGTTCCAGAAGGAAGAAGGCAGTCAGGGCAGTGATTCTTAGTAGAAATTTACAGGGTGGTCCAGAGCTCCACAGCCAGGATATGGAAAACTGTTCCTACCTCTCTAGTCACATATGTGCCACCACCAAGTTATCAGTGTCAGGAAGTGATCAGGTGAGTCCCCAGAGTTTCTCCATGTTTCCACTGCTCTTTTCCAGCACTAATGACAGGACTAAGTAGCTTAGAGAGGGTCCCTGTAAGCCTACCAGACACTCTGAAACAACACTTTAACCACAGCCCTCACCTACTCCACTGAGGAAACATGCACCGCTTCTCTGCAACTCTGCCCTGGAATCCCCAAAGGCTCGGAGACACCGTGTGAACACTGGACAGGGACTACAGCCTCTGCCATCCTAGGGACCAAGGTGTGTGTGTCAGCCTTTGGAAGGCACCGTGGTGCACCAAACACTACGTTCTGGGGCTGCGCCTGACCTTCCTCCAGTCATACTTTGTGCAAAATTGAAACAGTGTGTGGTACTTGCATGTTTCATTCTATACAAAAAGTCTCCCTCCCCTACCCCTATGTTTTAAACATTTATATAAATTTTTATTTAAACAGTAAGTTAGAAATCTTATTTACATTAATTTCTTTGTTCTCCTTAAAAGAACATCTAAAAATCACACTCCCGCCCCTTAAATGGATATAAATGTTCACCTAAATTGGTTTGTACTGTTGTTTAGGAGAGAAAAAAAAGAACAACCAGCTAAACGGTTCTCCATCTTCTATAAATAAATACGGTATGGATCAGAAGACAGTTTGCCAAGGGTTTTGCAGAACCCTCAATGGACAGATCCCAAGAATAAGTCAGGGTAGGGGTCGCTTCTCCTTTTCTCCAAAGTGATGCACTCCATCCTTTGAGGTATGATTTATTTTTGTTTTTCTCTTCTCAGTCGTGTACCATATGGAGCCCCTGGGCTGCCACAAAGCCCATGAGGCTGTCAAAGTTTTGGGGCTCCTCTGACACTGCCATCAGCGGCCAGTAGGGAGTCCTGCTGCTGCTGTCCCTGCTGCTGCCGCCGCTGCCATCACTGCCGCTGCCGCCGCCGCCGCCGCCGCCGCCGCGGGCCCAGTTCAGGGTCACAATCCCTGGCTACCTGTAGATATCACAGTGCATCCTCTTCAGTGCAGCCTCCACCGATCATGAAACGGAATTCCTGCAGGTTTGAGACGCCGTGGAAGTGGACGAAAGCTCCAGCAACCACAAAGATGTGAAACAGCTGATGAGAGTGAAACTGGGGAGGGGAGAAACCCACACGACATTAAGTTAGCTACAGATGCTCAGGATTATTTCCTCCTGGCTTACGCTGAGGAGAAGACAAGGAACAGATGTGACAGAGCTCAAATTCAAGGGTCCACAAATCCTGGGCCATCCATTCAGGATATCATATTTTGCTGAGTCAAAAGTCAGGTGTCCCCAAATAAATCTAAGTATTGCTGTTAAACTCTAAACATGAAACTGCACACTTAACACTGGAGTATCCGGTGAACTCAATGACAAACAACCTATACACTCTCTTGCTGCTGGGCCACAAGTTCCTACAGAGTCTCTTGACACCCAGCAGTGGGCTCCAGCTTACTGGTAGATGCTTCTGGATTGGACAAAAATACCAGAGCTAGGGCCATCTAAATGCTGCTCTATGTTTAAAAAAAAAAAAAAAAACTAAAGGGGTTTCCAGAATCAAGTGACAGCCACAACAAATGGTCTCTGGAACTTTCCTTCAGCATTAAGATTCTAGAATTACATGAACAATATACCATATCAAAAGATTATGCAAGTGGATTCTTTTCCTTAGTAACAAGCATGTGTTACTATTTCTGATTTTTATCTGCTCTGCTGAATGCTCTAATATCAAATAATAACTTCACTGTTTTAACCACCACTATAAAAATTACACTTTTTTCTCTCAAATAGTCTCAAACTAAAAATATACCATGACAAAGTACTATTTATCAAGAAAAGGTCTGATTTTAGAAGTGTAAACAAGAAGCTAAAAGTTATATTCCAAGAATATTTCCTAGAAAACCAAAGAAGATTAATTTTCCCAAGAATATAAAAATTCTTCCAAATCAATGTCAAAACTATGATGAGGTAATACTAGAAATTCAAATAACAGCTTACATTCACAATTATCTTCACTCTACATACAGCTAAACTAAGCTTCAAAGAGAATAGTCTCAATCCCCAGTACCAAAAAACTAAATAAGTATAGTCTACAATAATCAGCAATAGTTGAGGAATAGGATTATAGACAAAAGATTTCTTATCTATCCATCTGCGCTAAGGATCCAACCCAGATCCTCGCACATGCTAGGCTCTCTATCACAGTACCTATCCCCAACCCTTTAAAAATTATTTTTGAGACCAGGTGTTGCTAAATTGTGCAGCTAAGCTTGAAGCTGTGCTCTTCCTTCTTGTTATCCTCCCTCGAAAATGGGATAGCAGGCAAGGATAACCCTGCTCAAAGGTCAGTTTTCAAGTCAACAACATTCCAATCCTACACCGTGGCAAGTATTTCTAGCCCTCTTTAGTTCGGCACTTTGTACCTGTGAACCAAGCACAGTGGTGCACCTCAGTAATTCCAACACTTGGGAGGCCACAGCAGGAGACCACCATTTTGGGGCCAGCTTGGGATGTATAGTTAGTTCAAGGCCAGTCTGAACTACAAATTGAAACTCTGTCTCAAAAAAAAACACAAAATTTTACATCCCTATCAGGCCCTTCTATTTTCCTTTTCTCTTTCCTATTCTCTTCCTATTAACTGCAGTCCAGGTATTTTTCTTTCCTACTCTAATCAGACATATACTCACCCAACCTCTCAATATAACTCACTAAGTTTCAGTACCAAAAAACCTTTGGTAGGAATCTGATCCCGAAAAGGTTTTTTGGCAGAACTCAGTCCATCAACTTCATTTCATAAATGAAGAAACTGAGACAAACAATGACGATGGTTTTCCATTGTGGTATAATAAATAGGCACACACACACATTCTGTTATTATGACCAGCCTTACACTGGGCATGGTGGTACATACTTATAACCGTGGCACTCTGGGAGGCTGAGGCAGGAAAATACCAAATTTGAGGCCAGCCTGGACAAGTTAGCGACCTGCAAACCTGCCTCAAAAAATTTTTGTTTCTAAAGGGTCGGAGATGAGCAAATGCCTTGAGTAAATGCCCCAAGAGGAGAGGGAGGACCAGCCTGATTCCAATTCCAATTTTACCACTTATCAGTTCAATTTTTAAATACAGGATGGCCAAAATTTGCATATTTTTCATTAATTTTTATAAAATTATAAAAATGACAGATCAAATTTACTCAATACAAGAATTGGCTGAAATGACACCTGCCCAGGGAATGCTCGGAAGAGTCAGTACAAAGACAGACGTACTGCCTAATGTCACTCAGGGTAAGCTGTTAAGTGGCGGACAGTCACATACCAAGACAAGGTGCAAAACCTCACTAAGCTTTAGTTTCCTTAGATGTACAATGACACGTTGGGAAGTCAGACCTAACAGGCGTACTGAATTAACGAGGCAGTCCATATGCAGAGCACCCAGTGTGCAGTCAGTATGAGTTATTACTGCACTAACTGGGCGGAGCAAAACACAGCTACTGAAGGCCAGAGCGAGGGCTACGATACAAAGCTCTTAATCTGGAGTCTGATAACATCATTGCCCAGTCTGCCCACAACCTACTAACAGGTATTCATACTTATGCTGCCCCAGTCACACTTACCCAGATGTCACATTTGCCAGGAAAGAAGCGCTCAGGGATCCGGGCAGCATAGAGGGCAGCTCCCGTGATATACAGGCTGGCCATGAGCAACAGCCAGCCAATCTGCCCAATGGTGGCGGCCTTCAGGAAGCCCTCCGCAATGACATAGTGCAAGGTGGGGATGATTCCACTCAGGCCCAAGCCCAGAAACACTCCTGGATATTATGAGAGGGGAATAAAACAAAAGTTAAGAGGAAAGTCAGTATTACAGAACTGTGCCATTAATTCTGCAAATGGAAAATCCCAAAATAGGATGCGACATTAGCTTTTGTTTTAAAAACAAAAAGGTGGTTCTTCGAACTGAGACACTGTCACCCAAGACAGAAGAGCTAATATTCTAAAGGTCTATTTACAAATGCAAGGAACAGGGCATCCAGTAGTGGGGAATCTTTTAGAGCTCCCAATGATACAGTCTGCTGTGGCTTGCGTGCTCTAAGTTCACCACCACTGGTTTAGAATTGTTTAGTGTTTCATAAGGACAACTCTGGAAGTTTGCTTAAACTTTCCTAAAAGATGCCTTTTATACAGATTACGAAACAGAGAAAACTTACATATTTTTCTCTTTGAAACAAAAGTAATTTACTGGGACGGAGAAAGCAGTAAAGTACCAGATATCTGGGGGGCAATACAATAAACCTAAATATTTCTCACAATACTCTAATCTAAATCTATGACATAAAAGTGGGCACTGAAAAATTTTAAATGCTCTCAAAACATGGCCTAACTTGGCATCTAAATAAACTGTCACTAAATAAAATCTGTGCTTCTGGAAGCTTCCAGGCCCCCAAACAGTAACCCATTGGAGAACCTATAAAAATGGAGCTGGGGTACTGCGCAGTGGTAGAACATGAGTTAGCATGTGCCAGGCCGTGGTCCCATGCCCAGTACTGGGGTCAGCATCATCTGGCACAGCCAGCTACCATCAAAATAATCTAGAGCAGTATTTTTCAATTCTCTGGATGCCACCTAGTCAGTGATGGAAAACCTTTTACAGCTTTGAATAATGCATGTGTGCTATAGGACTGACAACACTGACCTAGGTTCTAAGATCAACTAAAGTCAGGAACTAGAATAAAGTAAAACTTAAATGAATAGTAAAGTAGTATCTTGCAAAAATTTTGTCATTTATATGTACGTAAGTTTACACATACATTTACAGTTCCAAAGTAAAATGTCACATCATATCAAAAATGTCTGAAGTTCACAGATCTAACACCATTTAAATGTGCCCACCCAAGCAGTAACTTGTTTCAGCTGTAAGCGCTCCTGGATGTTGACAGGCAGAGAAAAATGAGCTTTGTAACACACACTATCACTTGGTAAGCTCTCGTACTAGCCTGCCGCCTGCTCGGTGCATTACCAAGGAAGCTGCAGTGTGCAGCAATACACAGAGGCACAGGTACAGGATACAGACTCAAACTGAGCATTTGAAAGGGAGAAGGAAACTGACGCTACTGAACTCACAGAAGACAAGAACCAAAGAGGCCTAAATAAAACCTTTGTCCCACCTCAGCTCCTCTCTAAAGATCTATCACCTCGATCCTATTCCTGTTCCCTTCCTCTGCACACTAAGTGAAGGCTACTAAGTGCCTTGCTTTTCATTCTCTAAGTCAAAGGTACAGGAACTTAGTTGATTCTTCCAATGTATATAAATAACAGAACGTTCAACTCCACTCAGCAAAGATGAAGTTTTTATCTCAGGTGCTCAAGCAGGCTTAACACCACAGAATTATAGAAGGACTGCTAAGAGCTACCTCTGCACACTGTTTATTTGCTCACATGCACATTCAAAAAAAGGGAATAGGGCAGAGTATTACAAACTGGACATTAGCATGAGGTTACCTCTAGCATTAGTAATTGCAGATGAACCAAACTCGAATTTGATTACTTCATTTCTTTTTTTTTTTTTTTTTTTGGTGCTGGGGATCAAACTCATGACTTTGCATTTGACAAACAGGCCCTTCGGCTGCTGTGCTAAACCCCCGGCCCGAATTTTATTACTTTTATGGTTAAAAGAAAAATACTAATTCCAATACTGCTTACTCGATCTCCGGAGGCACTGGGCTTTACACTAGCAATAGAAAACTACAAACACAGCACTGGCTATGAAGAATCCCAATATAGTTCAAGACAAAAATGTCTTTGCTAACTCCATATTCCAAGATGACTCAATGTGATCAGGGGCTCCTGGCTTCCCATAACATCTCTTAAATATTCTAAATTTTAAAAAGTATTTACAAAAAGAAAATGAATCTTTCTCTCTAAATCAGAAGAGGTGTATGGTACCTACCTCACTTTAATAGAATACAATCAGTATGGGGTGAAGTCTTATTTACCTAGGGTCTTACAGAATATTTTAAAATAAAAATAGAAATAAAACAAAAATAAACACAAAAAAGAATCAATCACATAAAACAGACTAAGCTGGAAAAATAAGTGGTCCTTATTTTGTAACAGTTGCAGAAACTGCCACCTTAGGGACAGTACACAGCCTAAGTAAACCCTGCTGCAAATCCATACCGTCACATTATCCCTGACCCAATCGTATGCTTCAAGCCAACCAGTGAACTCAACTCCTGCTCTACTGTGACTACTAAAGGGTCCCTGTAATGGATTGGTAACTGGTGGTCAACTTAAACACCAGCTGAACTGAATCAGTGTGGTGCTGAACGTGGATGGCCCACCTGAGGACCATAAAAAGGAGACCTGAAGAGGAAGAGTAGCGTTACGGGTTTCTTCTAAGTGTTGCTGTTTGAAGCCATTAGTTCTCCTAGAGAAGCTTGTCATGCTGGCTCCCTTGATGATATAAACTCAGCTGTTACCATCAGAGAAGCTCGGGACATTGTTGCTGAGAATGGCATGGTTCACTTTGGGGGAGGCTTTGGTCCTTACTTTGAGCATCGCTTGCTCATTCCAGAGGGGAAGATGTGTGCTGTTCAGTCTCCATAAGAAGTTGTCATGCTGGCTTCCTGATGTCAGCCGTTCTCACTGTCAGAGGAGCTCAGGACCTCGCTGTCACTGAGAATGGCCGTGGTACTTTTTGGGAGAGCCTTGGTCCTTATTCTGAGCATTGCTTCTCAGCTCCACTTGTAGAACCCTCAGCCTGCTGGCACAGAACCCTCACCCCACTGGCACAGACTTTCTAGCTTCCACTGCTGACCACTGAGCCTTCCCAGTGCAGATCCATGAAACAGACTTGCATGAGTTATTGTCACGGGCTCCAGGCCTCCAGTCGGACGCATGGCACGCACTGTCATGGGTTCTAGGTTTTCAGCTGAACTCATGCAGGCTATTGCTGTGAGATTCAGCCCCTTGCTGGATTTTCTAGGTCTAGTGTTGTGGACAGATTTCCTACACCTTTTCTTTGTATTTAATTCTTGGGTGATTGCTATAAATAATGCTATGAATTCTGTGTCCTGTATGTAATTGGTCTCCTTGCTAGCCCTGATGACAACAGTCCTCAACAACAGGAACCAGAACTTACTCACCTTTCACATCACAGTAGCATAACGCTTGCCAAATGGCTGGCAGACACTCAGTAAGTGGTAAGCCAATGAAAATCCAGTGTAGAACTCCACGTACACTTACCTGCTCTTACTCCTCGATACTGAGGGGTGGCAAACATGTCCCACTGGGAGACGATAATGGCTGCAATGCCCAGCACACAGATGACAATCAAGTAAATGAAGCAGGGTTGTGGGTTACAGTAGAAAGAATAATAAAGCCAAGGAACAAAACTTCCCATAATCAGAAGAGCAATACCAGAGTAATCCAGTCTAGGATTTAAAAACAGAAAAGTCCAATGATAAATATTACTGCCTTACAAATTTTAATTTATCTTCCATGACATGAGTTATCAATAATAGCTGAAAGGTAAACTGGGCTGCTCATTTTAATTTAAAGAAGTTCCCAACAGATAGTATCAAGAAGTGCTAATTCTGCTACACATTCTACCCTAAACCACTGGCTGTTACCTCACCAATCAAAACATGGACTATACAGATACTTACTTAGAGAAGAGCCGGGACACTCCTTCTGAGTGGCAGTAGACTGTGTGGAAGAGCCATGAAAATGAAAGGCAGAGAATGGCTCCCAAGAAAAATAATCCAAAGACCACCTTCTCTTGCAGAGGGGCCACAAAGGAAATATTTGGGCGGAACATATAAAAGATCCCCAGGCACAGGAAGAATACACAACCTAGGGAAAAAATTCAGGAGACAAATATCCTTTTAAAAAGACTGTTATACACTGATTATTTTTTCAATCTTTCTCAATAGCAATGATGAAAATTGAATCAAAAGTTTCTAAATCGAAAGTTCCATGGAGAGGGTGTGGGGAGAATGAAGATATATTTATGTACTAGTACAAATTCCCCATGATGAATGTGATCATTATGTATAGCAAACATGTACTAATAAAAATAAATAAATAAAATTGACATTTCATGAAAAAAGTTCCATGAGAAAAATTTTTACAAATAACTAGGGCTTATTCAAAATTTTAGTTTATTTCAAGTATTGGTGGTAATGATATAGACCTCAGCTTCCCAAACTGAGTACACAGAACTTAAGTTACTCATCCGGGTACATAATCAAAAAGAAACCTGACAGTGCTGCTACCTCTTAGGTCCAGCATAAAATTTCATTCATGAAGTTTCTGGTGTATATGCTGCTTTCAAAGGGCCATTTTGCTTTCACTGTTACTTTTGCAATGAATTCTGACACTTCTGAAACCCTGACAGGACACACAGTTTTCCTCTACCAACAGTTGTCCGGCAACCCTGTGTTGCCAGTCTGTTCTCATTAGTGGCTCAACAGATCAAGAATGAGGAATAGTAATGCACCAGCACAGTCCCAACAGCCCTAAACTGTTACCCACAGTGAGACACCAAGTCTTGGCGCCTAGGGAAGCACCATTTGATAGAAGGAAGGCACAGACATTTCAAGTTTAACACTTGCTAAGTAACTATTTTATCATTTCAGTTAAAAAGCTACTCTTAAGTAACAAACTCCATTTGATTCTCTTCTATTCTCACTATAACCAGCCAGCAAGAACTTGGAAGCATAGCAATCAAATGTGTGATTAAAAAAATACAAGTTGCGTAAGGCTAGAAACTACTTAATACATTCTCAAGTGCGCACAACTATCAGTACTATCCAATTTCCAAAACATTACCACACCCTCGCACGCAAGTCCAATACCTTTGTCACACCCCGCTCCACCCCGTGCCAGCCCTCGCTGCCACCCACCCACCTCGTCTAGGAGGATTTGCCTGGTCTGGGTATTTCACACAGGTGGAATGATGTACTCCCATAGCCTGCTGGGCCTGCTTGCTTTCACTTAGCTCATGTTTTCAGGATTCACCTGCTGTAAGGCGCGGCAATACTTCATCCCTCTGTATGGCACCGTGTGGCTGTGCCACAGTTCCTTAATGCTTTCATTACTGGGAGATACCTTGCTTGTTTCTACTTTTTGTTATTATGAATAAGGTTGCTATAAATATTCATGCACACACTTTTATGTGAACATGATTTCAGTTATCTTGGATATATGTAACTAGTTGTGGAATTGATAATTGGTAACTCTGCTGAACATTTTGGGGAACTGTCAAACTATTTTCCATAGAGGTGACCCCATTTTACATTCCTACTCTTCACCCACACCAAGACTTAGTTTTCTTTTTCTTGATTGTAGCTATCCCAGCAGGCGTGAAGTCGTACCTCACTGCACTACTCAGAGCACTTGATGTGTATTTCTTTAAATGATAAAAATGTCTTTTTATATGTTTACTAGTCACTTGCATGTCTGAAGAAATGTCTACTGAGAAGCTGCGCAAATAAGACAAACTGGGGGCAGGAAATTAACTCAGTGGTGTAAGTGCCTGGCTGGCAAGTGCAAGGTCATGAGTTTGATCCCTAGTACAAAAAAAACAAGGACAAACTGGGCTGTTTTTATTGTTGAGTTGTAGGAGCTTTTTAAACTATACTCTTCTCAATATAACAATTTGCAAATATTTTACTCTATGTATTTAAGTCTTTTCACTTTCATGATAATGTTCTTTGACATACATGAGTTTTTAATTTTTTTAAGATGTTTTTAATTTTGATGAAGTTCAATTTATTTACTTTCCTTTTGATTGTTTGTGATTTAGGTATCAATTCTAAAAAACTTGCTTAATCCAAAGCCAAAATTTCTATCTGTATCTTCTCAGTTTTACAGTTTTAGTGCATTGCTAAGTTTTATATATGGCATGAGGCTGGAATCCAACTTCATTCTTCTATGCTTTATTACTCAACTATCGCAGGAACATTCATTGAAAAGACTACTCTGCCCCTATATTTTCTTTAATATACAATCGAGGCTGGATGTGGTGGCACATGCCTGTAATCCCAGGACTCAGGAGGCTGAGGTTGGAGGATCACTAGAAGTTCAAGGCCAGCCTGGACTACATAGTGAGTTCAAGGCCAGCCTGAACTACACAGTGAGATCCTGCCTCAAAAAATCAAAGAAAAAAATCATGATGCAAAAATATTAATTTCATATTCTATTTCAAGCCGACCTGAAATTTAACTGTGACTATTTAAGTAATGACTTTGAAAACAATCAGCTTACTTATTTTAAATACCTTCCTCTTGCTGATTATACTATCTTACCACATTCTGTATAGCAACTTTTACTTTGTATGATTTGAGGACACAGTCTAAAAGACTTAGGAGAGAAAAATTTAACTGTAAAAAAAAAAAAGTGTATACTAGAATAAGCAAATGAGAAAACATATCATTTGAAATTCAAGGGGGGAAAACTTAAATCCCAATGCATTTCTCAAGTCTGTCTTTATCCTCAAATTCATGAAAATAAGAGCAAATAAAGTAGGCTCAGGTATAGAGGCCGTAATCCCAGCACTCAGGATTGCCACAGTTAAGAAGCCAGCCAGAGCTACAAAGTGAACCTTGTCTCCAGAAAATAATAACAAATGAAGTGATCATTAATTCCTTACACCACTGATATTACGTACCTAGGAGATGGGTCCAGATGTTGCCTGTTTCTGTGTGTATTCTAAAAATGCTCTTAAAGCAGGCCCGGAAAGAAGGCATAGGTGGCCGGTGTCCATGTAAAAGGAAGTCATTATCCTTGAGCCAGTCTGGCAGCACGTCATGAGGGATCACTCGCCATCGGCCTTCCCATACCTAGGAGAAGGGCGTGGTATACCGAACATCTTAGCGATTTCCACTGTTCACTTGTAACACTGCCCCCAAACAACACTCTCACTACACTGCTTTACTATGGGGAAAATAATTAAATTTTAAAAAGCAGATATATTAAAATGTATAATGTCCTACTCTAAGTTCTCACAAAACAAGGCTGATAAAAACATATCTTTCAAATAAGAATCCTTAACAGGGAAAGGGAAAAACAAACAAATTTACAGAATATTCCCTAAAAAGAGTTTTAGTGTGTTAAAAAGAACAATGAGGAATCCACAGTCCCACCCATCTAGACCTCCCTGCATCCTCCACAACAGAAATCTGTTATTAAATATAACCACTTTTACATTTAATACTCATGTTGGTAGAAAAAGAACTATATAATATCACACGTATGCCCTTTACCAAACTCTTTCCCTTCCCCTTATTCCTCTTCTCTTTCCAGCACAGCAAATATGAAGTAGAAAAAGCAAAGAGGTCAGCATTCTTGGGTCTCTGACATTAAGTTGTATAAGCCAGTTATAAATGTTTAAGCCTCAGTTTCTTCATTTATAAAAGGATAGTGCTTTGTTTAATAAAGAAATTATGAGGACCAAACAAAATGGCACAAGGACTCTATAAATGAGTTACTCCCTAGAATACACTCCAAAGGAGGCAAGATCTTACGTAGTCCCATAAGCTACCTCCTGCCTAAAAGCTGCTGGCAGGAGCTGGACATGGTAGTGCATGCCTATAATTCCAGCACTCTTGAGTGCTGAGGCAGGAGGACTGCCACGAGTTCGAGGCCAGCCTAGGCTACGTAGTATATCTGAAGCCAGTCTGAACAACAGAATGAGGCCCTGTCTCAAAAAAACTATGAATGAATAAATGAATAAATGAATGAATGCATGTCAGTGACACCCCTACCCTTCCTTCTCTTTCTGGACAGACAGCACAGAAACTCCATCTTGACAGTCCATTACGTCCCTCAGTCCCCCTTTCTTCTTTTTTCCTACTGTACCTCCCCAGTCACTTCTGGAGGAAAAAGGGTCAGGGATTTGGTATTTTTATGCAGGTCTGTCTACCTCTGTACTGTTTCTCGTAATGTCTCTCAGCCCAGAAAGCTGACATCGTAATGATAACCTAATTTAGAACTGATTTGCTTCTGCTAGCTAGGCAAACGGCCTACCTCCCAATAATGTCACCTCAACAGTGCTTCTAGTCTATCACCCTATAAAGGAGAATGTCCACTGCAAATCATAGGGCTTGCTAACAGAGTTCTGTCCCTATTCCCCAAGTGTCTCTGACAAATAACATAGCTGAGCCACAGAAACTGGACCCCCTTTTCTCACTACAATGCAGAAAGACTTCTACTTGTTTGCCAGCTGCAGGGCACTTGTTTCATCCTACATTCTTTCTGTTCTCTGCTCTTCTGCCTCCTTACTGACATTTGTAAAAGAACTGATCCTCTCTGTCACACCTCCTGTGTCTCCAAAGGAAGGGAGGTCTACCAAGAACAGATGGGGCCCTTTAAACATTCTCTCTCTCCTCCTTTACCTGCCAACGCAAAACTGGGAGCCTCAAAACTAGTGCTCACCTGGCCAATCCAGGTATGTCTGTAACACACATTAAAATAACACTGACAGATTAACCTAGGGCATTAATGTCCACCGCTAAAGGTTCAGTTACCCACGGTACGCAAGGGGATTGGTTCTGAGATCTTTTTCAGATACCAAACTCAGTAGACACCCCAGTCCTGATAGAAAATGGCACAGTATTTGTATATAAACTATGGTCACGTTCCTTCAAATCACTCCTAGATCACATATGACACCAAATACAACATAAATGGTGTGTAAACAGTTGTTACAACACTGTATGGTCTTGGAAATGAAAATAATGACAAGGGAAACACATCTCCTTTTAAACAGTTTATTTGCTTCCAATCCAAGAAACCAAATCCTGGTATCAATAAACATGGCCAGTTTTCAAGCAAGGTCAGCGGCACCGCCACAGCAAGGTAGAGCGGCACTAAGGACACCGTGTCGCACGCCGCCTCTCCGCTCTGCTCGCACACTTTGCTGCAGTGAGTGGCAGTGGGTGCGTGCCGAAGCCCACCCTATTCTCCCATTAGCTGTTACATTAAAAGTTTTATGTGCTCTATTTTTAGCTCTCGGTTCAGAGAGAATGAAAAGGTAGCTGGGTTAGCTATACTACCCCATTAATCTATAGATATTAAATTTTCCTAACGGTCTAGACATTAAGTATACAACTTTTTTTTTTTGTCTTTTTCTTTTTTTATCAGTACCAGGGATTGAACTCACAACCACACACTTGCAAAGCAGGTGCTTACGCTGCTGAGCTAAATCCCCAGCCCATAAGTATACAACTTCAAGAGATTTCTTCACACCAAATTTGCTTCTGAAAAACAAAGACACTATGGTATCTTGGAAGTTGTCATAATTGACTCTAGGAGGCAGAGGCACCACAAACAAGCATACCAAACAAGTAGTTATGTCTGGAAAGGCAGGAGTCACCAGGAAATCAGCACCCAAGCTCTAGCCTGCGCAAAAAGCACCAAACAGCCAGTACCACAGCGCTGACTACCCAGCAGGTGTCTTGAAAGGTGTGGCTGTCATCTGCTGTGTATCTGCTAATTCTCCTAAGATAGGGGTCACTCAAACAAATCTATTTATTGTTTTCTGGGGGTTTTGTCTTGCTATGCAGCTCAAGGTAGCCTTGAATTCACTCAGGCTGGCCTCAATAGGTATGCCCGGCTGCTTGGTGTTTATCATTAATTCTGAAACACTAATTAAGATTTCCGAGGCTCTACCTTGACCCTAAAAATGTTTATACTTTCCTTAGACTGCACCCTACCCCTCAGTCTGGAAGGGGTGTCAAATTATAATTTTTTTATCCCTAGTCTAATACGTAATATTCTAAGTCAGCTGTCCTCCGTCATTTCCAGCATTTTTGTGAATGAAGGAAAATCTAAATTTCATTGTCAGTATTTAAAACTACAACCATAAAGTTTTGTTTTCATAAAACCCATGAAACGTTATGTCATAAAAATTCCTCTCTAAATAAAGCGCTCCTCTCTAAATAAAGTTTTGAATTAACTGATATATATATATACATATATAACTTTTGTATGTGCACACATATAAAAAAATTCACACTGGTTTGAGATCTTATATGCCAAAACTTACCGATCTGATTAATCAAGTTCCTATAAATTTACCAGTGTTCCTATTTTCTCTAAGCAAGTAAGCAATTCTAGTTATCATTTTAGAAAGAAAATAAAATTTGATAATAAATCCCAGAAAATAAAAAAATGAAAAAAGAAACCCTTAGAGACAGAAAATATATCAAATGAAGCGAAAATACTAGGTGCACACGAAAATTTGCAAATTTCTATCAAAAGTAGTATGACTATTCATAGAATCCTAAAAAGAGCAACAGGTTGTCATCCAAATTGAACAGCAAAATATTTCATGGAGAATAGGGGGTGACTCTTCTCATCCCCTAATCTGCCCCCGCACACACACCCATAGTACTAGGGATTGCACCCAGAGGCCTTCTACCACCAACTACATGCCTAGCCTTTTCTACTCATATTTTTAAATTTTGAGACAGACTAAGCTGCCCAGGGTGGGCTCAAACTTGCACTCTTTCTGCCTCAGTCTCCCAAGCAAAAGCTATGTTCCACCATTCCCAGTGAGGGACAGCATTTTAGTATCTCACTTATCAAGCACTCCCAATCATGTTTCATTGTGTCTTATCTAATCAACAAAACATTTACGCTGCTCACCTGTATCAGGCAAGGTTTGTTTCCTACCTGGATATTCTAAGTTTACCAGAACTTTAATGAGGCTGCTGCAAGCACACTATACCTTGAACAGAGTTGAGGTCATGAGACCACTTCCATCCTCATCCCACCACAAATTTTCCCAAAGCAAACCAGAGGTCAAAGCACCACCACTCTAACAGTTTCCGTTTGAGAAGGACTAAATAGATGTACAACGGAAATGACAAAAAGAAATAACCGAAACACTTGAATCTCACCTTACAAACAAACTCTTCCATTCTTTCCATAGCATGATGGGCTTGTAAGAGGGGGGACATGCCCATGAACCCCTCATCTTCCTGAGAAGTGTCATCATTGCTCTTGTGTTGCTCAGACCCCTGCAAGTCAATCACAGAAACAGTCAAAAACAGAAAGGAACCAAATGATAGAATCAATATACTTTCCTTACAGAACTGAAATGAAAAAAAATTTAAGGTCAAAACCAGGTGTCAATGCTATGGTAAGTAAAGTCAGTTTATTACAGAATTATCAGTGTTAAAAATGAACAATAATTGCTCAGTTCTCTGGCAGATGGATTTACTACTACAGTACCACTGTGTCTGTTTCAGGAGTGAATTTCTGGAGTAGATTTATTGATTTCTTTTTGGTTTTATGAATCATGTTTGCAAACCACACAGTATTATATAAAGCTGAGAAACTACTGAGGGAAAACTCTCCAAGAATCTCACCTTAAAGTAACTGTAATACAATGTGCTAAGTGTCTTAGGGGAAAAGAAGATGAGAAAACCTTTTTGCTAGGTAGTGCTGGAACCCATGGCTTTCTACATGCTAAGCAAGTACTCTACCACAGAGCTACATACTCGCCTGACACTCAATTTTTAACTCTAAGCACAGAGGAAAGGGTTTGATGGAGGTCATCTAGTTAATCCTGACAACCACTCAACTAGGTAAGCATCTTTATCCTCATTTAATATATAAGCACATTAGGGAAGGAGGTTAAATAAATCACCCAAGGTTAAAGCTAGTTAAGGAGAAAAGTTCTTTTAAAAAAAATTCAAAATATACTGTCCTTCCACATTCCCAAGGAAATAATTTGTCCAGAAATCTCAAACAAAAAGTAACAATCTGGTAATATTTTAAGAGTTAACTTACTAAAATTAGGATTTCTGCTTCCAGACACTCTTCATAATAGTTTAGACAAACAGTATATAGAAACAGTAATAAGGGCAACAAACAGGAAACCAGGAGGCAGGTAGCAGGCTAACAATGATAGGGTTTTTTTTTTTAAATGCAGGTCTTTCGATCTTCCTCTATTTTACCACTTATATCTAAAAGAGAAATGCAAACCTCCTCTACTGTCTCCTTCACCTCGAACACTGTGACACTGTAACTCAGGGAGTAATGACAGCACACGAGAACTGTAATTCCACATCTTAGCAGAGTTTGCTAGATAAAGGGTGCTACTAATAGGACTGCATGAAGAAACTGATCCTCCACCTTTGATCTGAAAACCAAGCAGGTGAGAATGAACACACAAAGGCAACTGGGAATCTTACTACAGCACTCTGAATTTGAACATATTTAAGAGAAACTCTGATTTTATCTTCTTCTTTGCTTTTTAAGATACTGAGGCTATTATGCAGCATATTACACACCCAATCTCTGACCCTAAAAATTTTATATTCTCCAGAAAACGTCCTGCTATGCTCACTTAAAATTTACCTACCCATTGGCCCAGGACTCAGCTCAGTTGCATAAGCACCTATCTGGAAAGCACAAGATCATGAGTTTGATCCCCAGTACGAAAAAAAAAAATTTTCCTACCTCTGCTTTTCATGCCTAGCCCCAGCATATTTTGTGTTTAAACTCCTTCCTAACTACCGTAGTCTAGTACTTCAACTTTTGTCTAATTATTACCAATCCCAGAACATTTTTAGATAGCCTCAACTCTGTGCCCTTTTTTTGGAGACAGGGCCTCACTATGTAGTTCACACTATCCTTGAGCTCATGCTCTCTCTGCCCCGCCCCCTCAGAAGTGGGACTGTGGGCACACAGGAATGCAGGTTACTGTGCTTAGGTATGGCCATCCTGTGGAGAGCTTTCAATTACAGTTAGTACCTACTCCACCCTAGGCCAAACGACCACTGTCACCAGAGAACACATGTCCAACCCATATAGTAACTGCCTCCCCTTCTGAACTTCTTCAGCACTTACATCTGTGCCCTTCCCCCAGACAGCTAACACAGACATCTGAAAGATACGAGGTTATAGTTCCGTGGGTTCTTATTTTTGCCTTACATTGTTTTAATGTGGAGTTTTTTACTTTTAGTATATCACTGCCTAAATTAAATTTAAATGCCTGTTTTTCTTCTCTACAGTTCCCAGAACATACATATGTAGCAGCTAAATTAATAAATGCTTTAAAAGATTTCTTTTTAATGCTGTGCCTAACATAAAATTTAAAGTCACGCATGGTGACACATGCCTGTAATTCTAGCACTTGAGAGGTCGAGGCAGGAGAATTGCTATGAATTCGAGGCCCTCTGGGCTACATATAGTGAGTTCAAGATCAACCTAAACTACATGGCGAGATGCTATCTCAAAAAAATCTTGAAATTCCAGCCAGGCATTGTTGCATACGCCGGCAATTCCAGCACTTGGGAAGCTGAGGCAGGAGGCTATCTGTGGGTTCAAGGATACTCTGTGCTACATAATGAGTTCAAGACCAGCCTGAAGTACACAGTGAGATCCTATCTCAAAAAAAAAAAAAAAAAAAATCCAACAAAACATGAATTATGAGGCTGGGGATTTAGCTCAGTGGCATAAGTGCCTGCCTTGCAAGCAGGCAGTCATGAGTTCGATCCCTGGTACCCATAAAAACGAAAAAGACAAAAAACACAACAAAAAAAACAAAAAAAAACCCACATGAGTTATATGAAATTTGAACACAGGCAACAGCTTGAAGTGATTAGCAGACTGATTCAAAAATATAAAATTATATATAGAATAGCTCAAATATTTATGCACGCACAGTATGTATTTGATTCTTCAAAAGAAAAATAAGAATCTTCATTCTTAACACAAATAAATTATGTTAGTAGTTTCAAAACTACAAATAAGCACCTAAGATAGAACATAGTTAAATATTTCCTCTAATATCACAAGTAAAATCTGATAGAATTGCAGGCAATCTGAAATATCAGTGGAATTACTTATAATCAATAACTTTTAATATTAGGGATTATACAGTTGGATTCACAGAGGATTATCACAGAGGATGGGTTAGCTTCACTGGTCAGAGAACAGACATTTCACATACTTAACCATCCCTTACAGAATAAAAATGAAGACACAGATATCTCTTTTACAAGGCATGAACTATGTTACGGTTTGAGAACTGGTGGTCAACTTAACGCCAGCTGGATTACATCAGCATGGCACTGAGTGAAGATGCTCCACCTGAGGAAAGTTGCCAGGATAAATAGGTGGAGAAGAAGGGAGGTATTGAGGGTGGAGGCCTTAAGGAGGCATTGTGGGTTCTCCTACGAGTTGCTGTCTGAGCTGTTGGTTCTCCGGGAGAAGCTTTGGTCTTCATATATCGAGCATTCCTTCCTGGCTACGGAGGAGAAGACATGTGCTGCTTGGTCTCCAGGATGAACTCGTCACACTGCTTCCTGGCATGTACCAGACTTTGCTTGTCGGAGGAGGAGCTCGGGGCCTCCGTGTCTCTGAGGACGGCTGTGGTGCCTTTCAGGATAGCCCTGTTCTTTGTTGTGAATGTGACTTCTCGGCTCCAACGTAGAACCCTCATCCCACTAGCACAGCTCCTGCATCCTGCTGGCATAGACTTTCTGGCTTCCACCGCTGACCCTTGGGTCTTCCCGGCACGGATCCGTAAAAGAGACTGGCTTTGAGTCCTTCTTGTGGGCTCTGGACCTCCAGTTGGACTCGTGGGAGGCACTGTCCTGAGCTCTGGGTTTTTATCTGGACTCATGTGGCACATGTGCTGTGGGGTTTAGGCTCTTGACTAAATAATCTATGTCTTTGGTGTTGTGGATAGATTTCCTGCATTTTCCTGTGTTAACTCCTGGTGACCGTTATAAAAATATTATAAACTCCATGTCCTGAACCTAATTGTTCTCTGTGTACAAGCCCTGACTACAACAAACTATTATACACATGAATAGGAAAGACAAATGGCTCAACCAATCATAGGGAGTGAAGACAAATAGCTCTATGTCCTCAGCAGTACTAACACATGTTTACTGAAAGAAAGTAAAGAATACCCAGAATGTAGAACCTATGATCTAAGATGAGCACCAGTGTCTATATATTAAATATATTTCAGGACCAGGTAGCTTGCCATAAAATGCTACAATGGGTTAATAGTGAGTTCTGAAGAAAAACAATTATAGATACACCCAATATTTTTGACAAATTTATAATCTTTCTAAGCATCAGTTTCTTTAACTATAAAATAGCTTAAAAATATTATATACATATTGCGGATCTGTTTGATGATTACATTCAGTGAGTAAAAAGGAACTACTGCAGGGCCTCAAACTCATAAAGCGATAACCAAATGATGGTCTTTAACGTATGGCTAGGTTCTAAATACGTTAAGGTCGGGTATCCCAATCGACTGAGGAGAGACAGATGTAAATATGTACAGCAAAGAGTGACAGAAGAGTAAGAATACGGTCTTTCTGCAAAGTTAACTATGTTTGACAACAGAAAAGTAAAAGAAAAACCTAAAATATGCCAATTTTGCAGGAGTGCTGCACAAAGTAAATGCAATATGAGGCTAAAGAAGTTAATGTCCATCAATATATCAATAATCAAAATGTGGTAGAGGCATAAAAGAGACAATTACTCGGCCATAAAAAATAACGAGACTCGAGACACAGGCTATCACATGGACAACCCTCAGAAACGTTAGGCTAAATCAAAAGGAAAATACTGTACAACTCCACTTAAATATTTAGTATAGACGAACTCATTGAGACACAAGTAGATCTGAGTTTTCCACATGCTGGGGTAAGGAAGGATGAGGAGTTATTCCTTAGTAAGTACACAGCTTCTGTTTGGAGTAATACAATCACACAACACTGTGAATATATTTAATGCCAATGAGCTGTATACTTAAAAATGGTTAAATGGCAAAACTTTTATACTCTATAAAGTTCAGTACTACAATAAAAATGAAGAGGGGGAGGGGAATTCATAGCAGCGTTACCCATAACACTAAAAACCCTGCAATCATCCAATTATGTAACCCCATACATGTGATTATATTTGATGTAATACTGTATCAATAAAATACATACATGCAAAACAACATGATTGAGTAAAAAAACATCCTGAGCATCAGACAAAC